TTTCATGTCCCGTTGAAGTACCGAATAAATATAGATTGTTGTGGAATTATAATTAAAAAAAAAAAAATTACATGGAGCTTCCAGTTACAGCATAAGCCAAGGAGATTAAAAAATTATGTACAATCATGTTTCTGGCTAAAATTGTAGTGTTTATTATCTGGCCAAAAGTAACTTAACATAGTTTAATATATAGAGAATTAAACTGTTTTGAATTTATTATTTAGTTCTAATTTGAAAGTTGAACGTACATCATATCTCTTATCTCCTATATCTTACCCCTATCCCCTACCCCTATATCCCACCCCTATCATTCACCCCTATCTCCCACCCCTTATCTCCTACCCCTATTTCCACCTCCAACCCATCTTCGTGTGGTAACGCTTTTTTTCGGTTATTTGCCATAGCTAATTCCACCCCTTTCCCATACCCACCTCATCTTCAACCCTTTCGCTTTTTTCGTTACACTCTTTTGGTAACGCTCTTTTGGTAACGCTTTTATGGTAACGCTTTTTTCGGTTATGTGCCAGAGCTGAGACATGAAAATGTCAAAACTAATTCAGTAATGTACATTCAGCCACTTGCATATGATCTATTAGCTGTCTTTAATAATTTAGTGATACGTTGTTTTTTGAACAATTTAACCATGAACAAGCAACAGAGTTATCTGGCCATTGGGGTCTTCATAGTTTTTGTAATTCAAGGTAATACAAATAATTGTATATGTTTTTCTAGTAATATTAAATTATATACATTATTCATACTTATTAAATTACTAGCAAGTTGGTCCAGAGAATATTTTTTTAAATTAATTTAAGCTTAAAAAATTTTGGTCATTAACTAACTAAATATGACTTATATTACTTTTCCTAATTTAAACATGTTTATTGTTTTACATTTATTGTTAATTATTATTACTATTATTAGTTATAACTCCTAGAAGGTATATATTTTATAGTAAAATATTTAGTTGTTTTTTGTTCGTTATTATTTGTTTATGTTACATAGGCCAGGTTAAAGCATAGCTGTTCAAAAAATTGTTTTTCGAGATAATTTTTATTGTAATAGCGATACAGCAGATGTTCTTATAATATTTATTTCAGACTTTAGTTTTACACCACACATGGTAAAGCAAAATTCTAGACCAACAATCACATCTTCTATACTTTTGAACCAATTTCTTCATGTAACAAGTCTAAAGTTTAGAAATTTTACAGAAAAGGCACTTTAAAAAGCCATACATTCAAGCCAAAAATAACATATTTTTCAACTTAAAATTACAGTGCTCTATAACTTGTTTAAAAATTGTCGAGTTAGTTCCAAATTTATACAGAATATTTTTTAAACACCGTCAAACCAAAAAAATATCATAAATGCTGTCTTTATTTTAACGATTTTCTTTATTTTGCTTTTTGGAGAAGATTTAGGGTTTAATATAGATCAATATTATAACAATAATAGTTTGTTCAATAATTTCCTGTCAAAAAAAATTTAATATTTTTCAATTAAATCATACGGTGCTCTATAACTTTTTTAAAAATTGTCAAAATAGCTCCAAATTGTTATTCAGAAAAACCAAATAAAAATTGTAAAATTACACTTTGACATTAGCCGAAGTCTAGTTCGCCAAGTATGATTGAAAAATCAGTCAACCGGTATTAAAAAGTTTTTCAGACGATTCTGCAATCATGAAAGATTATTTTTATGTCTCGTTGAAGTACCGAATAAATGTTGCCCCCTAACACCGGTTTTTATTTTACATATTAAGAATTAGGCAAACGTTTTATAAGTTATTATACAATTTTCGTTCCCTTATAGTTTCTAAATTTCACTTCCCAAATAAAAAATAACTACACATACTCCAAGTATCCTATTCACTTTTTCGTATAAAATATTAGTATAGAGCTCTTCCAAAATTACCTTCACTACCTTAACAACTTTGTTATTACCCTACTAGGTTTATATAAAAGGGGTAGGAGATAGAGGTAGGAGAAAAGGGTAAGAGATAAGATATTTGTTAAACGTTCAACGTACAAATTAGAACTAAATGATAAATTCAAAATAGTTTAACGGGTCAAATTCTCTATAAATTGTTTTAAACACTACAATATTAGCCAAAAACTTGATGTTTTTACTACTTCTAAATATACTATATCAATATATTAAAAATTGTTTTAAAAAGTTTTTCAGCTGAGTCTGCAGCCACGAAAAAGCATTTTTATGTCTCATTGAAGTGCAGAAAAAATTAGAGAAGTGTTATAGATCAAGCTAGTATCTAAGGTGGCTAGTAAACATAGAGTTTCTGGCTAATATTTTAATGTTTTCATAATATTTGGCCTTAAATAATTCATAAAGAATTTGGCCCCTTAAACTATTTTGAATTTACTATCTATATCTAGTTTGATCGTTGTAAATACAATACATAATTTAAAATAACAGTGTAAGACTTTTGTGGTAACACTTTTTTCGGTTATGTGCCTAAGCTAATTCCCACCCATAACCCCATTTCCACCGCCATTCCTCATCTTTTATCTCTTACCCCTATCCCCAATCTCCTATCTCTTACCCCTATCGTTCATATCCTACCCTTATCTGCTTTCTCTTACCTCCTATCTCCTATCTCCTATCTCTAATATCTTATCTCTAATCTCTTATAAGTCAACAGCGTGTCAGCTACCGCCAACCCCATACGCACTCCTAACCCCACACGTACTCCCGACCCCATTCCATCCCCAGACCCCATTCCCACATCCACCCCAGCTTTCCCCCCACCAGTGTAACGTTTTTTTGTGACAGTTTGTAAATGCCAAAAATGTCAAAAATGTTCATTAAAAGCATTCTTTTATCGTTTTCCTACGTTTGCCTTCTCCGGTCAAGTTCAGTCAATAACTAAAATCATAAATCTAATTCCGTTGAATGCTAAATCAATAGTGTAATTACTAACTCATAAAAATGAGGTAAGGCTGTGGTCCTAATACTTTAATACTCATGAGATACGCCCGCGCCCTATTATGCTCAGCTTCCGATATTTTTATTTAAATGATTTTATAATCAAAACCACTTCTCTAAAACTATTCTATATTTTATCCAAACCCTTATTATAAAAAAAAGACGTTTCTTGACAGGTAGGCACAATTTTTCCATGTTTAGAAAATGATAATAGATCATGATATTGTTACTTTTTAGGAGTTGTTCTATATTGCATAACGATTCGTACGAGACCGATGGACTGCATTACATATATACGCATTTCGTAGATACAAATCCAGACAAGTTAGACTTGGATATAATTTCGAGATACTTTTTCTACATGATATGGAACATTTAATGGTGTCGTAATTGTCATAACCGAAGATGACTTCAAATATTATAAACGGTTATTGAAAAATTACAAACTATTTCCACATTTTTCAAAATACTTACACGTACGTAAAGTCAACGTAACATAGTTTAATAAGGGACTCAACGAGAGTTTAAATAATTTTTAACATAATACATGGTAATAGGTAATGGACATTGTTTAAAAGAATAACAACTTTAAATATTCATAATTATGTATAAATAATAAATAAAAACACTTTTTTGAATTTTCAAAGCCGGCCCTACCTTTCCGGTTAAAACAAATTCACGTGTTGAATGCAAGTAAAGCGGTCAAACTTTTTTATAATGGATCCACTATGTGTCGTGAACATTTAGCTCTGCACACGGTAAGCTTTGAATTTGCAAATAAATTAAATTTTGTTGAAATAATAACTATGGTTGTATTTTACAAAAAAAACTCGCAAGAAGTGTACAAGCATGTTCCCAAAACAATTATGCCTAAAGATGGATATTTAAATGGCCAAGGGAGTAGTTATAAAGAGCAAGCAGGTAACTATAAATATGTCATATTATTATTTTAAATTCTCTAGAAAACTAATGCTCATGATGATTGTATTACAGAGAAAACATATGCCCTTATGAAAGAATTGCACCATAAGGATGAACCAAATCTTCGTGATGTCCCGATTACTACTAAGGATTAAATATATTTTAATTTGTTTTCATCAGTATTAAAATTAATAATGGTAGTATTCAATTTTGTTAATAGTACAAGCTCACCATCAGTTATCCATCTTAAATTATACGAGTATAATATGTTTAACAATAAAGATAATTAAAAATGACTAAACACTAGAAGTCATATATATAAAAAAAATTATAGTAAAGCAAAATTAAAAATGTATTATTTATTGTATTCTTATAACGATAACTATTTTCTTCAGATAATAAAAATCTAATAAAAATAAAGGTTAACTCTATTATGCATCATCAAATATTTTATGTTCATATCCTTAGTTATGAAATTGAAACTTTCAAATTTCTTGTACCCATTTTGTTTTTTTTTATTTTTAAAATTAATAAAACCTATAAATATAATGTTATTTGTGTATTTAATATTTACCAAACTAATATTTTTTTTTTTTGTAATTAAATAAAGTCGCTTTTGCTTTGTATGTCGACAGACTGACCACTGTAAAACTGAAAATGGCCGGTTTTAATAAAAGGAAATTTTTAAGAAAAATGGGGTTTAGTAAATGTCGATCCTATCAAATTTGTTTTCAGGTTGATTTGCAGGTTTTGAAATTAGGGTTATTAAAACGTATGAGTACTGATTTTAATGTTGAGTCTGCTCCTCAAACTCTACACCTACTTCTTATTGTTTGGTTTCATTTTGATTGCTCTTCCTTAATTTAGTTTCACTGATAGTATCACCCAAGTTTATCTTCTGTAAAAAATAACTATTTAAGATACTTTTTTTATCTTATAAATGCCACATTACTTGTAGCTTTTTTCTTAATAACAATACAATTTCAGCTAGTGTATGAATGTATTGATGTTTACTGGATTTTGTGCGAAAACACATTAACATCTGTTTAACTTTGTTTTTGAAATATTTTAGTTGTTTACTAAATAATATACGCCCAAGGTTCAAAACCAATTCAGTAACGTACATTCAACTACTAGCGTATGGTCTATGATAAATAAATTAATAATACATTTTTGTTTTGGTCAAATTAATCATGAACAAGCAACAGAGTTATTTAGCCATTGGGTTCTTTATGGTTTTGGTAATCAAAGGTAATACAAATTCATTTTATGTTTTATTAGTAATATTATACTGTGTACATTATCCATAGTAACAAAATACCTAGCAAGATGGTTCGGAGGAAATTTATAAATAGTTATGTATTTTATTATTTTTATTTATTTGAGCTTCGGCAACTTTGGTCATTAGCTATTTTGTTTTTCTATTTATTGTCAATCTATTTGTTCCTATCCGGTATTAATTCCGGCACATATGACCTATGTGTTCAAGAACAAATTTTCTATAGGTAATATGATAAAAGTCGTTTGAGAATCACACGGAGATATCCAACCAAGACGGTTACAATCTAATATTGTTATACATTTGTTGTTAATTATCATTACCATTATTTATCAAAACTCCTAGAAAGAGTACAAATGTTTTTTTTCATTTCGCTACATTATGTGTAGTGCGGAACTTAAGTCTGAAAATAAATACTAAAAGAATATCTGCTATGACCTCATTACAAACACTTGTTCTTCAGAAATCGTAGACAATTATTTAAAGATCAACGACATCTATATTATAATAAACAAATAATAACAAACAAACCACCACTAAATATATGTTTATAATTTACATCTGTATCTTCAAAAAGCGACGATACGTTTTGTATCGTTAAATAATGTAGACAAAAGACAAATACCATCACACATTTTGTAATATTTTTTTTTTTTTATTGAAACAAGTTTCTATTGACCTTATTATGTTTTATTATTTGCGTTTCTGATCGTCTGAATTGGGTTGCACGGTGGTACCATATTGTTATACTTAATAGAGCAAATTCAAATGTTGTATGAAACCAAAAATAATTACCTTATGTGTTAACAGAAGATTTAACTAAAACTGATAGAACCAAAATGTTTTTTTACACTTTTTATAAATAGACTATTATGTACATCAAAATATGCTAGACCTATCTTCTAAGTAATTTCCAATTGTTAAACCCTGAAATGTCATCAAAAAAACAATTTGAAACCGTTTTCTTCTTGGTTTTGTAAAAGAAGAAATTGAATTTTTCTACTTGAGACCCACCAAAGTACTATCTGCATATCTATTCGGATCTAAAGAAGTTTTATATGAGTAAATCGGTTGACCGGAAATTAGTTATCGTGACTTCAGCCACAAACAAAAACACGTCTCTATAAAACCATATCTTCTCACCTATCGCATCGATGCTCAAAATGTACTATCTAGCTATAAAATATTTTAATACAATTTTATATAGTTATTGCAGGGTTTCGAATTAATGACCCAACTATTAGCTTCGAAACAGTTTTGAAAGAGGTACAAGCAAAATATAAACAAATAACTAAAGAAAACATTGATAAAGTTGTAAAGGATGGAGAGAAAACTCCAGGCTTTCCGGATATAAACCGTACGTCCTTTGCTATTAATTTCATAACATTTTTGTTTTTATTGGTGTTTATTTTTCGTTAAAAAATTATATGCATTGTGTAGTTTGCTTTTATAATCGACTGCTGAAGAAGAACAATAAACCCTGATAACTTAATTTTTTTCATTTCTTCTACTAATTATTTTATTGGTCATAATAGGTAAAGAAATTATCTATTTTTTTCACGCCGCAAAATTTGATGTACAAAAAACTGTTAAATTGATAGTCGATCATTATGATGTTCGGAAAAATTTACCAACTATATTTAACTCCGATGGTAAAGATCCAGAAAAAAGCGAATTAGAAGATGCTAGAAAAGTCGTGTAAGCAGCAACCATAATTTAAATATATATTTTTACGGTATAAATACTACCACAACCATGCACACCGGTTTTTATTTTACATATTAAGAATTAGGCACACGTTTTATAAGTTATTATACAATTTTCGTTCCCTTATAGTTTCTAAATTTCACTTCCCAAATAAAAAAATAACTACACATACTCCAAGTATCCTATTCACTTTTTCGTATAAAATATTAATATAGAGCTCTTCCAAAATTACCTTCGCTACCTTTATAAGTATATTATAACCCTACTAAGGTTTTATGGGGATGATTTTCGGATATATCCACATCAATAGTTATAGGCCAACGTTTCGGACCCATTGCAGAGTCCATCTTCAGGTCGAAAATGGTCTCGACTGTTCAGCTGCCGTGACCATACTGACTGCCCGCTCATTCCTTACTGCTATTTATACGTGCAGTGTCTTTGATGTCATGTTTCTCGACCAATTGAGATCGAGCTTATTGTCGTATCACAATATGTTATGTCAAGTCGTGATGAGTCATATTGTTCCGTATTCTTATGCATTTTTTTACATTTCCTAGCAGTGTCCATATATCCTTCTTAATATTTTCCTTTAAATATCCTCAGTCTCGACTCATCACTTTTCTTTACAGTCCTTCATTGCGCTCCATACAATATCACAGATCTTATTAGCGTAATGTATAGCTGGACTTTTAGTTTCTTGGAGAGTGTTCTTGACTTAAATAAGTTGCCCAAGGCGTAATAACACTTGTTGCCATTTGAATCTTTTTTAGTATCTCATACTCCATATTGTTTGATTGGGTGATCATTGTACCCAGATATTTGAATTCTGATACTGTTTTGAAACTGTTAACAAAGAACTTCTTTGTTTGTCTTTCATCCCGTGGTCTTTTGACTTCCATAAATTCTGTTTTCCTTCATTAATTTGCCAGCCCGCTCTTTTGGCCGCTTCTATAAATCTTTCGCATAGGCTTTTCACTGTATTTATGTTGTTCCCTAGAAGCACTATGTCGTCTGCATATGCTAAAAGACTTATTTATGTTCCATCCAATTTTGCCCCTTCATCTGGTAATATATTCATCATTCTAACTATTTTTTTCTAGAACCAAATTATCTGTGAATACCTGTACCTCTCTCGAAGGTTAGCAACCTTGACTTTTACCATAGTCTTATTTAAACTGGCCTTAATTGGTCCTTTAAGCTGTCGTGGGAGGCGGAAATGTTCCGAAATTTTGTAAATAATTTCCCTACTGATACTATCATACGCCTTTTGGAAATCTACGAAGAGTGTATGTAGTTCTTGATGGAATTCCCAAGTTTTTTGAAATAATTGTATTATAATAAATATTTGGTTCCTCTGAAACCACTTTGGTAGTCCCTTATAATTTTTTCCGCAAAAGGCTTGGCTCTATCCAGAATACCATAAGATAGTATCTTATAGGTCACATTTACTAAGGCTATACCTCTATAGTTGTTACATTCCTTTTCATCATTCTTTTTATATAAATTATCAGATAGAATGATATTGTTACTTTTTAGGAGTTGTTCTATATTGCATAACGATTCGTACGAGACCGATGGACTGCATTACATATATACGCATTTCGTAGATACAAATCCAGACAAGTTTGACTTGGAAATGATTTCCAGATACTTTTTCTACATGATAAAATGTTTACTCATAAAGTTTGGAACATTTAATGGTGTCGTTATTATCATAAACGAGGAAGGCTTCAAAGTATCACATTATTATAAATTATTAAAATATTACCAACTATATCCACATTTTTCAAAACTCTTACACGTACGTACAATGTCAACGTAACATAGTTTAATAAGGGGCTCAACGAGAGTTGAAGTAATTTTTAACATAATATATGGTAATATGTAATGGTCAATGTTTAGAAGAATATACATCTTTAAATAACCATAATTTATAATTAAATATAAATAATAAATAAAAACACTTTTTTGAATTTTCAAAGTCAGCCCTACCGTTCCGGTTAAAACAAATTTATGTGTTGAATGCAAGTTATTCGGTCAATCTTCTTTATAGTGTACTTACTGCGTTTCGCGAAAAATCAGCTGTGAGCATGGTAAGCTTGGAATTGGCAAATAAAGGAAGTTTTGTAAAATTAATAACTATATTATTATAAATATGTATAATGTAATATATTGATTTGACGGTAGGTTTTACTTTACGGTAAAAACTCGCAAAAAGTGTACAAGCATGTTCCCAAGAAAATTATGCCTAATGAATATTTAAACGGTGAAGGGTCGAGCTATAAAGACCAAGCCAGTAACTACAAATACATCATATTATTATTTATAATTCTCTAGAAATTTAATGCTTATGATGAAATATTTTGTTTTGCAGAAAAAACATATGCCCTAATGGAAGAATTACACCGTCAAGATGAACCAAAGCATTATGATATCCCGATTACTGAGGATTAAATATTTTTTAATTTGTTTTTATCCGTATTTAAATTAAAAATAGTACTATTCATTTTTGTGAATATTACAATCTTACTTATCAGTTATCTATCTTAAATTGTATATTTTTTTTTATCAATAAAGTTAAGTAAAAATAACTAAAGACTAAAAGTCACATTCATTAAAGCAAAATTAAAAATGTATTATTTATTTTATTCTTATAACGATGATTATTTTCTTGAGATAATAAAAATCTAGTAAAAATAAAGTTTTACTCATTACTCATCATCAAATATTTTATGTTCATATCCTTGGTTATGAAATTAAAGCTATCAAAACTTCTTGTACCCATTGTGTTCTTATACTTCAATTATTAATAAAACCTATAAATGTAATGTTTATTTGTATATTTATCAAACAAATTTTTTTATTTATTTTGAAATAGAGTCGCTTTTCCCCTCTACGACAACAGACTGACAGCTGTAAAAACCATAAATTTAAGTGATTGAAAATGGGCGGTTTTAAGATGTTTTATAAATAGGAAATATTTAAGAAAAATGGGGTTTTAGTCGATCCCATCAAATTTATTGTGATGTTAATTATCAGGTTATGAATTTAAAGCCTTTGAAACGTATGAGTAAGGATTTTAATTACAAGTCATCTCCTCAAACTCTATACATCTCGTTATTTGGTCTTATTTTGATGGGTTTTTTTTAATGGATTCACTGATAGTATCCCTCAAGTTTATCTACTGTCCAAAACAACTTTTTTATAAACTTTTTATCTTAAAAATACCACATTACTTGTAGCTTTTTTACATAATTACCCACAGATATATATGTATAAATAACTAGATTGCTTACTGTACATGCCGACATAGAGAAAATTTAAGTTTCCGCTATATTTGTGGGATTTAGGACCTTATCACATAACAATTATAAGCCGTCGATATATATATATGTGTATATTTTAAATCTGTGCTTATAAACAGTAATATCGGGTTTTAATGTTGTAAAAATAATTTAGCTGATTGACCTTTTTAGGTTAATGTTAGTTGATTTTTGAAAGCGGTTTGGTTTACTTAAAAATCGAATTAAATGAATACTAAAAATTTAAGAAATTTGAAAAATTCAAAGATGATTAAGTTCAATTATTTTTTTAAATATAAAAAATAGATTATTACAATACCCTAGAAAAAGAGGCCAAAAGTCAGGTGCAATACATTTTCAGATAGTGTATAAATGTATTGATGTTAACTGGATATTGTGCGAAAATATATAAACATGTGATCAAATTTGTTTTTGGGAAATTTTAGTTGTATACAGAATACAAAAAATACGTTTAAAGATCAACTACGAGTAAACGATTATTTTTTTTTTTTTCAGAAAACAATTTTTTGAACTGTTATAGCCTATGTATAACAAAAAAAAGCCAGTACGGTGGGGTGGGGCATAGTGGAGAGGTCACAGGCCTACAGATTTTATTAAAACTGAAAGTGATAAAATCACTTTTAAATAAACGCTTCGATGCGAATCTGTGGATAGTGTGTTCAAACCACTTATAGCGGTTTAGAAGATATCGTGGGACCAGCAATAATGTACTTAAAATTTAATATTTAGTCTTGTGCAGGGTGGATACGATAAGGGTTGATCGTCTGTCTATAAAAATGTACTGTCATAATTACCCATATATCGTAATTAACAATATAATACAAATATTTTCATTACCTGTTGACTGTTGATTCACTCGCGCATAGCAACCTAGATACTGACTACGGCCAAAGTGTAAATATATAGGTTAAATTTGGGGGTTTTTCCTCAATAAACAAAAAAAATTGACTATGGATTTTTTGAGAAAATTGTATATCTTACAGTTCCATTTAAGATACCTTCGGTCTAATTTTCAGATCTAAATCATTAAAACTTTGCTTGAAAAAATGTAATAAAAAAAATTCTATCTCTTCTAAGGGAAAGGGTTTATGATATGTTTTTGGTTTGTTAATGTTTATCGATAGTACTATATTTGAAGAACAATTCATATAAATTTGGAACATTTTCGACTATTTTTAAAAAAGTTATTTAGCATCGTAATTTTAAGTTGAAAAATTTGTAAATTTTTAGGTGTTTTTCTCGATTTTGATAAGGAAGGGGTGACTTTTTTTAATTTTGACCCAATAAAGTAACTTTCAGGTATAATTTCTGATCTATAAAGTTGCTACACGAAGAAATCGGTTTAGCGGTTTACGAGATATCGTTGGTCCAGACACAAAAATAAATAAATAAATAAAAACACATCATTGTAAAAACCATACCTTCTCAGCTCCGCATCGAAGCTAAAATAATAACGAACAAATTAAATAAGTTTCCTCATAACATTAATATTATTGTTAAATTCTATTTGTTAAGTTAACAACACGTTACTTTGGTTACCAAAGTGGTTACCTCGATTCCAACGTTTTTATTGGTTATTAAGATATGTGCCAAACGATAAGTGATTGTATTATTTAATTTGTCAGTTTGTTATTATTCGACATTTTATTTTACTTTTTTTAACGATTCGGTTTATATAAATAATATATATTATATACCTAACCTAAATAAAATAACTTCTGCTTACCTAATGAAGGGTTATCAAAGTTGTCTTTTCTATTGTTCTCTAAATACTCAATATAAAAGAAGTTCTTCAACAAATGTATAGATCATTATTATATACTACTATTGTCAACAAAAATTATAAATCCATTTCTAAACTCTAATAATATAAATATTATATTCAAGTACTAGAATACATTTTAACATGCCGATTAGCTTTTCGACAAGTCGATTTCGGGTGATTAATTTAACAATGTGTTAAGGCTAACAAATCACGATGAAATCCAATTTTCACTAACTAGTTGTTAAATATAATTAACAATAAGCTAAATTCGTAACAAATAATGGTGAAATCGGCTAAGGGTTTAATCAACGATAATTCCATTATCACCACTTTTACGCAAAGTATTAATAACAAAATTTAACTATACATACATTTTTACACAGCGATAAATGTAATTTAACTCGTGATAAAGTATATTTTTAACAACAGATACAATTTAAAACATAATTTATACAACAGTATTTATTTCAACACCAGTAAACCAAGTTTATCTCTGTGTAAATAATTGGTGCAACCCGGCATTAATGTAATAATTATTACAAAATGGTACACCATATATGCCTAATTAAATTGTCTATCAAATTACACAATACAGAAAGGTCAAAATTTAAGTATACAGATTTATTTCCCGTTGTGCATTTACTATGGTCAAAAACGTTTCATTAAATTGTCCATTATTTCGTAACACTCAGTAAATTAAATCACTTGTTTAATTATTAAAGATTATTATTATGTATACGTTCATAAACTACAGCTATTCAAATAACGATAAATCTTACACGCATATCTTTAAGGTCACGTGACGTTTGTGGATGGCTTTGTAAATCAAAAATCGAATAACACAATCAGTATAGCAAAATACCCACGTGCAACACAATTTCCAATGTAAAGAAAACTGAACGTGTACAAACTCAATGATGCTTACGGTTTTTTATGCGAAAATAAACAAAAACATTTGTTCGTCTCTGTTTTCGAAATATTTTAGTTGCGTGCAGTAATCGAAAATTTCGGCCAAGGCTCAACTAGAAAACTAGTACAGTAATGTAAATGTGAATAGTAATAATTCAGTGATACAATTTTATTTTGATAAATTTAATAATGAACAAGCGACACAACTATCTGGCCGTCGGGTTCTTCGTGGTTTTTGCAATCCAAGGTAATACGGATTTAATTTTATATGTTTTTCTTGTAATATCATGTACCATCATCATTATCCATAGTAATCAAATAACCAGCGAGTCGATTTCAAGGAAATAATTAAATTGTTATGTAGTTTTTTTTTGTTATTATTATTTCAGCTTCGGCACAAATTTGGCCTTTTTTAGCTGTTTGATTAATTGGGTTTAATGTTAAAGTTGGGTTTGTGGTCACCCATCCGGGATTAAGCAGCAACTTCTATAGCTTTATCTCGGATATCCCGTCACAGCTAAGGTATCCAAAACGCCACACCATGCCCCTCCTATTATGTAGTTGGATATATTGACATTTTGTCACCTTATGTTGTTTTGTATTCGGTATAAATTGTCATGACACTTAGTTTAACGCACATTACTAATGACGGTAACAACAAAGAAAGGGGGGAGTGGTACAAATTCATCATTAAAACTGTCATGTACTTAAAGATCAAAATTAAAGAAGTTTGTCCAATCATTTATTTGATAAAAGACTACTAATTGAACACAACTTTTTAGGGTTAAACAATTTGCTAGTAGATATAAATAATATTCTTTCTCTGAATAACATGCCTGCCAACTTTTAAGTCAGTACAGCGTGACAAACGTTCGACGCTTACCAACTTAAAATAATCAAATTAAAGTTGTTGGTTTTTATAAAATAAATTTTAAATGTATTAAAACCGATTTTTAACAAAAAATGTCACTCATCTAACCATAAACTTCTTTAAAAAAAACAAAATTAACAAATACACATTGGTTATATTGACATTTTGTCATACCTCCTTGTGTTGTTTTGTATTCGCTGCTATAGACCGTCAACACGCTTAGTTTAACGCACATTACTAATGACGGTAACCAAAAAAAGAGTAGGAGGGTTGTAAAAATTCATCATTAAAAGTGTCATGTACTCAAAGATAGCAATTGTGATCAATATTAAAGAAGTTTGTCCAATCATTTATTTGATAAAAGACTACTTTTCCAACATTTTGACGACAATTTGCCAGTATATTAAGATGATATTCTTTCTCCGAATAACAGGCCTGCCAACTTTTAAGTCAGTACAGAGAAAAAAACGTTTATCAACTTAAATAAATCAAACAAAAGTTGTTGATTTTTATAAAATCAATTTTAAATGTATTAAAACCGATTTTTAACAACAAAATAAACTTATCTAGCTATAGACTATTTACGTGATTTTTGGTAAAACATAAAACAACATTAATTAAAAGCAAACATATTATAATATTACTGATAAAAAAAAAGATAAGAAATTATTTTGTTATGCTCTGTTAGTGATTTCGGTAACTAATTGGTAATACAATTTCAATATAGGTATCGCAGGGTTTCGTGAGATTGATCCAACTATTAGCTTCGAAGCATTTGTTGAAAGGGAACGACAAAAATATCCTGAAATAACTGAAGAAAACATTAATGCAGTTATAGATCATGGAAAGAAAAATGGAAACTTTCCGGCAATAGACCGTACGTCCGTAGCTATTTAATTTCATAAAATTGTTGTTTGTATTGATGTTTTTGTTAGTTGTAAAATTGTATATATGTATATTTATTGTGTAATTTGCCCTAATGATTACCGCTGAAGAACAATAAACATTTAGGTATAATGTAATTTTCGTCAATTCAAAAATGTTAATTATTGTTTCCGTTTTATTAGGTAAAGAAGTTGTCTTTTTTTTTCATGCTGCAGAATTTAAGGTGCAAGAGACTTGTGATAGGATAGTCAAACATTATGAAATTCGGAAACAGTTGCCAGAAATATTTACCGAAGATGAAAAAGATCCGAAAATAACCGACTTAGAAATAGCTAAAAATGTCATGTAAGCAACAAGCAATTAAAAATGTCCATGGTTTAAATATTAGCTGTTTTTACACAGATATGTCTTCTGAAAATTATTCTGTCATGTATGTCATGATAGTGAATTAGATGTACTAGGTTGCAGGACTATCTATGTTTTGAATTTTGATGTATCTGCGTGAAGTGTGCATACTCTTTACTTTTTATTTAACATATCAAAAATAAGGCACACATTTTAAAAGTGGTTGTAATAATGATTTTCGCTCCCATACAGTTTCTGATATTCACTGCTAAATTATGTAAATAACTACACTTACTCCAAACACCCTAATCACACTTAAGTGTAAAATATTCTACTCTATTTTTAACTATAATATAACAGCCGGTTTCACTAACATTTGTTAAGAATTTAGTTTATTTTTAATTGTATTTAACAACTAGTTAATGAAAATTGGGTTTCATCGAGATTTGTCAGCCTTAACACATTTTTAAAACGATTGTTAAATTAATCACCCGAAATCAGCTTGTCAAAGAGTTAATCAGCATGTTAAAATGTATTGCAGTACTAGTTCAGAAATGGTTTTATAATTTTTGTTGACTGGGTATATTAGTAATATATAATAACGAATTACACATTTGTTGAGGAATTTCTTTATTATGAGTGTTTTGAGAACAATAGAAATGACAACTTTGATAACCCTTCATTAGGTAAGCAGAAATTATTTATGTAGGTAGATTAGGTAAGAAGGAATGGCACAGACTTGTATTATAGGTTCGAATATCATAATTTATAGTATTTAGTAATTAATAAAATATTATTTTTTGCCTGTCCTGAGTATAACAAAGAAAATAATTCTTATCAATACCTTCCTTTAATTTAGACCTTCTATATTGAAAAAAATTTTGGTAAGATGATATTGTTATTTTTTAGGAGTTATTCTATACTGCGTAACGAATTTTACGAATCCCATGGAATGCATTACATATATATGCATTTCATAGATACAAATTCAGACCGTTTTGACTTCTTCAAGAATATCAGATACTTTTTCTACATGTTTAAATGTTTGCTCAGAAAGTACGGAACATTTGACGGTGTCATAATCGTCATTAACGCAGAAGGCTTCACATTTCATCACTTGTTAAAATTGAAATCTCATCGACAGCTATTCTCATCATTTTCAAAACTCTTACACGTGCGTACAATGTCAACATAATAAAGTCTCTAACAAGGGACTCAAAGAAAAAAGCTTACTGTTAATTATATTTAACAACTAGCTAGTGAAAATTGGATTTCAATATTAAAAAATAAATAAATAAATAAAATTTGTAAAAATACAATATAATATATATATATATATTATAATAAGTAAAAATTACCCTTTTTTTATTTTTAAAGGGGGCCTTACCGTTGCGGCTAAAAAAAATTTACCTGTTGAATGCTTCTAGAACGGTAAAGGTTGCTTATGTATTAGTCAGTTATTTTCGTGATTCAAAAGATAAGAGATTGGTAATTAGCAAATAAATACAATTTTGTATAATTAAATAATTATACCATAAATATATACTATAATGTTGCTTTTACGGTAGGTTGCAGTTTGCCGTCCAAACACCAATCAAGTGTTCATAGATGTTCCCAGGGAAATTATGCCTATAGGTTATATGGATGGAAAAGGACAGAGTTATGTAGCCCAATCAGGTAACTATAGAGATGTCAGATTATCACATAAAATTCTCTAGAAATGTAATGCTTATGTTGAAATATTTTGTTATGCAGAGGAAACATATGCCCTTTTGACAAGAATTCACCATGAAGATAACCCGGTTACTTAGGATTAAATATATTTTAATTTGTTCTCATTTGTATTTAGATTAAAAACGGCAGTAATTCATTTTGTTAATAGTACCATCGCTCCACTAGTTGACCAACTTAAATTGTATAATGTTATTATTATTTTAATAATTAATAAAATCAATAAAATATTATGTAATGTTTATCTGTGTGTTTATCCGACAAACAATATTAAAATAATTAAAGAATAATTTCAAAATTACCAACTGTTAATCAGTTAGTATAAAAAACATATCCTTTTGTACAAAGCTATTAAAAGAATTTAATGATTATTCTATGCAACAACTTGTTTATAGAAATGCCATGTATTTCACATACAAATTCAATTTAATTGATTTTAAACCGATGTACTATAATACAAGACACACAACTAACTTGTGAAATTCCTGCAACCTGAACGTTACAGTCAAGCCGATGTTATTCACAAGTAAGTGTAAACGTATTAAGGGGATTGCATGTGGTCCGCTTAAAGAGTTTCGTATGGGCAATATTTAAGACGTGTTTTGTACGTTTTAATAGATTTAAATTTTCTATATTTTTGAGGTCACGGGTCGTTTATGGATGGCTTTCTGAAGGAAAAATCGAATAGCAAAATCGGTATGGCAAAATGCCCGCGTGCAAAACAATTTCCAATGTAAAGAAAGCTGAACGTGTACAAACGTAATTGTGTTTACTGGATTTTAGGCGAAAATACAAACACATCTGCTCGACTTCGTTTTTGTAATATTTTAGTTGTGTACGGTAAGCGAAAAATACTGCCAAGGCTCGACTAGAAAACTAGTACTGTAATGTAAACGTGAGTAGTGTGCACCATTTTGCTTGTGATCTAACCGTAACCATAATTCAGTGATACAATTTTGTTTTGGTCAATTTGATCATGAACAAGCAATACGGCTATCTGGCCGTCGGGTTCTTCGTGGTTTTTGCAATCCAAGGTAATACGAATTTAATTTTATATGTTTTTCTAGTAACAACACGTGTCATCGTCATTATCCATAGTAATAAAATAACCAGCAAGTCAATTTGAAGGAATTAATCAAATTGTTATGTTATTATTATTATTTTTTTAAACTTCGGCCCAAATTTGGCATTTTTTAGCTGTTTGGTTGATTGGTTTTAATGGTAAGTTAGTGGTCACCCATCCGGGATTAAGCAGCAACGGGTAAAGCTTTTTTTATATGTCACGTGACAGCTGACGTATCCACTGCGTCATACCATGCCCCTTCTGCTAGTTATGTAGTTTATTACACATTGGTTATATTGACATTTTGTCATACCTCCTTGTGTTGTTTTGTATTCGCTGCTATAGACCGTCAACACGCTTAGTTTAACGCACATTACTAATGACGGTAACCAAAAAAAGAGTAGGAGGGTTGTAAAAATTCATCATTAAAAGTGTCATGTACTCAAAGATAGCAATTGTGATCAATATTAAAGAAGTTTGTCCAATCGTTTATTTGATAAAAGACTACTTTTCCAACATTTTGACGACAATTTGCCAGTATATTAAGATGATATTCTTTCTCCGAATAACAGGCCTGCCCACTTTTAAGTCAGTACAGAGAAAAAAAACGTTTATCAACTTAAATAAATCAAACAAAAGTTGTTGATTTTTATAAAATCAATTTTAAATGTATTAAAACCGATTTTTAACAACAAAATAAACTTATCTAGCTATAGACTATTTACGTGATTTTTGGTAAAACATAAAACAACATTAATTAAAAGCAAACATATTATAATATTACTGATAAAAAAAAAGATAAGAAATTATTTTGTTATGCTCTGTTAGTGATTTCGGTAACTAATTGGTAATACAATTTCAATATAGGTATCGCAGGGTTTCGTGAGATTGATCCAACTATTAGCTTCGAAGCATTTGTTGAAAGGGAACGACAAAAATATCCTGAAATAACTGAAGAAAACATTAATGCAGTTATAGATCATGGAAAGAAAAATGGAAACTTTCCGACAATAGACCGTACGTCCGTAGCTATTTAATTTCATAAAATTGTTGTTTGTATTGATGTTTTTGTTAGTTGTAAAATTGTATATATGTATATTTATTGTGTAGTTCGCTCTATGATTACCACTGAAGAACAATAAACAATTAGGTATAATGTAATTTTCGTCAGTTCAAAAATATTAATTATTGTTTCCGTTTTAACAGGTAAAGAAATTGTCTTTTTTTTTCATGCTGCAAAATTTAATGTGAAAAAGGCTTGTGACATAATAGTCAAACATTATGAAATTCGGAAACTGTTACCAGAAATATTTACTAAAGATGAAGAAGATCCGGAAATAACCGAGTTAGAAGAAGCTAAAAACGTCATGTAAGCAACAATCAATTAAAGATTTGCACTGTCTAAATACGGTTTTGACATAGAATACTTAGAGTGGTCGGGTTTTAATGTTGTAAAAATAATTCAGCTGTTTGACCTTTTTGAGATGGTTATGTCTTATGGTCAGTTTGAAATATGGTCTGTCACATTTTGTGTCACAGTGCTGATTATGGAGGAGGATTGCGGACGTGAATTAATAGAGATAGTGGATAAGGGATAATAGATTAGAGATAAAATATTAGAGATACTAGATTGCCGGACATATCCATGTGTTGATGTATCTACATGAAGTGTGGATACTTTATTTCTACATAATTTACATACAATTTTCTCTTAATTTTCGCTCACATACAGTTCCTCGATTTCGCTGCCAAATCATAAACTTTTTCCAAACATCTTAATCACACTTTAGTACAAAATATTCTCCTCTATTTTTAAGTACAATATTATGACCCTTTGCTCTTCCCAAAATATTTGTTTTGACGTTCTTAAGATCTGTTAAAAATAAAAATGTATAAACGAATGTTAGTCAATCCTATTTAATGCAATTCAAAGTAAAATACTTGTTTAGTGTACTTTGATTTTATAGTCTACACAACGTCTCAATAACTATTATATACACTATCCAAACCCTTATTATTTACCAAAAACATTGAACGGCAAAATGGTCTTTAAGATTTAGACACAATTTTTTCTACATTTTAAGAAAATAACAATATAATATGTTTACCTCGTATAAGTATAGGTACAACAATAGCAATTATTATTTATTTCTTCAAACACTATTGGTATGATGATATTGTTATATTTTAGGAGTTATTCTATATTGCATAACGAAAAGTACGAGCCCCCTGGAATGCATTACATATATACGCATTTCATAGATAAAAATCCAGACAATTTTGACTTCATCAAGAATGTTAGATACTTTTTCTACATGATAAAATGTTTGCTCAGAAAGTACGGAACATTTGACGGTGTCATAGTGGTCATGAACGCAGAAGGCTTCACATTTCATCACTTGTTAAAATTGAAATCTCATCAACATCTATTCTCACCATTTTCAAGTCTCATACACGTGCGTACAACGTCAACATAATATTGTCTCTAACAGGGACTCAAAGAAAATTTAAGTAACTTTTACCATAACCAGCCGGTTTCACCAACATTTGTTAAGAATTTAGCTTATTGTTAATTATATTTAACAACTAGTTGGTGAAAATTGGATTTCATCGTGATTTGTTAGCCTTAACACATTGTTAAATTAATCACCCGAAATCGGCTTGTTTAAAAGCTAATCGGCATGTTAAAATGTATTCTAGTACTTATATATAATATTTATATTACTAGAGTTTAGAAATGGATTTATAATTATTGTTGACTGAGTACATTATTAGTATATAATAATGATCTTCACATTTGTTGAGGAACTTCTTTTATATTGAGTATTTAGAGAACAATAGAAAAGACGAATTCGATAACCCTTTATTAGGTGAGCAAAAGTTAGTTAAGGTAGGATGATTAGGAAAAAAGGAATGGCACAAAATTGAATTATAGGTTCAAATATCATAATTTATTGTATTTTGTAATTTAGATAATATTACTATGTCTTACCTGTCCTGAGTATAACAATGGAAATAATTCTTATCAATACCTACTGTTTTTTAGACCTTCTAAATTGAAAAAAAATTATTTAAATGATCTTGATGATAATCTATTTTTAAAAAGGTATAGACAATCTAAACAATGTGTTAAAAAGTTATTTATAAATAATTTATATAAACCGAATCGTTAAAAGAAAGTAAAATAAAATGCCAAATAATAACAAACTGTCAAATAAAATAGTACAATCACTTATCAATTATCACACTCAACTAGATAACCAATGAGAACGTTGGAATCGAGGTAACCGTTTTGGTAACCCAACTAACGTTTTGTTAACTTAACAAATAGAATTTAACAATAATAATGTTATGGTGAAACTTATTTCAGTTAAATTTTAATGAATTGTTAACTAACATTGTGTTAAGAGTGTATTTAACAATGGTTGGTGAAACCGGCTGAATATATTATTATATAGTAAATAGGATAATTGGTAAACTTTCAAAAAATAAAAAACGAAATCCAAAATATATTATATGTATAAGTATAAATAACACTTTTTTGATTTTCAAAGGGGGCCTTACCGTTGCGGCTAACAAAAATTTACGTGTTGAATGCTTCTAAAACGGCAAAGATGGCTCATTCATTTTTCAGTTTGTTTCGTAATAAAAAAGAAGAGAGCTCGGTAAGCTTCGAACCAGCAAATAAATGACATTTTGTATAAATGATAATTGTATATCATAACATAATGTAATATTGCTTTTACGGTAGGTTACACTTTACAGTCCAAAAAACAAAAAAGTGTTCGAGGAAGTTTCCAAGACTATTATGCCTGAAGATGGATATTTAAACGGAGAAGGGCCGAGTTATATAGACCAAGCCGGTAACTATAAAGATGTCGTATAATTATTTAAAATTTGTGTAGATATTTAATGCGTATAATAAAAACATTTGGTTTTGCAGAGAAAACATATGCCCTTATGAAAAAAATTCACCAAGAAGATAACCCGGTTACTGAGAATTAAATATATTTTTATTTGTTCTTATTTGTATTTAGAATAAAAATTGGTAGTTATTCTTTTTTGTTAATAGTGCCATCTCTCCACCAGTTAACCAACTTAAATTGTACAATGTTTTTAACAATAATAATAAGTAGAAATTGCTAAAGACTACAATTATTAGTCATATTCATAATACAAATTTAAAGTAAAGCAAAATTAAAAATATTTTATTTATTGTATTCTTACAACGATAATTAGTTTTTTAACATAAAATATTCATCATCAAATTTTATGTTGAGATGCTTAGTAATGAAATTGAAACTTTTCAAACTTCTTGTACCCAATTTGTTCTCACTTTTTTTAATATCTAATTATTAAAACCTATGAAATAATCTGTAATGTTTATTTGTATATTTATCAGACAAATAATAATAAAATATTTAAAATAAATTCAAAATCACAAATTGTTAAGTAGTTTATAAAAAAAACATATCCTTCTATAAAATCTATTTGAAGAATTATAAAATATAAAACACCCATATAGTTTAGAAATTCCTGCTATCCGAACGTTAAAGTCAAGCCAATGCTTTTCACAAGTAGGTCTAAACCTATTAAGGGGATTGCATGTGGTCTATTTTTAAGGAGTTATGTATAGGCAATATTAAAAAAAAACGCGGTTTTAATAAATTTCTACCATGTCAATTAATTTACCGGTTAATTTGTATAAGCTTCAAGGTATTATTTTTAATTTAAATCATTTTTTCTATGAGCAACAGCCATTTTTGTTAATTTTTTAACAAAATGTCGATTACATAGGTTAGTTCAATTTCAATTTTGTTAAGAGATTTGAGTTCTTTGGCTACTTTACTATGTTATGCAGGAAGCCAATTTTCTTTTAAAATGTTCAGTTTCTTGTAATTAAATAAATTAAATTTTGCAATTTTTTCAATATTAAAACCAAATTGTTTTACATAAAAAAAGCAAAATATCAAAAAACCGGTTTCCTACATAACATATTAAAATATGGTTGATCTTAACATAAGCAAATTTATAGTTTTTATGGTGGTTATGGTGTGAATCGAATTTATCCAATTTATACATACTATTAGTTACCGAATACTATTTTTCATTATTATGTATTATTTCATTTATTTATATTTATATTTTACAATCAACTTATTTTCCATTTTACTCTAATTTCACTAACAATAAGAACAAGTTATCACAGCGATGAGTTGGGCTGTTATACTCATATTTTTTTGTTTTTGTTCTTCAAATCTATTTATAGAAGATGGTCAAAAACAAGATCTCTTCGACAAAGCACAGTTTAAGTTTTTCAAAAAGTTAGAGGCTGTTTTTTAATGTTAAATATGTATAAAAATTGGCTTTTAATATTGAAAAAATTGCAAATTTAATTCTGTTAACTACGAGAAACTGAAATTTTTGAATGAAAATCGGCTTCCTACATAGCATAGAAAAGAAGCCAAATAATTCTAATCTAAATTGGGCCGTCTTAAGTAGTAGACATTTCGGCTGGCTTTTTGGTCTAAAATAAACCAAAATGTTTGTTGCTTATGAAAAAAATCATTAAAATTAAAAATAACACCTTGAAGCATATACAAGTTGACCGGTAAATTTAATTGACACGGTCGAAATTTGTTAAAACTTTTTTTTTCTTGAATATTGCCTATACAAAACTCCTTAAAAGCAGACTGCACGCAATTGCCTTAACGGGAAATGTCCAATACACCATAACTGCCGATAACGGTCACGATAATAACTTTTTATTGTTAATAAAATATGTAAAACTATTTACTTGCAATATCCGAACCGGCCGGTAACGCAATAATATAGTGAAATTTATCGAGCGCAACGGTTAATTGTAGTTTTATTGAACATTTTAGCCGGCAACTCGTCGGAAACCGTTTCTTATTGTCGGCAATACAATTACCGGTTGTTATCGTGGTAATCTGTAGATGTTACTCGTATGGATTAAAACATTGGTGTTTTATGTGAACGCGTTGCACATGATTTTGGACTGAGGTACGACCTTGCCCTTCCCCACAGTCCATCGTCGTGACGTACACGTTTAGGTAGCCGGTGAAGAAAATGCTTAATAAACGTTTATGGGTGGTGTATGTGCTGTGTCAATTTACTTTTGGTGTTATCACGTGCAGGTCTGTTATATTTTAGCCGTCCGCTATTGTTGATGTGGTCGCCACTAGTCGCTGAAAACGAAATCGACCACTAACCATAGAAATAGTGTGTATTGCTCGGATTTTGTTATTTTAGTTCTCCTCGTTTTATGAAAAATAATAATAATATTATGTACACTCCTTCGGTTACGTTTGACGACTACTTTCGAGGGGAACAGAGTAAATATCCACAATTGAAACGACAAGATGTACAGAAGTTAAGAGACGCCTTGGACAAGGAAAAACAACTACCGGCCATTTCAGGTATTCATTAATTATATTGTGTTTTTTTTACTTAGACCAACAATTAGAAATGATAGTTTATTGAAGCAAAAAAAAAAAAAAATAGGATTCGACAAATTTTTAAACAAAATAACATATTATTTAAATATACATAAATTTGGATAAATTAATCATTTACATCTACTCAAAGTTGTAGTATAATATTGTCAATTATATAAGTTAACTATGATGTCATTACTAATAAAATGTTTTAAAAAATTAGTATGTATATAAATACCAGTTCTTATTAATTTGAAAAACAAATTTTGTTCTATCCCATCTCAATTTTATTCCCACCGCTTGAAAAGTGATTACAATATTTTATTTTTTGTTTTAATAAAAGTAGGTAAATTGCTTTTAAATATTTATTGAATTTAAGATCAAACCATTTCCGAACGAATAATCTAAAAATTAAATTACTATTTAAAAAAAATAGCTACAATGTGGTTAGTAGAAAATTGAAATCTTTGTGTTAATATTTATGAGAACAAGATTCTACATTTTACAGTATAATTCTTAAGTTTTTTATTTTAGAAAATCTATTTGTAAAAATTTGCAGAATATTTATCTTGTGCCTAATTACTATAATTCCATGCTTTTATACTTAAAAACAAGTATTTATTTACATTATATCTTTATCGTTGAAAAATATAGTCTTGAATGGTTATTTTCATGCTTTTTTTATAATCTTGTATTTACCTAACAAGAGAAATCTATTTTTGGTTTATATCTTTTCTATTATTAACTGTATATGCTAGTTTGTAATTAAAAATGTAATAATATATTTCATAACTATTGTTTAACTCTCTGCCTTCACCACAAGCTCAGCTTATAAAAGGTAGTTAATATATGTAAAAATATTTTATGTTTCTGTAATAATATGTTATTTTAAAATAAATAATATTAAAAAAAGTCGACCAAGTTAGGTACCTAATTAAGTCAAATTACTAAAACAATGTTACTAATTAAAATAACAAATTATTAAATTACAAATAAATACAAAAGTAGCCAATATTGTCTTGTACTATTTATACAAGTATGCTTAACATTATTTATTTTTTTCAAATTGTAATATTTGATTGATTAATATTATATTATACGTGTGTGTGTGTGATATATTTTGAACGATATCCGTTTTGAGTTTTTTTCCTTACGTCGCAGTTCTTTTAACGCAGACAGAAATAAACAGACTTAGCATATTTCTAAAAATTCTATGTGTCGTTCCCTGCCAGAGCTAGTTAATAACATACTACTTACTTTTGAGTATATTATCGATTTCTGAAATCGTGAATTCTTTTATTAACAATAAAATATTCGTGTATTAACCGAAGTTATGTGTACAGCTTTTTTAACTAACAATAAGACTTTATGTCAAGGGGAATTTATTTTTTCATAATTGGGGATGCTGTTCTTTATTTGATAAGTGATAACAGTGATAATTAATTTTATATGCGATGTGCGTTTAAAAACTAAACAATTTCTTTTAATAGAATCTATATTATATTTATAATAGTATTTTTATATATTTATATACTATAACCTAAGAATATTACATATATAAGATTTGGAATAGAAAAGTCTATATGACTTTTTGCCCCTATGGTATGTTCTTATTTTTTTGTGTCGTTTATCATTACTTGCAAACTTAAACTAACTAATGTACAACACTAAAACCACTACAATAGGTTTTTACGGCACACGTAAGTGGTTTTTAAAAGTATATTACATTTAATAAATTATGAAATTTTTTACAACAACAGATTGCGCATTTTCTGTTCGCTGAAACGTAAAATCACGTCACTGGTCTATAAGATCATTAATAATCTTATTGTTGTAAAATTAAAATATAATATATTAACGTTGGTTTTAAAACCCATATCTTACATTTTTTTTTTCTGTATTATAATAATTAGTCAGTCATAAATTTATTGCAGTATATTATACCACAATTGCCTATAATAGTTTAATAGTGTGCGCGGTTATTGCACTTTTTATCGCTCTGTTAATAGGAATTAATAATCAAACAAAGATAATTGCTCGTTAGCTGTTACATTAATAGTATTACAACAACAATAAAAAGAAACAACGAATATGGTTTGCTCGTTAGCCAAAGGAAACATTTTTATTTTTCATGTCATCCTTGAAGTGATTATACTTATTATTGTATTTTTGCTAGTCACGGTTAAACGCAACTAATGAAGTTTATTTATAGACCACCGGATTAATTATAGAATAAAATATATTCAGCCGGTTTCACCAAAATTTGTTAAGAATTTGACTTGTTGTTAATTATATTTAACAACTAGTTAATGAAAATTGGGTTTCATCGAGATTTGTCAGCTTTAACACATTGTTGAAACGATTGTTAAACTAATCACTCGAAATCGGCTTGTTAAAAAGTTAATCGGCATGTTAAAATGTATTCTAGTAATTATGTATAATACTTATGTTATTATAGTTCAGAAATTGTTTTATAATTTGACTGAATATAATAGTAAGATATAACAATGAATTACACATGTAATATGGAACTTCTTTTTATTGAGTATTTAGAGAACAATAGAAAAGACAACTTCGATTATCTTTTATTAGGTAAGCAGAAGTTATTTTATGGAGATTAGATAAAAAGGAATGGCACAGACTTGTATTATAGGGTCAAACAACATAATTTAATGTATTTTGTAATTTAGATAATATTATTATGTTTGGCCTGTCCTGAGTATGACAATGGAAATAGTTCTTATCACTATCTACTTTTTTTAGGCTTTTAAAATAGAAAAAAATATTTTAATGACCTTGATGACATCCTATTATTAGAAAGTTATTGACTATTTAAACAATGTGTTTATATAAATAATTTATATAAACCAAAACGTTAAAAGAAAGTAAAAAGTTTAAATAAAATGTCAAAAAATAACAAACTGACAAACAAAATAACACAATCACTTATCAATTATCACATATCAATAACCAATGAGAACGTTGGAATCGAGGTAACCGCTTTGGTAAACCAACTAACGTTTTGTTAACTTAACAAATAGAATTTAACAATACGTATGGTATGGTGAAACTTATTTAATTAAACCAGATGTTAAATTTAAATGAATTGTTAACTAACATTGTGTTAAGAGTGTATTTAACAATAATTGGTAAAACCGGCTGATTATGTACTTTTATTAAGGGTAATTTTTTTTTCCAGATAAAAAACTTGTGGCATTCCTCCACAGCTGTTATTTTGACGTAGAATTGGCGAGGCTTACTGCAATACAATGTTATAAAAGCTACTTTGAAGTTTCCAAAGTATTCTGCGAACTAGATCCATCTGCAGAAGACATGTTAAAGAACTACGATTGCACGTGAGTAAGCTAATCGATACATTGATCCATCCGGCCTCACTGTGTTGGCTTTTTAATTTTAGTTCCTTGTAGTTAATAAAATAAAATGTACAACATTAAAAGCCAATTTTTATACACATTTAACAATAAAAAACAGCCTCTAACTTTTTGAAAAACTTAAACTGTGTTTTGTCGAAGAGATCTTGTTTTTGGCCATCTTCTATATATAGATTTGAACAATAAGAACAAAAAAATATGTGTTTAACGGGCCAACACCTTGCTGAGGATAACCTCTTATTGTGTGAAATTAGAGTTGAAATGAAAATAAGTTGATTGTAAAATATAAATATAAATAAATGAAATAATACATAATAATGAAAAATAGTATTCAGTAACTAATAGTATGTCTAAATTGGATAAATTAGATTCAAACCATAAAAACTATAAATTTGCATATGTTAAGATCAACCATATTTTAATATGTTATGTAGGAAACCGGTTTTTTGATATTTTGCTTTTTTTATGTAAAACAATTTGGTTTTAATATTGAAAAAATTGCAAAATTTAATTTATTTAATTACAAGAAACTGAACATTTTAAAAGAAAATTGGCTTCCTGCATAACATAGTAAAGTAGCCAAAGAACTCAAATCTCTTAACAAAATTGAAATTAAACTAACCTATGTAATCGACATTTTGTTAAAAAATTAACAAAAATGGCTGTTGCTCATAGAAAAAATTATGTAAATTAAAAATAATCCCTCGAAGCTTATACAAATTAACCGGTAAATTAATTGACATTGTCAAAATGTATTAAAACAATTTGTTGCTTTAATATTGCCTATACAAAGCTCCTTAAAAATAGACCGCCTCGTGCGATCGCCTTAACAGTAACCATTACAAAATAATAATTTATTTAGGAATTGCTACTGAAACATTTGTGTTAATTTGATTTTGGCTGGTATTTAAAATTACGATGACTTTAATATGGTATTTTTTATCAACAAGTATTATAACAGTAATTTTAAAAAGTAATACTTTAAAATATATTTTTGCTGTATTTCCAAACAGAAAACAGAGATGAAATGGAGATGACTAGTGTAGTCTGTATTGATATACTACATGGACTCATCTTCATTCGATTAATAATATTGCTTATTAACTTATAGCTATTCTAAACTTTTCTAGTTTCTTATTTCTCATGAAGTAACATTACTATTAAACACTCATTGTTACTAACACTATTGACTATTGTTACTTGTTGCACGACCTAATCGTTTGCATGTGATTGAAATATTGCTTAAACTTAACTTTTTAATAAAATCTATTCGTGTATTTTTTTTTAATTCAACGTTGCTCTTTAAAAGCTTTGGTTGAGGTATTTTTTTCACCATTTAAGATATCGTTCCTGGAAACCCATTACTAAATTTACATAGTTCATTTCTTTGTCTTGTCTCATCATTCTATTGTACGTACTGCATATGTACTGACATTTATTTCACCTAGCTATACTTTTCTCCAGCTATTTTGTATTTTTAGTAATTTTACGAACGATTTTTTTTTAGCAGTATTTCTATTTTTTAATTATTTATTTTTATAATTAGAAGTTTCGGTGAATTGACATACGACGTGTGCAGCAAAGACGACCGTTATGTGTACTGGCAGTTCAAAGACACTGATCCCGAAAAATTTAACTACATGGCTATTTTTAAGATAGTCATCTTTTGGATGGAGTATACACTGTTGACCAAAGGGACTTTCGACGGTCTAACCATAGTGATAAATACCAGCGGACTAAACTGGCGACACATCATTAAACTTCCTGTGGGCATAGCCAGTAAACTATTAACGTTTCTACAGGTGCGTTACGACGGTACAGTTTTTGTTTTGGATTTAATCTTTGGATAATTTAATTGTCCAGGTTGTATTATAACTAAAACATCTCGTCGAGGGACAGGAGCAAGGAAATAGCATTTTAATTTTAATTACATAACAATAGTAAAACTTTTAACTTTTACATTTTAGCAAGGTCTACCGATTCGACTGAAATCAGTGCAGGTTTTAAACGCAGGACATGCAGCAAGAATGCTGTTGAAGCTGGTCACGCCGTTCGTTGGAAAAGATTTAATGCAAAAAGTAAGTCGTTTAGGTACACTGTGACGACTGTAGTCGATTCTGACTATAGTAACTCAACTCTGATTCTAGAGTTGGGAATTTTTTTAATTAAAAAAAGGTTTGATAAAAAATAAGCTAAATAATACCAATCTCTGGTTTAATGTTTGTAGGTTAACACCGAAACTGTATTCGATATTTTAAGTATAGTTTCAATACTATATTATCGTCGCAAACTGGCAATACTACTGTACAGAGTATCCCCAATCGTTTAATATGCTCATTTCTATTTCACCTATGTAAATATAGATCTAAACAATTAAATGATTTTCAATTTAATATTGAAAAAAATATTTTTGACAGTAACATTTTTTTTTTCATACCTTCTGTATCAAAGTATAGTCAGCTGAAAATAATGTACCAACAGTAATAATTTTCTTTAACCGACTTGTGTATAATGTAAAGTTTTGACTTTATCTTGACGTTCTGAACTTAGGTAGGTTATATATTTATTACATATTGTTCAATTGCAAAGGTGGAATAACTGATAAAAAAGACACTTAAACGAATAATAGTGTATATAATATATATTTTTTAAATAACATTACTTCACTGGTAAAGGTAGATTTATTTTGAAAAATGCAACGTTTCATTTACCTTAATATATGTTTACTTTTGACTAACACACTCCGTTTTAAAAATGTCTTTAACTACTACTGAAGACTTTTGGTGTGCTTTTAGATAATATTCCACGCCCCCGGATCCGCTGAGGTCTACAATTATATACCTAAAGAAATACTACCTTCAGAGGAGGCAGGCTTAGGAAAATCACACAACTTCTACAACCGTATAGCATATATTATTATATTAATTATTGTCATTTAATTCATATCATTGATTTTAATCCAACAACAATGTGTTTTCATTTGTAGAAGAGTTGTACAAAAATATCACATCCTGCCGAGACTGGTTTCTGGAACAAAACCGTGATTTGAAAAAACAAATGATTATCAACGGTGAAAATGTTTAAGACATTGTCAGCTATATATTGTAATGATATTATAATCTTATTAATAAGATATTGGTCGGTCGCACAAATGATTGCACCATAAACTGTGATAGTTATTTAGTTTTTTTTACTTAACGTCTTATTGGTAAATGGAACGATTTCATTTTTGTTATGTAAGCGCAACACTACGATTTATTTAATACAATATTTTTTTTCAAAAGAAAATTTTTGATTCGTAATTTATTACAGCGTTTCGAGTGCAATTAATGACATTATAAATTGATATTTGAGGCGCTCAGATGCCAAACCGATTAAAACCAAAAAATGAAATTTTTCAGAACAGACAGTTAAAGTTATTTGAAACAATGTATTTAAGTACAATTGCCAGTTGTCTTACCGCACTCTAGTTGTGAAAACTTCAACTATGGAGTTATTTCTTTTGGCCACTGAAAATTATACACTTTTTCAATCCAATCACATGCTATTATTTGAAATTTAAAAAAAAAGAGGAGTTAATCTCCAGTTTGGCATCTGAGCGCCTCACTTGTTATGCTTACAAGTCTTGTAAATAAGTATTCACACTTACAGGCGAATAATTGTCTTGAAAGAGTACTTGAATTGTAAGAAAAAAACCGATTCCGGATTTTTGTGTTTCGAAAATAATTGTAGAAAATTTTAATTTTCTAAAAAAAATGATTTTTTCTTTATGCAAAACATAAACACCACTTAAATTAAATTTGGAAAGTGAGAAAAAAATTATACTCTTCTTTCAAACGAATAAAACAATAAGGTCATATTGTCACTGTGATAGTCACTTTTCTAATGACAGTTAAACTAATTTGATTCCATAATTGTGCATGATAATACATTGTCGTTTTTTAAAAACAGCAATTATAAAAATATAATATTATATTAGCAATAGATTGTTATTTTCAATGTATGACTAAAAAATAAATCAATTTTTATTTGTATCCGTCAATTAAATCTTATTTGGGTATTATATAAATTATATAATATGTATGTATAATGCAAAGTGTTGTAAAAATTGTATTGTATACTATTATTTGTATTCATCACTTTAAATGTGGCATGATTTGTGGTGAAAAGAACTCATGCCGTAAGTCATTTAAGAGCACCTTTTTTAAAAAAAAAAAAAAAAAATTATCAGTCCCATATTGTTTAATACCTAATAAATTGTAAACTGCGTGATGTGTGGGATTATATTGTTACTACACATATTATCTTAAGTTTGTAATCATTAAAAAAAAAACTTAGTTTAAAGCTAATTACTTAGGATAAAATAGTTCAACTTACTTATAATTTCACTAAATATCAGTTCTAGAATTTTGGAAGAGTTTAATGTTTAACGTTATATACACAATGACATAATATAATATTATTACCTATATTTATATCATATTTATCATATTAAACGTTTAAGTTTAAATTGTGTCTAAAGTTAATACATTTTTGAAAAGTTACCTAATTTTATTTTATTTTTTAAACGTTTTCACTCTAAACGATGGTCATTTTTTTATTACATATTGTTGACAAATATTTTTAGAGTGACAGATATTTTTGAAAACATTTGTTCAAATTAGTTGTGTTGCAAATAAAAAAAATAGACACTATCGTGATTCAACCTCAACGAAACGGTCTGAATAGAAATTAATAATATTAACAATAGAAAGTTCTGAAAAAGCCTTCTCACGAGAACTCGTACACTTTATTGGCAAAGTAGAATATAAATGTAAAATTAAAATGGACTGTCGCTGTGTGTGTAACTTACTGTGGGAAATAAAATATGTTAAAATGAAAAAAAAAAACTTCATTGTATACTTTGCTTATTCGTGAGAAAATTTACTTGATATGAAAATAAATGAAGGCTACCAACGTGGATAAACATATTAGTTTAATATTCACTTCTTAGCAAACCGCGACCTAAGACGCTCAGATCTTAACGTTAAAGATAGATGAAATTTAATTCTGGACAATACCCAATTAATTTGTATTCAATATGTACACCATTTCAACGTCGTTTAACGATTATTTTCAAGGCGAACAAAAAAAATATCCACAACTCAAGCTCAAAGATGTTATTAGGTTAAAAGTAAGCTTGACCGATGAAAAGGAATTGCCTCCCGTTTCAGGTATGCTCTCAAAGAATTTATTAATTAAGTAGAATTTTTATAATCAATGAAGATATAATAGAACAATAAATACCTAGATTGGAACATTTCATATTTCTTCACAATTTTAATTTACTATTTAGTTTATTTTTACGATTATCAATTATGTGATTTAATAAGAATTTTTTTTTTATTTACTTATTTTAAAAATAACTTCAAAATTGTTTACTGTTGAACAATTACGAAATATATTATTATATTTTTAATTATTACTAACTAACATATGCAGTTAAAATTAGAAAAGAGAAAAAAAAAATAAGATTTGTGTTGTTACGTACAAGGTTAAAAAATGGACAAAAAAAAAACATTCAAGAATATGTTAATTGTATTATGTAAATAAATATTTACTTTTTAAGTACAAGGTCATGGAATTATTGTAATTAGGTACATGATAAATAATTTTAGCGGTATACGCTAAATGCAGAATTTTGTTCTCATTAACGTTAACCCAAAGATTTAAATTTGCATTAACCACATTATAGCAATTTTTTTGGTCTTTGAATTATTATTTCAAGAGCATTCTAAATTGCTAAACTTAACCTTTACCTTCCTAGAATAATTTAGGTATTCAATAACCACGTATGTACCAATAGTTGCTTTATCACATAGGAATTATGTGAGAAGATTAAACAGGACACTTATCCGCATAAGTTATTAATTGCCCATCAATTTTTAAGGTTACATATACTTTATTATACAATTTTTAGAATAAATAATAGTGGACCTTCTGGTACACCGCAGTTTAATGCCAATGCATTACTAACGATACCATTGATTTTGACTATTTGCCTTCGGTTAGTCAGATAACTATTAAACCACTTTACCATAAGTCTTAGCTACATCCAAAAAAAAAAAATCGCTTGGTATAGGAATTTTATTTATTTCCAAGTAAGTAGTTATAACCTAGTTCTAGCAATTTTGTCTAGTACCTGGGAAAAGTCGCTTAGCATAGAGATAGGTGTTAAGTAATTTACATATTATAATTTATGTCCCATCTTAAAAAGTAGTTTAATAACTGCTAGTTTCAAGCTTTCGGGGAAAATGCCATTCGCTATGCAATACTATCAAGACGTTGTTATACAAGTGTATACAATTATGATTTATTTTGTTTAGATAAATATCTCATTGCGTTTCTTCATAGCTGTTATTATGATGTGGAAGCAGCTAAATCCACAATCAAAAGGTATTATAAAACTTGCTTCACACTACCTGAAATATTTTGTGATATCGATCCTACATCCGAACCCATAAGAGGAGCTTATGAGTGCACGTGAGTTTGAATTTGTTATTTAAGACAACCCACTTATAATTTTAGACCAAAATGCCTGACATAATTTCGCTTACTTGGATTTCAATTTTGTACACTGTGATATGAGCTCTTTGACTACTTGACTAAGTTATTTCGGAGCACCATCTCCCCACAGAATAATTATCCAATTTAACTTCCTATCCTCTATGGACATGAATAACCCTACAATATTCTCAACTCCCATTCCGTTTCTATCATTCAATCAATCCTCGAATTTACCTTTGATGCTGTATCTAAATAAGAACTACCATCAACAATGTACATGTAATGTATTTTTCCGTACTTGTTATCGTTTTATATTTGGTCTGAACTGAAATGTTTTACTTTTAGAAGCTTGTGTGATTTAACTTTCGAACAAACAGACAATAAAGAATGTTTTCTTTATTGGCAGTTTAAAAACACCGATCCTCAGGCATATAACTGCGAAGCAGTGTTAAAGTACTTTTTAATGTTCATGGATTATAAAATACTTCATTATGGATTATTTGATGGTATGAATGTGATCATCAACTGTCAGGGTTCAAAATGGCGGCACGTTCTCAATACTCCTATGAACATAATGGCCGAACTTTTCAAATACATGCAGGTAGGCAGAAAACACCAGACTTGGTAATACAGTCTATTTTTTTATAATTAAGTTTTCTTTCAGCCGATTTCACAAACATTTGTTAAGGATTTAACTTATTGTATATTTAACAACTAGTTAGTGAAAATTAGCCTTAACACATTGTTAAAATTATTGTTTAAATTCATTTAATTTTTTTAGACCTCCAAAATAGAAAAAAATCTTTTAATGACCTTAATGACAAACTATTTTTAGAAAGTTATAGACTACCTAAACAAGGTGTTAAAAATGACATGTAAATCATTTTTATAAACCGAATCGTTAAAAAAAAGTAAAATAAAATGTCAAATAATGATAAACTGACAAATAAAATAACACAATCACTTATCAGTTATCACATAACTAGATAACCAACGAGAACGTTGGAATCGAGGTAACCGCTTTGGTAACCAAACTAAAGTTTTGTTAACTTAACAAACAGAATTTAACAATAATAATGACATGGTGAAACTTAGTTAATTAAACCAAATGTTAATTTTAAATGAATTGTTAACTAACATTGTGTTAAGAGTGTATTTAACAATAGTTGGTGAAACCGGCTGATAATAATTTAAAATTGCGAATAAAAGACATTATGAATTTTTTTAAATTATTATTTAGAAAGGAATACCGGTGAGAATTAAAACAATTCATTTCATTAATTCAGGAAGTATTGTCGATAGGTTTTTTGGAATGCTCACGCCGTTCATTGATAAGGAAATATTTAATAAGGTAAAAAACCAAATAGCTTATGTACTTAAGTGATATCGTTTATATGTTTTGCTCTAAACTTAAAGGTGTTACGCTAAGCTGAAAATAATGACAGTATTTAATAAAAAAAACTATAATTTAGTTTATACATATAATGTTTTTTGCAAAAAATAAGTGTTAAAATATGTTAACATTATTGTAAACACTCAATAATTGCCCAAACGTTTCTAGGTAATGTAAAATATACATTAATAGTTTCAAAGTTTTAGTTTGGAAAACTTGTACCTCTTCTCTGATTTTATTAGCTGTCATGAACACTTATATACCAAGAATAAAATATTATTAACCGTATTGTAAACTAACCTGTTTCAACTTTACAATTCTTTATTATTTCGGTATTCTCATCAACCGCTGACCCACTTAGCTGCTATACATAATTACTAAAAAGTCATTGTTATAAGCAATTTTCTTTCATAAAATAACTATTATACATTTTGTGTACTAGATCAAGTTCTATCCAACCGTTACGGATGATTTTTTCAATGTTGTACCGATAAACCTTTTTCCCGTGGAAGCTGGTGGATTAGGATTGTCTCACAATTTCTTAAATGGTAATTAACACTATTTTTCACCGTTTTCGTTCCTATAATTTCGAATTAAAAGTAAAACGTTGAATATTTTTATTTCAGACAAGATGTTTGAAAACGTTAAGTCATGTCGTGAATGGTACAAGGAAAGAAACCAACAACTCCAGAAGCAATTATTTATCAACAAAGAAAAATACATGGACTAAATGTTAAATTTTTCGTAGGTATTGTTTGCATGGAAATATTGTATTAAAATATATTCTTTATAAATAATTGATGTGTATTAAAGTAATATAAATGTGCAGGGACGCTTGTTGGTTTGACATTAATTTTAATATTATACTGTAAATAATTGCTGTTACTATTCATTTCTTATTGTTAACCTACTAACCTGTAATATAATAATTAGTGTCTGGTTGAACATTGTTACAGACTTAAATAACCGGTTTCGGTTCCGAGGCCATTATAGGTTTGATTAAGAAATCGAGTGTAGTTTGTATAGCGTATGTTGCTTAAAATACACTAAATAAAATTGATATAAAAAAAACTAAATAGAAAAGGTAAGAAAAATAAAAATTTGTGAAAAATTGAGATCACATTGTATAAGAAAACTAGGAAAAAAATAATTGTTAATTACCTACTAGATAAACACTATGAAATATTGATTAAGAAACTTTAAAAAATCACCCTCTATGTATATATACTTATTTATAACTTACTCAACTGTAACTCTAAACTGATATTTTTTTCAATATTTTTTCCTTAATGTGTCTGTTGTAATTGCAGTTAATAATTAGAAATTCGAAGTTAATGCTCTCAGAATCGTCTACAATCTCGACATTAAAGAATGCAAAATGATTTGTTTATAGCTTGAACTTAATACTGTATACTTAATGTGAATAATTGCTCTCCTATTAAGTTTTTTTAATAGTGTTATTATTTCCATAATTTATTTTTTAGTCTTCGTGCATTTTGAATACACCCAGAGATTTCATAATAACATGAGACAATCTACAGAAAATTTTCTTTCAATTAAAATTAAAAAAAAACATAAAAATAAACGAAAGCAACCGAATTATAACTATTTTTTAAAAAGTTAAAAATACAAAATGTATTTTAATGGTAAGATATTTTAATGACTAATGATAAAAGAACAGTTTTTTTTTAAACATGTATTTGAAAATAAATATTTAAATAGAAATAAAATGGTTCAATCTTCTTCAATTTCTCCTGCAGAACATTCAGCTGCAGGTTCTTCAGCTTTAGGTACTACAACTGCAGGTTCTTCAGCTTTAGGTACTACAGCTGCAGGTTCTACAACTACATTTTCTACCACAGATTTATCCGATTTCAGCTTTAGCTTTTTATTTTTCTTAGTTACAGTATTATAAAACTGAAATATGAATATGAATATTATGTACTGTAGATTAAACATTTATTCGGGTATCTACCCAATACAGCTTTTACTAGATTTTAAGTAGCCAAACAAAAGTATTTTATAACACAACTTATTTGTGTTCATTGTTAAATGTATTTTAGGTTCGATACATCCATTCCATCTTCTAATTTTATTGCAATTTTATCCACTACAAATACAAGGTGGCCCAACAAAATTCTCTATTATTACATTCTCTTTTCGTCACCAAGTACCTTAATTCATACTTCCTTTCCAAAATTCCACATCCTCATTGCTATATTTAAATTTAATAATAGTAACTCAACGTTAAACACTTCTTCCTCTAATAGTCTTCTTCTTCTTTATCTTCGCCTTACACTCACTTGATCTTCTATCTTGAAATTCTACATCCCGTTCAATTACCCCAGCTATCCACATATCACTCTCTATTCCATCTATCCATCTTTTCTTCGGTCTTCTCTTCCTCTTTTCCCTTCTACATTCATCTTCATAACACCTCTCACTGCCTCTGCCTTATCTCTTCTCTTAACGTGATCGAACCATCTCAACCTATTCTCTCTCATCCATACGTAACTCCTAGACTTCCCCTTATGTATTCATTTCTTATTACATCCTTTCTAGTCACTCCACTCATCCATCTTAGCATTACCATCTCTGCTACACTCATTCTCTGTTCAGTTTTCTTTGCTTCTGCCTAATATTCTGACCCATATAACATTGGTGGCGTCACTAACGTCCTATAGAATTTACCTTTCAATTGTATATGCATCCCTACTGTCACACAAACCACCTGACGTTCCCCTCCACTTTATCCGTCCACAATTTGTTTGTACTACCGAACCTAAGTACATAAACCTATCAACCTCTCACCTTTCATCATTCCATATCTGCATTACCTTACTAGCCCTGTAACTTTCTCCAAAATCAAACAGGATTATCTCCGTTTTACTCCTACTAATCCTCAGTCCTTTGCCTTCAAGCGCTTCTCTCCACTCTTCAAGTCTCTCGCCAAATTCTTCATGACTTTCCCCCACTAACACTACGTCATCCGCAAACATCGTACACCATGGCACCTCCCTCTGTATATCTTCTTTACATGCCAAGTTATCTCTCCCTGTATTTCCATTCTTATTCCATGTTTTAGCAATTGACATGGTCTCCAGGAGTGAATAATTATTTTAATCACTGGCGTCCCATATTAATAACTGTATAATATTTTTAAAAATAACATACACCCCGTGCACTGGGCACTATGTTATGGAAATAATAGTTGATTACTTTTACAAGGTGTTGATAAGCCGTATTAGGCGCTGTAACTTTTCGTTCTCTGACCAGATGCTTCCGAAATTGTGTAAAACACAATTGTAGCGTCTCTAAACATCTGTCTTTCCAACGTCCATATTTTTCACAGATTGGGACTATTATATCGTTATCTAATTCTTCCGGAGTTTTCTCTTTTTTATTAAGGTCACCAATGTAGTTAATCAATCTATCACGAAATGACTTTGAAAATGACCTAAATCCTAAAATTTTGATAACCACAATTTTAAGTATATGATTCAATTTAAAACGTTATTATTTAATTTTAATTTTTTCATTTATATTCCACCATTTAGAAAGGCAGCATATAGTCGGGGGGGGGGGAGCATATTTGAGCTAAGACGTAGGTCAAAAATCTTCAGGAATTATTGTAATTAAGATTTCTGGGCAAATTCTGAGCTTAGGAATCAATTCCACAATCATGTGCATGATCAAATGTGACCAATTGTCATGTATGTTTCTGAGACATGAATGAGGTACTGAGACATTTGTTTCAGAGGAAGACTCTCAGAAAAATAGATGGTCTATGTGGTGATGCTTAATTGAAAAGAAGATTATATAGAGCTGCAAAGCCTATTTCATTGGTCTGATTAAGACAAATAGATAAGAACAAGAAGCTGGATATAAGTGAATCTGAAGAGGTACAATGTAAAAGTGATAAGATCACTTTAAGTTGGAATACATTTTCTAGAACTGTAACCTTACCGACCAAATATGGTCCATCTTCTTTCACCCTGACCCTGATCCCTGTGTTAAGACTATAGAAAATAATTATAATGTATTATATTTAATTGATACAATTTTAAATCACAATACCCAATTTGGCGTCAACTGGCTTTATCAAGCCAAAGTTGGATATACAACAATACAAATCAACTTTTCCCATGCCCTTAAAGTTCTTCATCATCAATGCTAACGTAGGATCTTCGTCATCGCCACATACTGATATTGTTTTTAAGACCTACATCAAAAGTGAAATATTATAAAAATAGATATTTTTCACAAAGAATATTTAATTACAGCGACTCTAATACTAATTATCTGTATACGTTCTTATCACTTAATTAATTGTTAGACTTTCATATGTTTTTTAAATAAAATACAATTGTAAAGTGCACAACAATATAAGTGTATCTATATTAATATAAATTATAATAAAAAAGTAACCTTAATCTAAAAGGGTCAATCGTTGTTCTATTAACTTGTAGCTAATAAACATAGATACATTTTTGATTATTATTATTTTTTTTTTTCGAAAAAAATGGTAAAATAATTTATGAATTAACAAATAATCTTGGTAATAATTGTATAACATAATTGAATAGCCGTTAAGTGTCAATTAAGTGTGAATTAGTGGTGAAGAAACTTGAATTACTAAAATAGTAGTGCAGCATACACTAATAATATTATTATTTATATTATTTAATTTTCAAAAATATTTACAAAACATATAAATTATTAATGAACTATTTTTAAATTAGGTGAATATGTACACTATACAGGGTGATTATTTTATCGTGAACCACTCAATATCTCATAATGTTTTTATACAATGTGATTTTCAGTTTTTCACAATTTGTTTTTGTTATACTTTACCTCCAAAACTAATTATTTTCTTATCAACCTTTGCCACTTAAATGGTAACGTACATATTTTATTAACTTTTTAAATTAGGCATATTTTGCTAAAAATGTTGACCGATTGATAACCAGTTTTGAACAATTATTTTTAATTTAGGAGTTATGACTCTTGCCATAAACTTGAAACTTGAATAACTTTAAAAATACATATCCAAAACTGGTTATCGACCAGTCAACATTTTGAATATATTATTTTCAACTAAAAACTTAATCAAATGTGTACGTTACCGTTTATGTATTAAAAGTTGATGTAAACTATTTTCTTATCTCTTACCACCCTTATCTTATCAGATTAATCAGCTGATTTTTTCGTTATGATAACCGGTGTCGATTGTAAATAGTGTCGATTTTTCCATGTATGTGCCAAAGCAAAGGCATAAAAACGTCAAAATTATTAGTTTGGGGGGGTAGTAGAAACATAAAAATTTGTGGAAAACAGATCACATTATATAAAAACACTAAGACAAAAAAAAAAAAAGAAAGATCAATCAATAATTAAATCCAATGAGATATTGAGTGGATCGCGAAAAAATGATCACTCAGTATTCTTATGATGTATACAGTGTATATTATATTGCAACTGGTAATAGGATTTTCTAAAATTATTAACCAAAACGAATTTGAATTAGTGGATGAGGACAGCTGTTGGGCAGTCCTTATAGAATATAATAAGGTATAGAGTTAAATGTTTTTTTAATGTTCTTGATAGCTATCAGTTATTATTATTAGCATAATTAGCAAACCGCTTTTATTTTCACAAATTTAGCAAGACCAAAAACCTCTTCATTTTACATCATAAGTCAGCAGGCTAATTTAATACTAATATTTTTAAATAATTGTTCTACAACAAACATTGAGCATGATTAACTTTTTTATTACATTTAATATGTTATACATCATACTCGTATATCATACTGAATATGAGATAAACTAAAATACTCAAACTGACTCAATTCGAATCTGTTTACTCCCCGATCTTTAATTTTCACTGTAAATTTATAATTATTATAAATATAATAAAGCAAACGAAAGCAAGCATTTCGGTTGAATAAACTTCAACAATAGTTTTACTTACGGAAATTAAACATAGGTATAAAACGAGCTTCATATTGATAAATCCTAAAATTAATTTAGAAATAAGATATTATTTTAATTATTATGAATTGTAAAATATGTAAATGCAAGTCATTAATTTTTTTTTAACACTGAAGTACTTTTAAACTTATTCACTAGGAGTACAACAGCTCTTGGCGAGACACACTGTATAATTGTCATTAAAGAAAATGAAACTTAAATTATGGGTTTACCGTATAAAATCTATATATTATCAGTATTAAATATACACTGTTTACTAACCTATGGCGTATGATAATAACTGTAGACTCTTGGAATATCTCTCTAGGTTAACACTGCGGCGGATACTAGACCAGTAGTTGCATGTGTTACAATGATGGAATAATAATATTAGTGAAAAATGTTCTAAACTATTGCAGTTGATACATTTGTCTTGTTTAAATGGTGTACCTATCTACCTATAGTGAAGACACTACCTGTTTGTTGTGAACAAATAAAAACACTAAAACGTGTGCATGTAAGCCGAATGACGTTGATGTCTATAACCGTATTGCGCCTTTGCGCAATAATGTTTACTATTTTCCACAAGACACAATATCTGTGCATTACATCTGTGCATCTTTTAAATTGAAATATTTAGATTCGACGGTAGGTAAGTCTGTAGTTTTTTTTTTTTGGCTAATAAAAACAACCACAATCTTTAAACATTGAAGAGATGTGCTGGACGGGTCTGTTTTACAATAATAAATAATAGGTAAAGTGTGCTAATAGATAATTTAAAACACAGTCTCAAACTTGTACTACTTTCACTTTTAACTTATATTATAAGAAAGTATTAACGGTAATATCCAGGAAGAGCAAAAATTACATAGTAAATAATGCGTTTCATTGTTTCTAAAACAGTCTGTTAAACTTCAAATAGTTCAACTCGGTTTACCTGCGTCATACTTGTTTTTCTTTTGGTCTTGTTGTAGACTTTTTCAATCGCTTGACAAAACCATCTGGTTGATTCATACATTGTAGCTCTTTTGCTAGAAATACAATTTAAAAAAAAAAAACTGTCGTTACACATATTTGAATGATATGTACATTTTTATAACTACAAACATATATGCTAACAATGTCTGGCCAATTAACTGGGTATATTAAAATATTGGTTTTAGGTTTTAAATGTATTGACACACTCATAGTCTGTTCTTTGAGTATAGTATTTAACCATAGTCCTCGCTTAGAACAATCGTTCTAATCTATCCAATAGTCTGGAGGAGACTGGAAGAAGGAGATTCTTCCTTATCTAAACCAAACATTATCCATTCAATTACAAATTTAACGTTACCTTAACTGATCTCTCACCAACTCTCTCTTATCTCAGGAACCATTATCAGCTGTCTCTTATCACTATTCTCCTATCATGACATGTTATCTGATGCCTATTTTCACTAATCATCCGTTTCTATTTTAGTCTATAATTAGGAGCTATTATCAGCTGTCTCGTATCAGCACATGTAATCAGGCATTTCTTATCTCTAGAGGAAAATGTCATAAAAAAAAACATATCCACAAATAACTTGTATACATATTTAATGTTTATTTGTTTTCTTTGTCCAGCTGGCTTCGCCGTGATGTACATTTTATAAATATGCTAATAAAATGTATCTTTGATACAAAAAGTAAAGTTTATAGCAGTACCAGACTGTTAAAACCGATAAAAAATGTTTAACATGATGTTAATTTAATTCATAGCCAAATTTTCATCTGCACGTGATGTTAAATAATTATTTAATATTGACAAACAAAAGGTATAATGATGGAATATCGAATTTAAGCTAAATTAATTGAACGTTTCAGAAGCTTGTAAACATATGATTTTAAGAAATTAAAACTATAGAGAGGTAGATTTTCTTTCCGCACCCCTTACTTGTTTAATTAAAATGTGAATAAGTCAAAAATTATTTATTATAAACTGATTATCGACCAGATGTTTTCCTCGTTATATTTGTATAGGTTAAATTAAACCTATTCATATATTAAGATTCCTATTCAACCTCTATGAAAAGCTATTTTTTAGACCTTTTTTTTTAATAGCTACAATATATATTGTTAATTAACTGAAAAACATAATTTATCATGTATTCAAAAGAATCAGATTGACGTCAGACAATAATGTAAAATCTATTAGGCTTTATTAATTTTTATTTCGTTGATAAGAAAAAATTATCAAAATAGCATTTTGACCTCAACATCTTATTTTCACAACAATTATAACTATATAATAATAGAACTGAATAAAATTTGTTTAATCATCAACACCTGATTTGGGTTCCTTACTGGAATGATGTACCATACACAGGCGAAATATGACTTACTTTAATTTGTGTTTCAAGTTATTTGAATTATTCTTTGAGTTTCAACACGATGTACGAACCATTTGCTACGTTTGAAGAATATTTTCAGGGTGAACAAAAAAAATATGAACAACTTAAACTCGGTGACGTTGAAAAGTTAAAAGAAAGCTTGGCAGCAGAAAAAAAATTGTCATCACCTTTAACAGGTATTTATCGATATTTATTTAAATACATTTAAAAATTAATTCTTCTTGTGTGCATTAAGGGGATTGCATGCGGTTTTTAAGGAGTTTTATATAGGCAAATTTTAGATAAAATGTGGTTTTTAATAAATTTCGTTCATGTAAATAAATTTTCCGATTAATTTGTAAAAGCTACAAGGTATTGATTTTAATTTGAACACATTTTTCTACGAGTTAGAGATATTTTGGCTTATTTCAGACCAAAAAGCTAGACCGAATTTCTGCTACTTAGGAGGATCTAATTTCAATTTTGACAATATATTTGAATTTTCCGACTACTTTACAATATTATGTAGGAATCCAAATTGTCACCTAATGATTTCAATATCTTTTAGTGAAATAATTGAAATTTGCAATTTTTTCGTAACAAATACCCTTATTTTGTTACATAAAATATTTAAAATTATATATTTATACATAAAATTTCAAAATAAATTTAAAATGTTTTTTGATACATGGGTATATAACTATATATAATATACTATAAAGTATAAGTTTATGTAATAGTAAATGTGTTGACTATTACAATAAGTAAAAATAACAAGCTATCAAATTATACAACACTTGTAGTAGGTATATAAAATTACATACTTTGCGCCATTTTTTTGATTTTTTTAATTAATTTTTTTTTAAAAAATAAACCATTTAAAATGACTCTCAATATACTCTTAAAATCTTAATTATTATTTTTAATAAGTATAATAAAATGTTACAATTTTTACCCTAACCTAAAAATCGTCCTTATAACACACAATTCACTTTGAATATATTATAATGAGTAATAATATTGTACAAAACGCTTTATAAATAATATTAGTATATCCTGATAGGCGCTTGTGTTATTATTTAATGTATGTACACATTAATTAAATGAATAAATAATGATTAATGTTATGTTTACTGTCAGATGTAATATTCTTTCAGATAAAAAACTTGTTGCGTTACTTCATAGCTGTTTTTTCGATTTGGATTTGGCTCGAAAAACAGCCATATACTGTCGTAAGAGTTACCTAGATCTCTCATACATATTCGCTGAGCTGGACCCGATTTCGGAATCAATGCAAACATGTCAAAAAACAATGTAAATTATATTATTAATAACATTTATTCTTGGCATGGCAATAATATATGTAAAATTCCTAAAATCATTTATGGAATTTTAAAAATTTAATTGTAACTCGTAACACTACATGAAATATCATATTGTTCTTCATTTGATACAATATGCATGTTGATTGATAATTAATTTTACATGTAATTGTATTGTGTAGAAACTAAGTGCAGACATAGTAATTTTAATTAATCACAATAATAAAAAATTAAAAGTATACAATTAAATGAAAACGTCGCAAATATTTGATTAATTTGATAATTTGAACATTTTTTTTACAACAAATTGGTAGTTAGGCTAGATGTAGTTATTATGATTCACTACTTTGGCCATGTTTTCACGAGGAACCAAAACATGGGCAAAGTTACTGCTTCTACTGCAAAGGGATAAATGAAAGATATATAATATAGATATAGATAATAAAATCGGGAAAACCTTTGAAAAATCCTTGATTTATTTGCATGTACTTAGCCTTCTCCAGGATGACGGAAAACATTGAATCTAACTACTTGAGTAAATCATAATAATTAAATCTAGCTTAACTATCATTTTTTTTAAAAAAAATTGTTAAATATTATCAATAATATTTGAAACGTTTACAATTAATTGTAAATTTCAATTTCTTATTATTGTAATCAATTAAAAGATACTAAGTCTGCGCTGAGTTACTACACAATACAATTACATGTAAAATTGATTATCAATTAACATGCCCATTACATGCTTAAAACAGTTTTTTTTAAATATTTAATCATTGCACATAAACGAAACCTAAAAAACTGACTCAAGAGAAAGTAACATGAATTGTTTTTTAGGAGCGTTTGTGATTTGACTCATGACAAAACAGGTAAAGGGGTTCGTTACGTCTTTATTCAATTTCAAGATTTTGATCCACGAAAGTTTGAGTTTACATCCTTATTAAAGGCATTGGTCATGTATATAGAATACATATTATTGTGCAATGGTACATTTGATGGAGTTGTGTATATAGTTAATTGTATTGGCATGCATTGGCGTCACGTATTAAAAATTCCCTTATCTACAGCCAAAAGATTTATATCTTTTTTTCAAGTATGTACAATTTATTTAACTGTTAAGTATTTTTAGTAGATCATAATAATATGTTAACAATTATTAAATAGAAAAATGTGTTGCTTTTTGTTTTAAAAGAATAACGTTGTAATTATTGTAATACCTAAGAAACAATTTTTGTTTATTTATTATAAGTATTTATTTTATTTTAAAATATAACGTTTTATTTAATTGTTGTGGATCGGCAAAGCTATTACTTGTATAATGAATAATTCAAGTAGCTTATTTGTTTTTTTAGGAAGGCCTTCCGTTAAGATTGAAAGAAGTTCATTTCATTAACGCTGGAAGTTCATTTATGATGCTGTATAAACTTCTTACACCATTTATTAGTGAGGATTTAAAAGAGCAAGTAAGGTTTTCGAAATTAATGAGTCATGATTTTTATAGTTTATAATATAGTTAACATTAGAATAAAATGTAATGGGGATTTTAATGAATTCAATCATTCAAATAGTAAAGTGTCTCAGTAGAAACATAACTAAGTTATTCATAACAATAATATTAACAAGTAATTTCCTATTTAGTATGTTTGACAAATTTTATCATTTGAATCGTATTGTACAAATAAAATATAAAAAGTAATGCACACTATTTTTTTATAGATAAAATTACATGCAGTCGGTTCTGATGACATTTTCACATCTGTACCAAAATCTATTCTGCCGATAGAAGCTGGAGGACAAGCAAAATCGCACATTGACTTAAACGGTATGTTGGTAAAAAAAATAAAAATTGTAATTTTCATGAGCTTTACTTTCTTTTTCTAGAATTGATGTACACAAACTTATTCAATTGCCGCGAGTGGTTTATTCAGCAGAATGACTCGTTGAAAAAGCAATTCAAATAATTAAAATTGTTAACTATAGAAATTGTTTATCTACTTATTTGTTTTAAGAAGGGAATGTTGTTCTTATTATTTGTATAATTAAATTTCACACAATTAGATGGTCATAACGTAATACCTTAATATTAATTTAAAAAATATATATTATTTACATTGCTTATATTATAATAATTTATTACACTTAAATTTAATTATTATTGTCTTAATTCATATTTTTTTTTTACATGTATGCTTATTTTTTAATATATATTGCAAATGTGTGTCATATTAGCATTTCGACCTTCAAATTATATTCCCACAAATATTATTTAACCATAGAACTAAATAAAACTTTTTAAAAGAATCTACAACCGGGTTAGGTTTCCATATTGGAATGATATAACAAAAAAAAAAAAAAACTTACCTACTCGAATTTGTGTCTTAAGTTATTTGAATTTCAATACAATGTACGAACCTTTTGCTACGTTTGAAGAATATTTTCAGGGTGAACAAAACAAATATAAACAACTTAAACTAGATGACGTTGAAAAGTTAAAAGACAGCTTGGCAGCAGAAAAAAAATTATCATCACCTTTAACAGGTATTTATCATATTTATTTAAACACATATAAAAATTATTTATTCGTATGTGCATTAAGGGGACTGTTTTTAAGGAGTTTTATATAGGCAAATTTTAGGTAAAATGTGGTTTTTAATAAATTTCGTTCATGTGAATAAATTTTCCGATTAATTTGTAAAAGCTACAAGGTATTGATTTTAATTTGAACACATTTTTCTACGAGTTAGAGATATTTTGGCTTATTTCAGACCAAAAAGATAGACCGAATTTCTGCTACTTAGGAGGATCTAATTTCAATTTTGACAATATATTTGAATTTTCCGACTACTTTACTATATTATGTAGGAATCCAAATTGTCACCTAATGATTTCAATTTCTTTTAGTGAAATAATTAAAATTTGCAATTTTTTCATAATAAACACCCTAATTCTGTTACATAAAATATTTATAATTATATATATATATATAGAATTTCAAAATAAATTTAAAATGTTTTTTGATACATGTATATATAACTATATAAATATACTATAAAGTATAAACTTATATAATGGTAAATGTGATGACTATTTCAATAAGTAAAAATAACAAGCTATCAATTTATGCAACACTTGTAGTAGGTATATAAAATAACATACTTTGCGCCATTTTTTTGATTTTTTTAATTAATTTTTTTTTTTTAAATAAACCATTTAAAATGACTCTCAATATACTCTTAAAATCTTAATTATTATTTTTAATAAGTATAATAAAATGTTACAATTTTTACCCTAACCTAAAAATCGTCCTTATAACACACAATTCACTTTGAATATATTATAATGAGTAATAATATTGTACAAAACGCTTTATAAATAATATTAGTATATCCTGATAAGCGCTTGTGTTATTATTTAATGTATGTACACAATAATTAAATTAATAAATAATGATTAATGTTATGTTTACTGTCAGATGTAATATTCTTTCAGATAAAAAACTTGTTGCGTTACTTCATAGCTGTTTTTTCGATTTGGATTTGGCTCGAAAAACAGCCATATACTGTCGTAAGAGTTACCTAGATCTCTCATACATATTCGCTGAGCTGGACCCAATTTCGGAATCAATGCAAACATGTCAAAAAACAATGTAAATTATATTATTAATAACATTTATTCTTGGCGTGACAATAATATATGTAAAATTCCTAAAATCATTTATGGAATTTTAAAAATTTAATTGTAACTCGTAACACTACATGAAATATCATATTGTTCTTCATTTAATACAATATGCATGTTGATTGATAATTAATTTTACATGTAATTGTATTGTGTAGAAACTAAGTGCAGACAAAGTATATTTTAATTAATCACAATAATAAGAAATTAAAAGTATACAATTAAACGTAAACATTGCAAATATTTTATTAATTTGATAATATTCAACAATTGTTTTACAATAAAATGGTAGTAAAGCTAGATTTAATTATTATGGTTCATAAAATGGCAGTTAGGTCAGAGAAGGTTAAGAAGGCCAGGTACAAGTAAATAAATCGAAGATTGTCCGGATTATATTATCTATATCTATTATGTATCATTCTCTTATCCCTTTGAAAAATTGTAACTTAGGCCAAGTCTTGGTTTCTCTTAAAAAACCGTTTCTATTTAAAATATTTAAGCATTGCAAATAAATACAACCTAAAAAACTGACTTATGAGAAAGTAACATGAATTGGTTTTTAGGAGCGTTTGTGATTTGACTCATGACAAAACAGGCAGCGGAGTACGTTACATCTATATTCAGGTTCAAGATTTGGATCCACGGAAGTTTGAGTTTACATCCTTTTTAAAAACAATGGTCATGTATATAGAATACATATTATTGTGTAATGGTACATTTGATGGAGTTGTTTATATAATTAATTGTGTTGGCATACATTGGCGTCACGTATTAAAAGTTCCCTTACCTACAGCCAAAAGATTTATATCATTTTTTCAAGTATGTACAAGTTATTTAACTGTTAAGTACTTTTTAGCATATCATAATAGTATGTTAACAATTAAATAGTAAAACTCGTTACTTTTTGTTTTAAAATAATAATATTATAATTATTGTAATACCTAAGAAACAATTATTCTTTATTTATTATGAATATTTATTTATTTTTAAAATTTAACGTTTCATTTAATTGTTGTGAATCGGCAAAGCCATTACTTGTATATTGAATAATTCAAGTAGCTTGTTTGTTTTTTTTAGGAAGGCCTTCCGTTAAGATTAAAAGAAGTTCATTTCATTAACGTTGGAAGTGCATTTCTGATGCTGCATAAACTTCTTACACCATTTATTAGTGAGCACTTAAAAGAGCAAGTAAGGTTATTGAAATTACTAAGTTGTGATTCTTATAGATTACAATATAGTTAACATTAGAATAAAATATAATTGGGAATTTTAATGAATTCAATCATTTAAATAGTAAAGTATCTCAGTAGGAAAGTAACTATGTTATTCACAATAATACTATTGTCAAGTAATTTCCTATTTATTATGTTTGACAGATTTTATCATTTGAATCGTATTGTACAAATAAAATATAAAAAGTAATGCACACTATTTTTTTATAGATAAAATTACATGCAGTCGGTTCTGATGACATTTTCACATCTGTACCAAAATCTATTCTGCCGATAGAAGCTGGAGGACAAGCAAAATCGCACATTGACTTAAACGGTATGTTGGTAAAAAAAATAAAAATTGTAATTTTCATGAGCTTTACTTTCTTTTTCTAGAATTGATGTATACAAACTTATTCAATTGCCGCGAGTGGTTTATTCAGCAGAATGACTCGTTGAAAAAGCAATTCAACTAATTTAAATTTTTAACTATACAAATAATTGTTTATCTACTTAATTGTTGTAAGAAGGGAATGTTGTTATTATTTATATAATTAAATTTCACATACTTTATACAGAAATTGTGTTTATATCAATATTTGATTTTCTATGTTAATTTTGATTTTGTAATCAGCTTCATGTATAATTATTATTGCAATCTACAATGAAGATTAAAGATTAAAGATTAAAAATAATACGATTTAATAGAGATTCGAATTGAGTCAGTTTGAATATTTTAGTTTATTTAATATTCATTATGATATATGTTATATAATATATTAAATATAATAATAAAGTTAATTATGATCAATGTTTATTATAAAACAATTATTTAGAAATATTAGTATCAAATAAATAAGCCTTTTGAATTATGAACTGATAAAATAATGATTATCATCTTGTATATTGATCGCTTCCCTGTTTTTCTATACAAATTATTAATAGCCTATCTTACCATACATTTTACATTTTGAAGTTTATTACTGTGTAGTTTTTCTTTTGGTTTAATCTGGATGACACTGTTCCGGTATTATTCAGGCCTAAACTGTCTCCACTATGAGCCAAGTCATTTTGTCTTTTCAGCCCCTAACTCTTCTCTTATCATTTTTTTCTTACCTCTAGTCTCTAATCATTTATCTCTTATCACTTATACCTTATTATTTATTTCTTATCTCATGTTTCTAATTATTTATCTCCAACCTCTTATCATTTAGCACCTATCTCTTATCAATTATGTCTTAGCATTTATCTTCTATCACTTATCATTTATTTCCTGTCTCTAATAATTTTCTCTTATCATTTTTTGAGTTAGGGTCCGAAAGGGACTGAAAATGATGTGACCCCTCTTTTAAGGTTAGCTTTATGCACTGAATAACATGGAATAATTTTTTGTTTTTTTAGGTCATTATTTTTTTACTTAATTGTCGAAACCTTCAATTTTTGACTTATCGAAAAAATAAAAACGGGGGGCTTATTTGGGGGTGTCCCAGATGTCCAAACATCTATTACTTACCTTTCATGCTGGAACACCCTGTATAAATTAAATCATTGGTTGCTTGAGTTTCTGAAGTAACACCACAAATTTAACCTTAGTTTTGAATTGAAAAATTGTTCAAAACCAACCACGTTATACAACATAAAATTTAAAAACATATTTATATGTTTAATTATTATTTTGTTTTTGGTAATTTTATTATTTTATTTTAAGGACATATAATACATATATATATATATATATATATATATATATCTTAATTAGGAGCACCTAATCTTTATCCCTAATATTTTATCACTTATCTTTAATATCTTATCTCTTATCTTTCATACCTTATCTGATAATTATTTATCAGCTCTTACATTCACAAATCGACCGCCAGATCACTCCACACTTACATAATATCCTCTACGGTAACGTTCGGCGAGATGCACGCACAGATATTCTTATTGAGCCAAAAGACATATCCATTTCAATAATTGTAGTCAACTAATGTTATTCTATAATGTTATGTAAAAAGTAATGCACAATATTTGTTTGTAGATAAAATTACATGTGTATTATAAACCCTGTATATGCTTGTTCTTACAATAAAACAAAATATGCAGATATAAAATGTTTTTCCGTCAAACCAAAATATTTAAATAATGTTTTTTAATATATTCAATTTTTTTGCCGTAATTATACTTGTAAATTTTTATATTATGGTCTTAACAATGCTATCGAAGACGCATGTGCACGTTTTGACATTGTTTCAAATCAGTCAATCATTTCCCTATCCTATCTGACCTATCCAATGGTCTTCTCCTTCTACTTAACCTGAATTTAACCTAAATCAAACTATAATATATTAAGATTTCTATTCAATCACTAGGTATAAAAACAATTTTTTTTATTTGTGTTCTCCTGATCTCTTTGACCTACCTAACGGTTCTCCCATTCCATTATTTTCTCTCCTTTCTAATCTATTTAATGCGCGTCTCCTTCTTCCTTACCTAAACCTAAAATTATGCATTAAGTCCAAATTTAACTTTACTAAACTTATCTCTCACCAACTCGCTCTTATCAGGAGAAATAATCAGTTGCCTCTTATCTCTAATCTCTTATTACTATTATTTTATCATGAAATGTTATCGAAAAATATAGGTAAGTTTAGTATAGGTATGAAAAAATATTTTTAAGAAATATAATAAGTTCAACAACAAAAGACTGTTTTAGTAATTTAACTATACCAAGATTTTGTTTATAATTTGTGTATCCAAAAAAATTCTTATTTTGTAATTGAAAAACATAATGTCTCATGTATTCAGAAGACTCAGATTGAAATCAGATATCATAATCGTAATACTTTAAAATATTATTTAAAAAATCATATATTGATTACGTTATTTGCACAACAATAATTTATATTTGAACTTAATTATTATTGTACTCAATCATCTATTTTATATGCTAATTGTAAAATAATTAATAATATTATTTTGACCTCCAAATTATATTCCCACGACTAATATTTAATTATAATACTGAATTACAATTACAATCGGATTGTAAACATCCGCAACCGGGTTAGGTTTTCTGTATTGGAATGATACATCATACACTAACGAAATATAATATACTTGAATTTGTTTCTTAAACTGATTGAATTGTTCTTTTTTCATTGAATTTCATCACAATGTACGAACCTTTTGCTACGTTTGAGGAATTTTTTCAGGGTGAACAAAACAAATATGAGCAACTTAAACTCGATGACGTCGAAAAGTTAAAAGACAGCTTGGCAGCAGAAAAACAATTATTATCACCTTTAACAGGTATAAATCATATTTATTTAAATACATTTGAAAATGTATTCTTCTTATGAGCATTAAGGGGATTGCATGTTGACTTTTTTTAAGGAGTTTTGTATAGGCAATATTTAAGAAAAATTTGGTTTTAATCAATTTCGACCATGTTTTTTGATTATTTCCCGGTTAATTTGTGTAAGCTTCTTAATATTGGTATCAGTTTTTCTATGAGTAAAAGACATTTGGCTTATTTTAGACCAAAGAGCTAGACAAAATTTCAACTAATTAGGACGGTCCAATTTTAACTTAGACAATTGATTCAAATTCTTCGACTACTTTACTATGTTATGTAGGAATCCAAATTTTCATTTAATAATTTCAGTTTCTTGTAGTTAAATAAATTAAATTTGCAATTTTTACAATAATTTCAAAATAAATTAAAATTGTTTTTTTTTTTAAATGTATATTTATTTATATATAATATGTTACACACAATTTAATTTGAATATATTACAATGAGTAATAACATTGTAAAACATCCTTATAAATCATATTACTATACCCTGATAGGCGCTTGTATTATTTATAGTTCATAAAACGTTAATTAAATAAATAAACGATGAATGATGTTATGTTTACTGGTAAATGTCTTATTGTTTCAGACAAAAAACTTGTTGCGTTACTTCATAGCTGTTTTTTCGATTTGGATTTGGCTCGAAAAACAGCCATATGCTGTCGTAAGAGTTACCTAGATCTCTCATCCATTTTCGCTGAGCTGGACCCAATGTCGGAATCAATGCAAACATGTCAAAAAACAATGTAAATTATATTATTAATAACATTTATTCTTGGCATGGCAATAATATATGTAAAATTCCTAAAAACATTTATGGACTTTTAAAAATTCAATTGTAACCCGTAATAGTACAAATAATATCATATTGTTCTTCATTTGATACAATATGCATGTTGATTAACATGTAATTAATTTTACATGTAATTGTATTGTGTAGAAACTAAGTGCAGACATAGTATCTTTTAATTAATCACAATAATAAGAAATTAAAAGTATACAATTAAATGTAAACACTGCAAATATTTTATTAATTTGATAATATTCAACAATTGTTTTACAATAAAATGGTAGTAAAGCTAGATTTAATTATTATGGTTCATAAAATGGCAGTTAGGTCAGAGAAGGTTAAGAAGGCCAGGTACAAGTAAATAAATCGAAGATTGTCCGGATTATATTATCTATATCTATTATGTATCATTTTTCTCTTATCCCTTTGAAAAATTGTAACTTAGGCCAAGTCTTGGTTTCTCTTGAAAACCGTTTTTATTTAAAATATTTAAGCAGTGCAAATATTACAACCCTTATACTGACATAAGAGAAAGTAACGTGACTTATTTTTTAGAAGCGTTTGTGATTTGACTCATGACAAAACGGGTAAAGAAGTACGTTTCTTCTATGCTCAATTTCAAGATGTTGATCCAGAAAAGTTTGATTTAATATCTATATATAAGGCATTGATGATGTATCTAGAATATATATTATTATGTAATGGTACATTTGATGGATTTCTTGTCATAGTTAATTGTGTTGGCATACATTGGCGTCACGTATTAAAAGTTCCCTTATCTACAGCCAAAAGATTTATATCTTTTTTTCAAGTATGTATGAGTTATTTAACTGTTAAGTATTTTTTAACATATCATAGTAATCTGGTAACAAATAATTAAAAACAGTTTAAAAGAAACAATTTTTTTCTATTTATTATTCGTTGCAGTTTTCTAGTCAAATATTTATTTATTTTTAAAATATAATGTTTTATTTAATTGTTGTAAATCACCAATGCTATTACTCGTATGACGAATAATAAAGGACATTGTTTTTTTTTTTTTTTTTTAGGAAGGGCTTCCTTTAAGATTAAAAGAAATTCATTTTATGAACGTTGGAAGTGTATTCATGATGCTGCATAAACTTCTTTCGCCATTTATTAATGATGATTTAAAAGAGAAAGTAAGGTTATCGAAATTATTTAGTCGTGAATTTTATAGTTTATAATATAGACATCATTAGAATAAAATATAATGGGGATATTAATGGATTCAATCATTAAAATTGTAAAGTGTCTCAGTAGAAACGTAACTAAGTTATTCATAACAATAATATTAACAAGTAATTTCCTATTTATTATGTTTGACAAATTTGTGTACACCATTTTTTATAGATAAAACTACATGCAGTCGGTTCTGATGACATTTTTACAATTGTACCAAAATCTATTTTGCCGAAAGAAGCCGGTGGACAAGCAAAATCACACGTTGAATTAAACGGTAAGGTGTTTAAAAAAAAATAAAAAATAAAAATTGTTATTTTAATGAGCTTTACTTTTTTTTTTTAGAATTGATGTATAAAAACTTATTTTCTTGCCGTGAATGGTTTATTCAGCAGAATGACTCGTTGAAAAAGCAATTAAAATAATTAAATATTTTAACTATACGAATTGTTTATCTACTTATTTGTTGTAAGAAGGTAATGGTGTTATTATTTAAACAATTAAATTTCACACAATTTATACAGAAATTGTGTTTATGTAAATATTTAATTTTCCATGTTAATTTTGATTTTGTAATCTGCTCCATGTAATATTACTATTGCAATCTACAATGAAGATTAAAGATTAGTGATTAAAAATAATAAGATATTAAAAAGATTCGAATTGAGTCAGTTTGAATATTTATGTTTATCTAATATTCATTATGGTTTATATTGTATAACATGTTAAATGTAATAATAAAGGTAACCGTGAACATTACTGTGTTTAGAACAATTAATTAGAATTATTATCATTAAATAAGCCTGTTTATTTATGAACTGATGTAAAATAAAGATGCTTTTGTCTTGCGACATTTGATAAACGATCATGATTTGCTAATGACAATTATTACTGATAGCTATTAGGTTTTGTGCAATTCATTTAATGTAAGTATTTTTTAGTACATTAAAAAAAAAGTGAGCTCCATATATTATATTCTATATCGACCGCCCAACAGCTATCCTCGTCTACATATTAAATTTAGCTAATTGTAAGCCAAAAACTATAAAAAAAATGCTATTGCAATAGCAGTTACAATATATACATTGTATAAATCATAAAAATCCAGAAGGATCATTTTATCGTCATCCGCTCAATATTTCATTGAGTTTCATTATTAATTGACAATTTTTTTTTTGTCATAGTGTTTTTATATAATGTGCTCTCAGTTTTCCATAAAATTGTTTTGTTTTTACCCTCGAGTGGAGTATGATAAAAGGATCACCCTGCATATATGCATGTTGTAACAATAAAATAAAATATGCAAAACATATTTGTGCTTCCTTCAATCCATAATGTTTGTATTCATTAGTAGGCCAGAATTATTCTTGTAAATTTTTATACTATTCTCTTTATAATGTTATCTAAGACCCATGTGCAGTGTGCAAGTCTCAACATTGTTCCAAATCCTAGAATCATGGATATGTTTTCCTCTACCCTCCCTGAAATATCCAATGGTCCTCCCATTCCCTTCTTTCCTCTCCTTTCTAATCTATTTAATATGCTTCTCATTTATCCTTACCTATTCATAACATATTCTATTCAGTCCAAATTTAACTTTACTGAACTAATCTCTCACCAACTCGCTCTTATCAGGATACATAATCCGTTGTCTCTTATCTCTATTCTCTTATCACTAGTGTTTAATCATGACATGTCATCGAAAAATATAGGTAAGTTTAATTAATTACATTTTTATCAATTTTTACTGATAATTTATATTTATAATTTGTTTTTAGTCTTATGACACGTATAGTTTAAATCAAACTATAATGCATTAAGATTTCTATTCAACCACTAGGTATGAAAAACAAAATGTTTAAGAAATATAATAAGTTCAACAACAAAAGATTATTTTAATAATTTAACTGTGTTCTCTAGATATTATTTATAATATGTATATCCAAAATAATTTTATTTTGTAATTGAAAAACATAATGTATCATGTATTCAGAAGACTTAGATTGAAATCAGACAAAATTGTAAAATCCAGTAGGTAGCTTTTTTATTTTATATTTTATAGAACCTTTTTTTAATAATTTTACCGCAAATTGGGTAGATAGTCATATCGTAGTACTTTAATATAAATTAAAAAATGTATATTTTTTACAATTTTTGTATAATAATAATTTATATTTCAATTTAATTATTAGTGTACCTAATCTATTCTATCTATTCATTTATATACTAATTGTAAAATAATTAAAAATAGCATTTTGACCTTCAAAATTATATTCCCACAACAATTATTTAACCATAGAACTGAATTTTATTATGTAATCATCTACAACCGGGTTAGGTTTCCTTTATTGAAATGATATATCATACACTAACGAAATATAACATACTTCAATTTGTGTCTTAAGTTATTTAAACTGTTCTTTTTTCGTTGAATTTCTTCACAATGTACGAACCTTTTGCTACGTTTGAGGAATTTTTTCAGGGTGAACAAAAAAAATATAAACAACTTAAACTCGATGACGTCGAAAAGTTAAAAGACAGCTTGGCAGCAGAAAAACAATTAACATCACCTTTAACAGGTATATATCATATTTATTTAAATACATTTGAAAATTAATTATTTGTGCATTAAGGGACTGTTTTAAAGGAGTTTTGTATAGGCAATATTTATGATAAACGTGGTTTTAATAAATTTCGACCATGTTTATTGATTTTCCGGTTAATTTGTAAAAGCTCGTGATATTGGTATCAATTAATATACTTTTTTCGAAAAGTAGGAAGCCAAATTTTCGTTTAATAAATTAAATTTGCAATTTTCAAAATATTAAAAACCAATATTTTTTATAAATATATATATTGTATATACTTTTAAAATAAAGTAAAATTGTTTTTTTTTATAATTGTGTAATATATTACACTCAATTTACTTTGAATATATTTCAATTAGTAATACCATTGTGAAACACCCTTTATAAATCATATTACTATACCCCGATAGACACTTGTATTATTTATAGTTAAGAAACGTTAATTAAATGTATATATAATGAATAATTTTGAGTTTACTGTTGAATGTCTTATTATTTCAGATAAGAAACTTGTTGCTATTCTTCATAGCTGTTTTTTCGATTTGGATTTTGCTCGAAAAACAGCCATTTACTGTCGAAAGAGTTACTTAGAACTCTCACACGTATTCGCTGAGCAGGACCCAATGTCTAAATCAATGCAAACATTTCATAAATTAGCGTATGTTATATGTTTAAATAATTTTATTCTTATCATTACAATAATATATGTAGAATTCTTAATAGCATTTATGGACTTTTGCTAAAATGCATGGTAATTGATAATTAATTGTACATGTATTTTGAATTATGCAGAAATAGTATCTTAAAATTAATCACAATGAAAAATAAACTCAAATTTTACAAATAAATGTAATCATTGCGCATATTTTATTCATTTGTTTGTATACACCAATGTTTTAATAATAAAATGGCGGGTAGGTCAGAGAAGGCTAAGATGGCCAGGTACAAGAAAATAAATCCAAGATTGTCCGGATTTAATTATCAATCGGTCGGTTTTACCAACTTTTGTTAAATACACTCTTAACACAATGTCAGTTAACGGCTCATTTAAATTTAACATCTGGTTAAATGCAATAAGTTTCACCATAACATTATTATTGTTAAATTATATTTGTTAGGTTAACAAAACGTTAGTTGGGTTACCAAAGCGGTTACCTCGATTCCAACGTTCTCATTGGTTATTAAAATATGTGATAACTGATAAGTGATTGTATTATTTAATTTGTCAGTTTGTTATTATTCGACATTTTATTTTACTTTCTTTTAACGTTTCGGTTTATATAAATAATTTATATACAATTGTTTAACACATTGTTTGAATATTCTGTATCTTACTAAAAAATAGTTTGTCATCAAGGTTATTAAACGAATTATTTCTATTGTTATATTCAAGACAGGCAAGATATAATAATATTATCTTAATTACAAAATACAATAAATGATGATATTTGAACCTATAATTCAAGTTTGTGCCGTTCCTTTTTTCCTAATCTACCTACATAAAATAACTTCTGCTTACCTAATAATGGGTTATCGAAGTTGTCTTTTCTATTGTTCTCTCAATACTCAATATAAAGGAGTTCCTCATCAAATGAGTAGATTATTATTATTTATTACTAGTATACTCAGTCAACAAAAATTATAAAACAATTTTTGAACTGTAACAATGTAATTTAATATGAAACCCAATTTTCACTAACTATTTGTTAAATATAATTAACAACAAGTTAAATTCTTAACAAATGTTTGGTGAAACCGGCTGTACGTCTATTATGTATCTTCCTTTTATCCCTTTACAAAACTGTATGTCGCAGATAATATTGAAATCTATCAGGAGTGTCCCGCCAGCAGTAACTTTGGCTATGTCTCGGTTTCTCTTGAAACCCCTTTTTTTATTTAAAATATTTATGCAATGCCAATAAATACAACCTATTACGCTGACTTCATAGAAAGTAACAATACTTATTTTTTAGAAGCGTTTGTGATTTGACTCATGACAAAACTGGTAGCGGAGTACGTTACATCTATCTTCAACTTCAAGATGTTGATCCACGGAAGTTTGAGTTTACATCCTTATTAAAGGCATTGGTCATGCAACTAGAATATATACTATTGTGCAATGGTACATTTGATGGACTTGTTGTTATATTTAATTGCGTTGGCTTGCATTGGCGTCACGTATTAAAAGTCTCTTTATCTACAGCCAAAAGATTCATAGAATTTTTACAAGTTCGTACCAGCTACTTAAATATAAAGTATTTTCAACTATTTCCTGATAATCTGGTAACAATTAAATAATTAAACTAATAAAAGAAATTTTTTTTTGAAATTTATTATGAATTTTCAATTTACTAATCAAATATATTATTATTTTTAAATATAATATTTTATTTTATTTTTGTAGATCACCAAAGCTATTACTCGTACAACGAATAATAAAGGAGATTGTTTGTTTTTTTTTTTTTTTTTAGGAAGGGATTCCGTTAAGATTACAAGAAATTCATTTCATGAACGCTGGAAGTGCATTTCAGATGCTGTATAAACTTCTCTCGCCATTTATTAGCGAGGATTTAAAAGAGAAAGTAAGGTTATTGAAATTATTGAGTTGTGACTTTCTTAGTTTATAATATAGACAACATTAGAATAAAATGTAATGGGGATTTTAATGAATTCAATCATTAAAGTAGTTAAGTACCTCATTAGGTAAGTAACCAAGTTATTCATAACAATAGTATAGACAAGAAATTTACAACTACAAAATATAATCGTTTAATAAAAAAATATATATACTATAAAAAGCCATCACAGAGTGGACGGAGCATATGAGAGTGGCAGGGTAGGTCATAGGTGATTCGTTTTCCTTAAGAAACCATTGGGACTAGAAATCAATGCTTTTTTTTTAAAAAGATTACTTATGTACTTAAGAAAAAAATGTATTTTTATATTTATCTACTGGACATTAACGTTTAAGTTAGGTATTTGGAAAACACCCAAAAAAGAGGGAAATTACACATTGACAGTATTCAATTTCCAGGTTGCTTTGTGTGAGCGAATCAACAGTAAACAGGTGATGAAAACATTTTCATTATATTGGTCGTTACAAAATATAATGGGTAACTATGGTAATATATGTTTGTGGATAGAAGATCAGGCCTAATCGAATCCACTATAACGTATAAAATATTAATTTTTCAAGCGCATAATATTGATCGTTAGTCATTTTCTCATCTGTGAACACTCACTTAGGTACAATACTTTCTTGCTGTGCTTGGTTTGGACTGTATACTGGTTTGAGTAAACTATCCACAGGTGCGCGTCGATTATTTAACTCTGATTTTATCACTTTTAGTTACAATAAAATAATATATTCCTGTACAACTGTGACCTTGTCGTCCCCACCGTGCTGGCTTTTTATTATTTCAATTTTTTATAAATAAAATTATTATTATGAAGTATCAACATAATTATTCCAAGTAAACTAGTTTTCAATTGGCCTATTTATTCATTTTTTTTTTTCTTGATTTGTATGAAATTTAAGGTCATTTTTAGTTACTCTAGAAAACAACACTATTAAAATAATTACAATAAAAATAATAATTTACTAACGACCCATTAATATAATATGTATACCTCTGTGACTGCGTTATATATTATAGTCTTATACATAAATCAAATTTCTTTGTTTGTTTTTTTTTTTTTTGGGGGGCTATTACATAACTATGTTATTTTTAAAATACTTTAATTAAATTCAACATTCGGTCGGTCATTTTGTATTAATATAAATCGTTGCCGGATTATTCCGGACAGTAAATTAAATAATTATAATATACTATACCAGATGGGGGAATACACCTTTGAACTGTCTAGTGTCTAGTGAACCATACTGCACAAATAAAATAAATTATTATTTAAATGATTGTAATTGATGCAGTTATTATTGTAAAGAGATAGTCCAGACAAAAAAAAGTGTAGTCAATTAATGTTATTCGATGATGTATGATATGAAAAGTAATGCACACTAATTTTTTTTTTTTAGATAAAATTACATGCGGTCGGTTCTGATGACATTTTCACATTTGTACCAAAATCTATTTTCCCGAAAGAAGCCGGAGGACAAGCGAAATCACACGTTGACTTAAACGGTAAGTTGTTTAATGAGAAAAAAAAAGAAAAACTGAATTTGTCATGTACTTTACTTTTTTTTTTCTTTTCTAGAACTGATGTATAAAAACTTACACTATTGCCGTGAATGGTTTATTCAGCAAAATGACTCGTTGAAAAAGCAATTAAAATAATAAAATGCTTTAACTGTACAAATAATTGTTTATCTACTTAATTGTTGTAAGAAGGGAATGTTAACACTGTTATTTTTATAATTAAATTTCACACAATACATACAGAAATTGTGTTTATATCAATATTTAATTTTCCATGGTAATTTTGATTTTTCGGTCTGCAACATGTCACATTATTATTGCGGTTTACAGTGAATATTAAAGATTACAGATTACAGTTAATAATAAAATAGTAAAAAGATTCGAATTGGGTCAGTTTGAATATTTTAGTTTATCTAATATTCATTATGCTATATGTTGTATAGCCCATTAAATGTAATAACAAAATTAATCATGCTCAATGTTTGTTGTAGAATAATTAACTAGAAATTTGTATTATTATTATCTTTATGTTATGTCTATTTATATTTGTTTAATTATTTTGTCAACTATGTAACTTAAAACAGCCGATTGGCGTATATACTTAAAATAAATAAATAAATAAACAGAAATATAAGTATTACATTAGCCTTCTAATATTTATGAACTGATGTAAAATAAAGATGTTTTTGTCTTGCTAAATTTGTTAAAACGAAAACGATATTTTGCTAATAACAATAATAATAATAATTGCTAGGTATCAAGTTTTGTGCAATTCGTTTAAAGTAAGTACCTATTTTCTATCGTTTATTAAAAAACGGTGAACTCCATTTATTATATTCTATAACGACTGCCCAACAGCTGTCCTCGTCTACATATTAAAATTTGTATAACTAATAAAAAAAATTGATTGCAAAACCAGTTACAATACAATATACACTGTATACATCATATAAATACAGAGTGATCATTTTGTCGTTAACCGCTCAATAGCTCATTGGGTTTAATTAATAATATTCATTTTTTATTACTGATGTATTAAACCAAAATGTTTGCTTTCGTCGCTGGGTTCTAAAGGATTCTATTTTATTAATACTACAATAGTTACTATCTTCTCACCTGTATCTTACTTTTGAAATCAGTCATAATAATTATAAATTTACCGATGTTTACCGAGTACCTATACCATTAAACACATTTAAAATAACCAACATTTTTATAAAAAAAAAAAACAATATTTTTTTGGATTAAATACCCTAATACAGGGTGATGGTTTTACCGTGAACCACTCAATCAGCCGATTTCACCAATATTTGTTAAGAATTTAACTTATTGTTAATTATATTTAACAATTAGTTAGTGAAAATTGGGTTTCATCGAGATTTGTTAGCCTTAACACAGACTTGCATTACAGATTCATAGTTTATTGTATTTTATAATTTAGATATTATTGTCATGTCTTGCCTGTCCTGGGTATAACAACGGAAATAATTCTTATCACTACCTACTTTTTTTTAGGCCTCCAAAATAGAAAAAAATTATTTTAATGACCTTGATGACAAAATATTTTTTAGAAAGATACAGAATGTCTAAACAATGTGTTAAACAATTGTATATAAATTATTTATATAAGCCGAAACGTTAAAAGAAAGTAAAATAAAATGTCAAATAATAACAAACTGACAAATTAAATAATACAATCACTTATCAGTTATCACGTGTTTTATTAACCAATGAGAACGTTGGAATTGAGGTAACCGCTTTGGTAACCCAACTAACGTTTTGTTAACTAAACGAATAGAATTTAACAACAATAATGTTGTGGTGAAACTTGTTTCATTTAACCAAATGTTAAATTTAAATGAGCCGTTAACTGACATTGTGTTAAGAGTGTATTTAACAATAGTTGGTGAAACCGACTACTGTTCTCATAAGGTTTAATAAGACATATAATTTTTTTGGACAGTGGTAAAAACAAAATAAATCTGTGGAAACCTGAAAATTGCATTACATAAAAACACAATGAAAAATCAAATGGTTATTTTTTATTAAACCCAGTGAAATATTGAGTGGTGCACGTTAAAGCGATCACCCTGTGTAATATGGTCGTTCTAACAATCAAATACAATATACAGAGATAATTTGTTTTTCCTTCGAACCACAAATAATTATTATATTATTATACATTAGTGGGCGGTAATTATACTTGTAAATTTCTACACCACGCTCTTAATAATGTCTATTGGAAGATGCATGTGCACGTTTCGACATTGTTCCAAATCTCGTTTCGTTACATGTTGTGATGTTGACACTGGCCCATTAAAATACATGCACGGTTAGTGTCAACCAAGACGGACTAGTATCCATTGACGGACGGCCGTTCGAACACGCGCACAGTTGTGTTTGAACTGGAAATTGACCGTTTGTGGTACGAGAAAAAAAATTAATAATCTTCGTGTTAGGATTGCATTGAGAAGATAAAAAACGTCTTCAATGCCGATCGCCGTAATTAATGAAAATATTATCGTCTAGTGCACATTGACAGAACTACACCATGTACGCCGTTTCGACTGACTTTGAAGAATATTTCATTAAGGAACAAGAAAAATACCCGCAACTCGAGTTGGAAGATGTTCAAAAGTTAAGAGAATGTTTGGCCAAAGAAAAAAAACTGCCACTTATTTCGGGTAATTTTTTTTTTACAATTCCCTGTACAATCCCATGTCTAAAATTTCATATATATATATATTATCTTTGGTCATGTTTATTGAAAGCATACTATGTTTAAAATATAGGCATTATATATTTGAGGTACTTTCATTGGCTATTCTTGCCAATATGGAAGTTAATACTTACATAAAATCGCATTTTGCTATTGACAGACAAAACTTATAAATCATTTTAATCATAAAAACAACTAACCAAATAGTATTGATGTCTATGGTATTTTTTCAATTTACTATTCAATTCCATAGTTTATTCAGTTTTAATGCTTTGGACGTTTTTTTGGTTTTCGATAACTAAATTTAATAGTTGTTTGTAATTTTTCGAAAAAATACAATAAAAACTAAACTTAAAACAAATTACAAAAACTAATTGATAATGTAGACGATCTGTTGAATATGGAAAGAATTATTTTATTTTTATAAATTTTGTTACTATTTTAGTATTAATTATTGTTTAATATAAATATATTCTTATTATTTAAACTGGAATAAGAGAATAGGGCAATACACATACATAGAACGATTAGGTATTTTGTAATTTGTTTTTAATTTTCAAAGCCTTTTCCATACTCAAGGGACTAATTATTATTATAATAGTATAAATATTTATAATTATTATTGCTTGACCCGTGTTGTGTTGGTTTTAGATAAAAAGATTGTCGCGTTCCTTCACAGTAGTTACTTCGATTTGGAATTGGCCAAAACGACCATTGTGAAAACTTACAAAAATTACTACGATGTGCCAGAAATATTTTGCCATTTGGATCCGACCACACCTGATATGATCAAGAACAATGACTGCGTGTAATTATAATAGAATTTTAATTAATAACATAATTTAAGGCAATTTGTATACATCAATGAATTTTTTTAAATGCACACCCTCGTATGGTTGACTAGAACCACTTTTGTAATATGTGGTTAAGCATGTGATAATATTTAATACTATGATACAACAGCTAACGTTTTTTTTTTTTTTTTTGCTCTCTAGATTTATCTAATAAAATAAAAATGAATGCACAACTTGTGTTTTTAATGTAGACACGAATAGAGTGTATTTAATCTCATTAACCAGTGTGACGTTTATGTTGTCCGTTAATTTGTCAAAGTAAAAGTGTACACCCGTCGAACATACTGGTTATGGCCATTTGAAACATATTACCAAATGTAAAACATTAAAATTAGCACAGCCGTTACAGTCGGCATTCGGCAAAGTGAGGTCAAGGCAGATACCGAATGGAAATGTGATAAAAATCACTATTAAACGGTTCAATGCAATTTTTTTTTTTATGTTATGAAATAGTCTAATAACACTCAAGATTTGCGTTAAGACGGCGTTGTACGCCTAATTAAAGCCTAAACAAAGCAAGATGCATATTAACTAGCACTTATAGTGCAACTATTGGGAGAGAACGACTTTTGACCGATGGAATGTCACAACTGTTTTATCAAATTATTTCCCAACAATTATTTAACTTCAAGAACAATAATTTATAAATGATAATTTATACGGTTTAACTCAATGTAATTCGTATGTACTATTGTGTTATGATTTGTCGTTTTTTTTTTTTTAATTTTAGGAGTTTAGGAGATTTGACATACGACAAAACCGGCAGTGATGTACGGTATTTGTACATGCAGTTCAAAGACAACGATCCAGAGAATTATGAGTTCTTTCCGTCCGTCAAAATAGTTGTTATGTGGATGGAATATGTACTGTTGTGCTATGGGACTTTCGATGATCTAATTGTGGTGATCAACTGCGACGGGTTGCAATGGCGTCACGTTGTTAAAATTCCTTTGGGCATACTCACTAAATTGATAAAATTCATTCAAGTAAGTCTATAACGAAAACAGTATTTAATAGTCAACGCAACTGTTAATAAATATTAACCATAACCAATAAATGATAACAATACAAACAACCTAATGCATATTATATGCACTTACATGCAGCGAAGGGGTAATAATGTATTGTGCATTCCTCGGTCAATTTACCATAGTAATATAAATGTCGACGTTTGAAAGATGATAAATTTATAATAATTACAATTATAAATTATTTGGATTAATAAATAACAAAAAAAAAAAAGAGTCTAATTCAATAATTTATGTGGCATTTGTTGCAAACAGTTTTTATTTTTTTGAAAATCTGTCTTGTACTTTTAAGTGTCACTTCTTATAACGTGACCAATTTCAGTATATTTTCTTGCTAATAACATTTTTATCTTTTTTTTAGGGAGGATTGCCGCTTCGTTTAAAAGCTGTTCACTTTGTAAACACCGGAAGCGCTATGAAAAAGTTGATAAAAATGGTATCGCCGTTCATCGATAAACCTCTAATGAACAAGGTATGCTTTCACTTATAGTATTATTAGAACAATATACTGGAGGGGACAAAAATTGTAGTTATTAGCCAATAAAGCCAATATTTTCCATTTTAGTAGTGTTCAAAAGTAGGATAATTCGTTTTATCATACATTTTATCTTATGTTGGTAACTACAGTTTTTCCAATAAACTTGACAAACGATAAGATAAAAACTAATGGGGTCTATTTATTAAATACACTCTTAACACAATGTTAGTTAACAGTTCATTTAAATTTAACATCTGGTTAAATGAAATAAGTTTCACCATAAAATTATTATTGTTAAATTATATTTGTTGAGTTAACAAAACGTTAGTTGGGTTACCAAAGTGGCAACCTCGATTCCAACGTTCTCATTGGTTAATAAGATATGTGATAACTGATAAGTGATTGTATTATTTAATTTGTCAGTTTGTTATTATTTGACATTTTATTTTACTTTCTTTTAACGTTTCGGCTTATATAAATAATTTATATACAATTGTTTAACACATTGTTTAGATATTCTGTATCTTTTTAAAAAATATTTTGTCATCAAGGTCATTAAAATAATTTTTTTCTATTTTGGAGGCCTAAAAAAAAGTAGGTAGTGATAAGAATTATTTCCGTTGTTATACCCAGGACAGGCAAGACATGATAATAATATCTAAATTATAAAATACAATAAACTATGATATTTGAACCTATAATGCAAGTCTGTACCATTCCTTTTTACCTAATCTACATAAAATAACTTCCGCTTACCTAATAAAGGGTTATTAAAGTTGTCATTTCTATTGTTCTCTAGACACTCAATTTAAAGAAATTTCTTAACTAATTTTTAATTCATTGTTATATATAATTAGTATACTCAGTCAACAAAAATTATGAAACAATTTCTAAAACTATAATAATATAAACATTTTAACATGTTGATTAACTTTTGAACAAGCTGATTTCGGGTAGTTAACTTAACAATCGTTTAGACAACGTGTTAAGGCTATCAAATCTCGACGAAACCCAATTTTCACTAACTAATTATTAAATATAATTAACACTAAGTTAAATACTTAACAAATGATAGTGAAATCGGCTGAATAAATATTTGTTTCCAGCTGAAATTCCATTCGGTCGGTTCGCAAAACATATTCAACTACGTACCAAAAGAGTTATTACCTGAGGAAATCGGCGGATCAGGAAAATGTCATACATTCTACAGTGGTAAGTATATTATGAATATAATGTTTTAGTTTTAGACACAAAAATCAACGGAAACTCATATTTTTTTATATTGAATTAATTTAGATGAAATATACAAAAACATAGTCTTGTGCCGTGATTATTTTATCGACCACAGTGAAACGTTACAGAAACAAATGGAAATCAACAAGCAAAAGTCAAAGAAAAAAAGCTCAAAAATAGTTTAATACACGTTCTGTGATTCTAAGAATATACGTTAATAAAAATATTTAAATAATTGAATAAAGTCGGTATATTATTTTAAAAACGCCAATGTATCAGTTTAATTGTGAAATTGTAAAGATCTCAATGTTATATTGTAATTGATATTCTAAAAATATTATACATATTGCGATCGTTAACGATGAATCTTAAGTTTTTGGTTTTTTATGTTGGTCAGTGGTCTTACCTCTCTATTCTTTTGTTGTACATCATTACATATAAGTAGAAAGTAAGAACATAGCCAGTAAAAAGATGATAAATATATATATATATATATAAGGCGCACACTGTAGGCAACAAAACTTGTTACATTTTGATGTTTTTGGATTTGAATTTTTTCTTGTAGTGCAACCAAAAACGAATGGGGCGATTTTCAAAAATTATAAACTATGGAAAAGTACCGTTGATGTACTTTAGACATCCAAAAAACGATTAAGGTCTAGAAATTTTAACATCAAGTACAAAAATAAAACTATTATAATGAGTTGGTAATTATTAAGAAAAGGTGTTCCAAGCAAGAACCTATTGTATTGAGACAAAGTAGAGCCTTCTATATGTGTATCATGCGAAGGTCTTGCTCTGGTTAGGTTAGGTTGGCAACACTAACCTAAAATAAATAAGTTTTCTATTTTAAGATGAATGAATTTTAGTCCAAGCTCTGTTTGCTGGAGTTGGACTTGTGTCATACTGAAATAACTTTCAAATTATTAATTATTTAATACCGGTTATCGACCGAAAGAAATATTGTTTTCCAAAATATGAATATTTTAGAATTAATTCCACCGGATTTCTTATAGCTGAATTCACAACTGCAGACCACATGTTTTGCTTAGCAAGTGTGTTTATTGTACAAATTTTAATTGAAACCACGGTGGTATATTTTTTTTATGTAAAATAACATTCATACAATTTTGTTGCATTACTATGAGTAAGAATAAAATATATCATAATATATATTTGAATGCTGTTGCCGCCTTCGGCTCTCGACCAATATGTGTTGGAGATGTCTTAACGGCTACAAGATAGACAACTTTGTTCTCTTCAAATAGACTACCTTCAGCGCCTTATGTACAAAGAAACGAACAGCATCATTTTGCCATTTTGTGTTGCGTTCAAGAAATAGTGGTCCAAATTAAATAATTATTCTTGTAAATCAATAAAAGAAACAATAAAAAGATATTGTAACAAAATGGTTGCCACTTAGACCACTACAAACCAGCCACACTAACTCATATACCTTTAAGGATAGGCACAGTATCAGCTTGGTTCTGCCCACTCGACCACTCTGGGGTGATATTCTTGTGATGAGGTTCTAACAATGTATAATATTAATTTTTGTTTTTTTTTTTTTTAGACGGCATAAGCTTAGAACTATTTACGAATATGGTCAGGCAGATTTGCGTAAAGAAAACGGAGAACGTCAAAGACTTCATTTCTGAATATTTTTGAATCCGGATGTCGGTTTTACATTTGCTTTTGTAAAAGAAAATGTTGTTTCTTCTTAATAAAACAACAATAATATATGAAATATGTAGTCTAGATCTTGTATCCGGTTCTTTAATTTCAATAAGTGCACTTGGTGTCAAATAATTAATGGTATCAATAACAACGTTAAAATATATCATCCAGGTGATTGTAGATACTGGTACGGTATCTATATAATAATACATAACAAGTCTTCAAATAAAAATGTGTTTTCTAAACAATTGTAAATGCTTGAGTAAAAAATGAATAGCCCCAAAATCGTTTTCACTTTGAAGACTTCAAATAATATAACTAGGTCGATTTTTCGAAGATGCCACTTTTGTTTCTGGACACACGCCCTATAAATGCATTGGTGTACATAAATAATAAGTGGCTGTTTGAACAAGCATACAAAACATCACAAAAAAATGTCTTTTATTTTTATTTCAACAAATAACGCAACTTGAAACGTGGTGATAAGTATTATTTCTGTCGGAGCAGAGTATTTTGTTAGAAAACTCTAAAAGGCTTAAGACGCCGCCTGAGTAAAATGCAGTGCTATCAAGTTACAAAACGAGATGTTCAGCCGGTTTCATCAACATTTGTTAAGAATTTAACTTATTGATAATTATATTTAAAACAAAGTATTATAATTGAAAAACCTTAGACTGTCACAACATAATTATGTTTTGTAGTACTATGAGCGCTACACTTTCAAACGTGGAATAAGTAATGAAAATGGTCAAGCTTTGCTCTGTCGTTAAAATCTAGTTTGGGACACCCGTAATTTGTGTGCATACACAAAAATAGGAGAGTAAATAAATTTATTGTTAAAACAATACTTGTTTTGCTTTTGTTTTATTACACCTTGCAAAATATATAAATACAAGTGCTAGTAAAAATTGTTTTGCCCGACTTATATAAGATAACGTTATAGGATTTCTGTTCGATTCTACTCGACGAAATCGACGTCGCAAATAGTGTTTACTGACAACAAACATGGCAGAAATGTTGTTGTATTAAAAAAAAAATGCTAGCTTAGGTTGCCAAAATATATGTGCGAAAACAAATAGCGTTTTTTATTATATGCGTGTTATTCTTCGAACATTCACTGCGAAACCAGTCACAGTACAGCGTTCAAGCTATTATTTTTGTTTAATTCGATTGAATTCCAAAGTCTTTGAACCAGAAACCATGAATGCAAAATATACATTTGTTTTGTGTTTTGCAATGAACTACTTAGTAATTCAATGTGTTAAAAATAAGAGACCCGAAATGGATTATCAAATCGAAGAAGAGCTAGCTAAAAAATTACGATATTTGAACACTTCTGGACAAAACGCGGGCACTTCTCGACAAAAAGAGGACAATTATGGAAAAAGTGATGATGAGGTAATATTATTATTGGGCTAAAAAGTTATATCTAAAATTTAAGACCCGGGACGCGACGGGATGGTATGCAAAATTTTCCATAATGCTGTGTTGCCAAAATATGTTTTTTTTATCACATATTTTATTTAATAATCGGACGCGACTTCGTTAATTTATAAGAATACACATATATAAAAGACGGGACTCGGATTACAAATATTATTCAAATAGCCTTCCTTTACATGTTTTATTTCACACCCGAACCGCCCAAGTACATTATTTTGGCATTATTGCCTGCAGTTAAAAATAAATATTGAAAACAAAATTGAATTTTAATTCGTTGCTATGGTTTTTGGATTAATATGTATAGCTTTACATAAAAAAAATCACCCTGTATATATTACAGGGTGATTTATTTATCATGAGCCACTCAAAATCTCATAGGGTTTATTTAGAAATTAATTTTTTTTTTCATTTGGTTTTTCTAGAATGTGATCTTAATTTATTTACAATTATTTTTGTTTCTACCTTCCTCAACTTAATAACAAACATAATATTTAATTTTTGTTAATATGATTAATATGTATAGCTTTAAATATCAATATATACATATATACATTTATATATATATATATATATATACACAGGGTGATTTTTTTATCATGAGCCACTCAATAACTAATAGGGTTTGATAAGAAATTATATATTTTTGTTTTTACCTTCCTCTCAACTTAATGATAAACATAATATTTAATTTTTGTTAGTCGGCAACACTAATCTCTGAAATGGACATTTTTCCAACCCGTCCCGTCATGTCCAGGGTTTTAGATATTCCCTGTTAAAATGCACTCTAAATCTTATGAGTGTATCGAATGAATTAAAAACTGTGGATTTTTGTATTAAATTCTCATTGAATGCAAACATATAATGTAGTGGCAACGTGCTCTGTTTTTAAATATAGTTAAATCGCTTAGTTTTTAAACATTATTTAAGTCAGCTGGTAGTTATTTAACAACTACTTATTTCACTTTACAAATACTTTATTAATTGAGTAACTCACAATAGTTTATGAAAAATGTAAAATACGAAATCCGACGTTTTTTTAAAATTTAAATTTTTGAAATAAAAAGAAAGTGGCACATAATTTCTGTGTGCCCTGTCAATACAGAGCAAGATAAAGCATGTGAGAGTTTGCATGCGATTTCAAAAGATTTAGGGGTAGTAGTTATTATTAATTTTACAAAAAATCTTGTTAATCATTATAACGCTTAAGTTGACATACTTTTCAATATAATATGTTATATAAACCTCGAAATTTGACGATTCCATTTTATTTTTAGCTTTTAGAAAACTTATACAATACATTCAAAGTGGAGTTAAATATAACTCCTGAAGATAAATTTACTTTGGATCATGCCAATGCAGCATTGTGCAATCATAATATGGAAGTCGTGACACTCACAGAAGATCAAACTGCAGAAATTAACCAAAGTAATCATAAAATATACTACCTTTATTGTGTAACACAAATTTCCTTTAGCTTCGATACGTTTTCCGAGACATTTGGTTTAAACTTTAAGGGGGGTTTATTTTTTGTTATTTTGTTATCATTTTTCTGGTCAACACTGCAACTACAACTTTTATGTTCTAACAATGTATGCTATTCGGTTTTGTTTTATTTTAGGCGGCATAAGCTTGAAACTATTTGGGGACATCGTCAGACAGATTTGCTTAAAGAAAAACAAGGTCACAAGAAAATTTATTTTGTTTATGAGGGGGTTTTCACGTTTACGTTCGCTTTGTAAAAAGTAAATGTTGTTCATTTTAAATGAAACTATAATATAAAAGATATGTACTCTAGTTCTTGTATCCGGTTCTTAAACTTCATTAAGCGCACTTGATGTTGAATTATTATTTTCAATTACAACGTTATAGTATTATCAATGTATAAATTTATAATACAAAATGTATTTCCTTTACAATTACAATTTCTTAAGTAAAAAAAAAATGACCCCAAAATATAATAATCAAAATCGTTTACACTCTGGAGGCTTTAAATAATATAACTAGGTCGATTTTTCGGAATGTTGCTTTTGTTTTTGGATAAACAACCTGTAGTTGTTTGAACAAGCATACAAAACATCACAGAAAAATATGTTTTCATTTTATTTCAATAAATGACACAATTTAAAACGAGATTTCTATAAGGTTCCGTGTGATAAACGTGTATAAAACGGCACACAAAATCATGTCAATTCATTTAAATGGAGCACCACCATAATTAGTACAATTATTTTGTGTGTAAAAATGCTACTCAATTTTATTAGAACTTAGAAGCTCAACACAAGAATATCATCCCAGAGTGGACATGTCTGCAAAACCAAGCTGATACTGGGCCTTTCATTAAAGGCATATGATTTTTATTTATTTAATATGTTTATAGTAGCCACACGTCATATGGATAAGGCTAATAGTTTGTAGTGGTCTAAGCGCCAATAATTATTATTATATGATTTTTTTTTGTTTCTATTATTGATTTACATAAATTATTTAAATTGTACCGGTTTTTCTTGAACGCAACACAAAATAGCAGAATGATTATCTTTGTACATAAGGCGCTGAAAGTAGTCTACATTAAGGGCACAAAGTTGCCTATCCTATAGCCGTTAAGGCACCCTCAACACGTTTAGGACTTAGCAAATTGTCAAAATTAGAAAATGTTATCGAATCGGATATACTATTTACATACGATTTGTGTACATAGATATTTTTTAAACTACTGCCATTAATAGTCCCTGAAAACAAACCAAAAACTTAAGGTTATGTTACTACCTAACCTTAAGTATGGCTATCGACGAATATTTACAAAGGAAAAAGCCATTAAAATAATTAAGGTTCGCACTTGAGTTGATCGAGCTGACTGAATGTGATAAAATAACTTTTGAAAAAATTAATTAAAACCTAAAATTGGTACTTGAGCACTCAAAAATTACTGGGACCCCTCTAAATACTATCCGTAAAAAAATATTGGCATAATTTGATAATTTTTTTTTTTTTAATTTAACAAAAAAACAGTTTTCCGACGGTTAAAAAATCTGTAATCCCGAATATTTACTTTGTCTATACGTTATGGATACATATCATGAGTTCTGACTCTTAAAATAAAAGGTCCTAAAATGATGGCTTGAAACACAAAAAAACTGGTAGCCCTCGTGGGAGGCTAACAAATGGGTAATATTTAAATTTGAGACTAATGGCGTATAGTGGAAAATATACTTCAACTCGATTCGACAGTTTTTCTCGATATTGATAAAATCATTTTCATTAAAAACGCATACAATTGTTAATATGACATTGTCACCGATAGTATATTTTATATAGTAAAAATATAAATATGTATTGATAAAAGCTCTGTAAATACAAAAATGTACTTAAAATAAGCCTATAATTATTGCGTACAATTAATACAGATTATGTCGCACCTTTGGAATAAGACAGTCAAAACTCAAAAAATAAAGTTTCAATGGAAATATAACTACTAAACCGTAATGAGGAATGTGGCAGTTTGTTATTATTTCACGGGTGTCATCCGGCTAAGAACTATGAAAATGTTAAAGATGTAGCAGTATTATATTTTTTTAATCGAAAAAAATAAGAAATAATAATTTCTGTACGCCCTGTCAGAAGGAGCAAGAAGAAGCATGTAGAGAGTTTGCATGCAATTTTAAAAGATTTAGGGGTAATAGTCATAATTAATTTTACAAAAAATCTTGTTAATCATTATAACGCTTAAGTTGACATACTTTTTAATATATTATGTTATATAAACCTCGAAATTTGACGATTCCATTTTATTTTTAGCTTTTAGAACTCTTATACAATACATCCAAAGCGGAGTTAAATATAACTCCTGAAGATAAATTTACTTTGGATCATGCCAATGCGGCATTGTGCAATCATAACATGGAAGTCGTGACACTCGCAGAAGCTCAAATTGCAGAAATTAACCAAAGTAATCATAAAATATACTACCTTTATTGTGTAATACAAATTTTCTTTAGCGTCGATACGTTTTTCGATACAGTTGGTTTAAGGGGGTATTTTTTTTTATAATTTTGTTCCTCTTATCGTTTTTCTGGGCAACACTGCAACTACTATGTTTATGTTCTAACAATATATGCCATTCATTTTTGTTTTGTTTTAGGTGGTATAAGCTTGAAACTATTTGGGGACATTTTCAGTCAGATTTGCTTAAAGAAAAATGAGGACCCGAGAAAATGTATTATGTATATGGAGGGGTTTTCGCGTATACGTTCGCTTTTTAAAAAATAAATGTTGTTCATTTTAAATAAAATCATAATATAAAAAATATGTACTCTAGTTCTTGTATCCGGTTCTTAAACTTCATTAAGCGCACTTGGTGTTGAATTATTATTTTCAATAACAACGTTATAGTATTATCAATGTATAAATTTACAATACAAAATTTATTTCCTTCACAATTATAACTGCTTGAGTAAAAAATTAAAATCGTTTACACTCTGCAGACTTTAAATAATATAACTAGGTCGATTTTTCGAAAATTTTGCTTTTGAATAGATAGCCGGTAGCTGTTTGAACAAGCATACAGAACATTACAGAAAAATATGTTTTCATTTTATTTCAATAAATGACACAATTTAAAACGAGATTTCTATAAGGTTCCGTGTGATAAACGTGTATAAAACGGCACACAAAATCATGTCAATTCATTTAAATGGAGCACCACCATAATTAGTACAATTATTTTGTGTGTAAAAATGCTACTCAATTTTATTAGAACTTAGAAGCTCAACACAAGAATATCATCCCAGAGTGGACATGTCTGCAAAACCAAGCTGATACTGTGCCTTTCATTAAAGGCATATGATTTTTATTTATTTAATATGTTTATAGTAGCCAGACGTCATATGGATAAGGCTAATAGTTTGTAGTGGTCTAAGCGCCAATCTTTATTATTATATAATTTTTTTGTTTCTATTATTGATTTACATAAAGTATTTAAATTGTACCGGTTTTTCTTGAACGTAACACAAAATAGCAGATTGATTATCTTTGTACATAAGGCGCTGAAAGTAGTCTACATTAAGGGCACAAAGTTGCCTATCCTATAGCCGTTAAGGCACCCTCAACACGTTTTGGTCGAGAGCCGAAAGGCGGCAACAGCATTCGAATATATATTATAATATTATTTCTGTCGAAGCAGAGTAATTTGTTAGAAAACTCTAAAAGGCTTAAGACACCGCCTGAGAAAAATTCAGCGCTATCAAGTTACAAAACGAGATGTACAGCCGGTTTCATCAACATTTGTTAAGAGTTTGACTTATTGTTAATTATATTTAACAAGTAATTAGTGAAAATTGGGTTTCATCGAGATTTGTTAGCCTAAACACATTGTTAAAACGATTGTTAAGTTAATCACCCTAAATCGGCATGTTAAAAAGTTAATCGGCATGCTAAAATGTATTCTAGTAATTATGTATATTGGTTATATTAATATAGTTCAGAAATTGTTTTATAATTTGACTGCATATTCTAGTAATATATAATAATAAATTACACATTTAATGAGAAACTTCTTTATATTGAGTTTTTCAAGAACAATTGAAAAGTAACTTCGATAACCCTTTATTAGCAGAAATTATTAGATTAGGTAAAAAGGAATGGCACAGACTTGCATTATAGGTTCAAATATCATAATTTGTTGTATTTTGTAATTTAGATAATATTATTATTTCTTGCCTGTCCTGACAATGGAAATAATTATTATCACTAACTATTATTTTTTAGGCCATCAAAATAGAAACAATTATTTTAAGACCTTAATGACAAGCTATTTTTAGGAAGGTATAGACTATCAAAACGATATATTAAACAATTATTTATAAATTATGTATATAAACCGAAACGTCAAAAGAAAGTAAAATAATATGCCAAATAATAACAAACTGACAAATTAAATAATTCAAACAGATATCAGTTATCACATATATTAATAACCAATGAGAACGTTGGAATCGCGGTAACCACTTTGGTTTTGTTAACTTAACAAATAGAATTTAACAATAATAATGTTATGGTGAAACTTATTTCATTTAACCATATGGTAAATTTAAATGAATTGTTAACAAATATTGTGTAAAAATTCAACTTAAGAAATAATCAGCCAACAAAATTGTATTTTACTTTCTTTTGACGTTTCTGTTTATATAAATAATTTATATATAATTGTTTTATACATTGTTTAGATAGTCTATACCTTTCTAAAAATAGCTTGTCACCAAGGTCATTAAGATAATTGTTTCTATTTGAAGGCCTAAAAAAATAGTTAGTGATAAGAATTATTTTCATAGTCAGGACAGGCAATATAAAACTAATATACTTAGTCAACAAAAATGATGAAACTATTTCTGAACTATAATAATATAAATAATATATATATAAGTACTACAATACATTTTAACATGCTGATTAACTTTTTAACAAGCCGATTTCGGGTGATTAATTTAACAATCGTTTTAACAATGTGTTAAGGCTAACAAATCTCGATGAAACCCAATTTTCATTGACTAGTTGATAAATATATTTAACAATAAGTTACATTCTTAACAAATGTTGGTGAAACCGGCTAATAATATATTGTTTACTATTTGAAACTATAAATACACATAATATTAGTAATCAAACGTCGATTCCAATATTTTACTCTCTGTCTGTTCCTACACTGTACAGTGGTCTATGTCTTATGTTTTGTTGTTACTTGTTTTCCAAGGTGTACGATATAGGATTTATGCTATACTTAAAAAAACATATTTTTTAAATGATATCCAACTAGTGTATAAGTTATACTATAATTTTGTGTTGTGTAAAAACCACATTCGAGTGATTTCGTATAGGAAGTAAAATGAAACAACAGCTATTGGCGAAGGTTAAATTAATGTGACCTAACAGTTTTATAAAAATAAATGCATAATAAATTAAAAAAACAATATATATATATATCACATTGATACACGGTAACAACTTCATAAGGTCGCTACGGTTAAACTGTGATTTGTTTAATTAATTATTTTATTTCAATACATTTTGAAATTATCTTTTAACAACTGTGTTTCTTTACCTGATATATGAAGTAATAGATTTGTTAAATTTTATGACTCAAATCTAATTAGATGTAATTAGCGTTAATTGTATCGTGTTGCGATTGCTCATTATAACAATTAAATTTATATTTAACTAATTAACTGCTAATAAACGTTAAAATGATTTTATTGTTTTTTAAAGCAGAGTCCTTCAAATGTATATTTATAAATAGATAAACTATTATCAACTGTATATACTAATTGTGTATACTGTTTAACCAAAATCAGCAGATTTAAGAACTTCACTTTTTTGTGATACTTTATAAAAATATTCAACTTATTTTTTATTCTAAATGAAATGCTAAAACACATGTTTACATAGTACTATGCGTAATAGACACTTTTATGATTGTGATGTGCCACAGCGTACATGCGTTATTCTATGATGGCTGTTATCTAGCCGTTGGATTGTATATTACTTTTTTATTCAGGGTAAACATATTTAAAAAAAAAAAAAAAAACTACAAACCCACTGTAGTTCATAGTTGATACGCACGTGACTTCTTAGGTAACGACTTGTTGGTCATAATAAAAATAGTAATAACGATTAAATAATTTAAGGGAAAACTGCCTACTTGCCATTGAGTTGACATTTTTGCTTTAGATTTCCCAATCTTATTCAGCTTGGTCGTTGGCGAATAAATTATATTTTATTTGTTTACATTTCTCGATGAAAAAAACTGTGTTATTTGTATAAAAAAAAAAATGAAATGTTTACGGCGGTTATCTTAACCGTACACTTTAACAGTTTACAAATAATCAAAACTTGTGATTAATGTTACAGTAAAAAAGGATTAAAAAAAATACATTAAAGATGTGCCTAAAATTACTAAAAATTTAAGTAAAATGTTTTTTTTTAAATCTGAATAGAATTTTGTTTAAGAACATTTAAGAATTGTTGGATTTCAGACATTCCATCTGAGCACAATATATATATATAAATTAACAAACTTGGTAGGATTAATGTGTTGGCACAATAATAAAGTAATAAGCCAATGCAAACTGGACCTAAACGCAATGTACAAAAAGAGGAAATAAAAAAAAATGTAAGAATCACATAATTAATTCCAAAATAATAAAATAGGTCTACTTAAATATTTAAAAATAATAAGAGGTAAGTTTGAAAATATTAAACAATTTTATAATTTAAAAGTTTTTACAAAAATTATTTTATTCAATTTTTTATTTTTTTAAATATTTTCTGAACGTATAATAAAATATTTACTAATTAAACGAATCATGTATTTTAATTTAAGAAAAAAAACTTTACTAGAACTTAAAATTAATTTTTTTATCAAATTAATTTTTAAAATCTGTGTGGTTTTGATTTATTGACCCAACTATTTTGACAATTGTGTGGTTTTTAACAAACGCCTATATTTTTTAGAAACCTAAATCAAGTTAAGAATTGCTTAGTTGCTTGGTCTTTTATATTATTATTACCTATTCTTAGACAGCAGGTCGAGTTGTTACTAATTACAAACATTTAACCTTTTTTTAATTTTTTTATAGCTAATATTATTATTTTTTTTATTATTAAACATTTTAATTCGTGAAAAACCACTGGATTAAGTGTTAGAAAAAAAATCCCATGTATAATTAAACAAATTCCTAGAAACATAAACTAATCGACCATAAAACTAATGAGTAAATTAATTTTAATCTTTACTTTTCTGAAGTATATATTGTAAAGCTATATTTATACGCTGAAACTACTCAGTTCACAAGAAATCAAAAACTAGTTAAAGAAAAAAAGCTGCAAGAGTTAGAAACAATAAATAATATTAAAGTTAAAACAACGCTATGGCCTTCTTTTTGCCGCGTTCGGCTAAGAGTCTAGAAATATTAGGAAAAATGTCTATGAGCTTATTTTCTTTTTAATAAATAGATGGTATAATAGTCAGTAAAATATATATATTTTTTTAATTTAAATTATTATGAAGGAACCGAAAAGGCGAGCTGCAGTGTGACCAGAATGTCGAAATCACATTACTTTGGTATACTCGTACATATTTTTAATCTGTTTCACTAACAATAAGTGCAACCATATGATGCAAACATATCTTCTCTGACTTATCAGCACAAATATATATTCATATAATAAACTAGATTGCTAACTAGTGATAATAATGGAAGTCGACGTTTGCCATTTTTGTGATATTTATGATCCAGTGTTATCAACTTGACTTATAATTGTTATAAACACATTTTCATGTAATAAGGTTCTAATTCCCACAAAGATGTCGGAAAATAGTAACATCAATTATCTATATTGACGGCATGTACACTCTTAGCATTTTAGTTCTAAATTATATATCCGCGCTTTTAGATATAATATTATCACGTCGTTAAGTATCATATTATCACACGAAATCCGAATTACTTTTCTATTGATTTGTATAGTTAGAGAGTTGGTTTGTAGAGTTGATAAGGATTATTTGGTGCAGCGTTTCACCACAGATTACATAAAATCAGAAAGTGTTCTCAGAAAAGTGTCCTAGATAGCTTAACTGGGTTTGGACTGGGTTGGAAAAAAAATAAAGACAATTAATAAATGTTCAAGTTAACTTACTCCAGTGGATGGCTATAGTAAATTTAATATGCCACAAACATAAGGACTAAAGTCAGTCTGCCAAATTAGAAGAAAAAAAAACCGTTCAATATACCACTGATTAAATAAAACTAGATAGTTCACTTTAAAAAAAATGTTTAATTGTAAGCAAACCCTAATGATCTCAGATCAGTGTGGTCAAATAAACGGTATCAACCATCTATAATGTTATCACCATTAGACTTTCGTTAACCAACTACTTGTTATCAATATTTCTTATCAGTTTACGTTATTATTGTGAATAGCTAGTATACAATGTTCAGCACTATAATTTGGTCCTTTTGCATTAAGTTTAAACCAATCAAAAACCGTTATTTTAATATGTCTTGTTTTATTTAATCTGTGGTTACAAATTATCAGTGGTAACAATATCTTGATAAAAACAAAAATATTTTATGATAACGGTTAAAAACCTATTTTATCATTTAGCTAGAGTACCAACCGCTCAAAAGTGAAGACTTTTTTCTTTCTTTTGTGCGGTCATATAGATTTTAATTCTTCTGTTTACTTCATTATTGCACTTAAGCTAGTATTTTATGAAAATAGCTATAATGTAAACAAAATTTAATAATCTCAATTCAGTGTGAACAAAAAATGAAACATATAATCCTTCTCTTCCACAGTTTGGTCAAATAAACGGTACCAACCATCTGTAGTGTTATCTCCATCAACCTTCGTTAATCAACTACTTGTTATCAGTATTTCTTATCAGTTAACGTTATCAATGTAAATACTTTCAGCACTGTAATTTGGCCTTAATGCATTAAATCAAAAATCGTTATTTTCGAAAATGTAATGTTTTAAGTGCACTGTCCGGTTTTTCTTAATCTGCAGTTTAACGGCCTACGAAAAAACTTAATTAATTTTTATTTAAAGCAGTTACACTGTCGCTCGCCTCCTTCATTACTCGTTTGCCGAGTACGGGGTATTATAATATGACGTTACGGCTCTATATATGTATACGTATACTCTATGATTTACCCTGCATTGACGACTCGTGCTCTTGATGCTATTATTATCATAACGACTATTTTACAGTGCGGTGCAAATTCACCGTTCGACGATTGGGCCAAGTTGGGCGAGACAACGCTAATTCTCGGCGAGACGGCGCCCAACGGCCAGGGAAATTAATTAACAACAACGGCAGTGTGTTAGGTGTATATTGTTGTACAAGCACTAATAACAGGACTGTACTGTGTGTGCTGTATGGTCGTGCATTAATGTGGTTGGGATCTTAAGGCTGCTTGCCGGACGCGGACTGGGGGCGTGGCGCGGACGCTGTAGGAAGAACACCGGTGGCCTGTGCCCGACCGTTCGCCAAAATCCTTCAGTAATTTCATGACGACCGTACAAGTGTGTGCCGTGCTAACGCCTATAGTAATATTATGTACAGATAGGAATAATTATTTTCTTACCGTCAAATCTTACTCGAGCGTTTACTCGTGTGTAGTGGCCATTTTAGCGTCGACCAGACTCCAATGGAGCAGCTGTAAACATGATCAAAGCACCCGGGGATATTAAAGAAACGTCGGTGTACACTTAACAGGTAAATTTATATTACTATTATCAACCAATATTCTAAAATCATATTAAAAAGTCTCAAGCGGTTTCGTTTTTCGATAATTTTGGCAAACAATTTTTAAAATTAAATTCAAACTTGGCGTTTAAGCGATTTTCTTTAAGCTAAAGGTTAGTCGTCGAATGATTTAAAAAAAAAAAATACCAAAATCGTAGCAAAAACAAGTTAAAAACTTAATTTTGGAACCATGAGAGATTTTTTTGTTAAATCTTTTTTCGCTTTAACAAGTTGACATAACCAAAGCTTGTTGTAGAATTAATTTTTATCGATTATTGCCTATATATTTTTACTCCTAAACAGATAGCCCAACTCATACCCTTGACGTGATCGCCTTGGTATTTTTTTTTTTTTTACCGTTCAATTATTATAAAAGTGTGTTTTTTAAGATGAGCGTGTGATAAATAAATAATAAGCGTGTGAATCGAGGTTGCTCGATTCAAATATAATATTATTATTTTCATTATAAAACCCGAGTGCTTTCTCTAGAAACTCTCGGTTAGGTATTACAACACTTAATAAGTGTATTTTCTAAGGAATTTATTTCAAGGAAACTTAAATCGAAATTGTTCCGACCAAAAGTAGTTTGGACTACTTTACTTGTAGCTCTTTTTTTTTTTGGAAAAGGTAAATGTAAAATATAATCACATCTCTGAGTTGATTGATTCAAAATATAACGCTCAATTACCAAAACATGTTAGTAAATAATCGAAATTGGCTCTTTTCCATCCAACGTCAAAACGAATGGCTCGAGACCACGGTAAATTAATACAATAATAACCTGAAGATACAAAAAAAAAAAAAAAAAAATACAAACAAGATGTATAAGACCTTAGCTCGAGTAGAAATGAATGAAAAATTAAAACCAGTTTTCACAATGTTCTTATCACATTACTAGATCAATTTTACTCATGAGCGACGAGCTGATGTTTTATTATGTTATTAACACGGTTGACATGTGCGGGCTCGACTTCACAATAAAAACTATACCCTGTATGTAATTTACTTGCTGCTCAAAAACGAGTACAGTTCTGTAAATGATTACTGTCTCATTTTTGAAATCCTACAAGTGGCTGTTGAATCGTTCGGTCAAAAATCGATTACCTCCGTATAGTTGCTAAGTACACTCATTAATGTGTACCAATAAACTACCTGTTAAATATTTGAACAACAAACGATGGATATTGTGAAAATATGTTTTTGGTCATTAACCATTTTATTGTACCTGCAACGAGTGTTTGAATTTGATGTTTGTGACTAGGTAAATATTTTTTCGGTGACCAAACCAACCTCTTGTGCCGTTTCGCTTTTATGTTAAATAATTACATGAAATAATAAGTGAAGAAAAATATTAATGGCCGTGAATGGACAAGTTTTGCAGGTATAAAATGCAGAATACCCTTTTTGAAATTATTACCCAGAAAAAAAATTTGCATAACAATAATTATTATTATTTAACGAAATGCAAGTGGACGGAAATGTGTTTTCATCGACAACTGTACTTGGGAATTTGATTTTTTTTTTTATTTATTCCGTGCACAAATAAGCTAAGATAAATAAATTTTTTAAAAAAAATGTGAAATATAAATTATGACTAGGCGTAATGTGTTTTATGTAACGTCCAAAGCGAAATGCATTGTAAACAGAACACCAGCCGGATTTTTTTTTTTTGTTGTTGTTTAATAATTTCACGTAGAGATCTCTCTACTCGATTACCAAGTGGGTGACATGTGGATTATCCGGTGCTATCGTTGTATTTACAACGAGGCCTTCGTTAATTTAATATCATAATATATTATTGTGTATTTTTTTTTGGATAAAAAACCGGGTAAGCGCAGATCAATTAAGATGTCTAGAATATTTTCCAAAGGAAATAACAATTAGCCTTGAGGTTATTTTTAAAAATCATAATCGCGAAATGCACGTGTAAGGCTTGGTAATTTTTATTTAAATATATATATATATCAACGGGCAAAGCCCCAAAACATGAGTTCTTTAAACCGACAGATTTTGAGTGCAATTTATATGCATACTATGGCATAGGCCTATTACTGGCAGAACTATATTGGACAATTGAATATCTTCATGTGCATTCTCTTTGAGGCTGTAAACATACAATACGGAATACCACCCGGTTATAATATATAATAATAGTAGTCTGAGTATGGTGAATAGAATGTATTATGATATTATTATGCTTATTGCATATATGATAGCCCTTGACAGTTGGTAGAAGCTACACAAGTGTCAGCCCAATTTTAACTGGGGTTAATGACAATGTTGTCAAATTCCCACGGACTAGCTGCTGTCTTACGTTGTCGGGTCAAATAAATAATAATATCTACAATACTATTTTAATTATTATTGAAGGTGCACGGTTGTCGTTTAAGAAAATGAGACGGCTCGGAGGAGACGGTACGACCTTTCTTTTTCGATTAACAATCGGTAATTGAAAATAATTGCTTGGATCATTATTTGATTTATGTGATATGTCATTTAATTTCAATCTGGATGCACATCCAAAGTCCAAATCGTTCTGATCTGGCCCAGCTAACACCAGGGTGGTACGTTGGCTCATTTTGATAAACTTAAAGAGATATTCAGCCGGTTTCACCAACTATTGTGAAATACACTCTTAACACAATTTTGGTTAACAATTCATTTAAATTTAACATCTGGTTAAATTAAATAAGTTTCACCATAACATTATTATTGTTAAATTCTATTTGTCAAGTTTACAAAACGTTAGTTGGGTTACCAAAGCGGTTACCTCGATTCCAACGTTCTCATTGGTTATTATTATATGTGATAACTGATAAAAATTTGTATTATTTGATTTGTTATTATTTGACACTTTATTTTACTTTCTTTTAACGTTTCGGTTTATGTAAATAATTTATAAATAATTATTTAACACATTGTTTAGATAGTCTATACCTTTCTAAAAATAATTTGTCATCAAGGTCATTAAAATATTTTTTTCTATTTTAAAAGCCTAAAAAAAGTAGATAGTGATAAGAACTATTTCCATTGTCATACTCAGGACAGGCCAAACATAATAATATTATCTAAATTACAAAATACATTAAATTATGTTGTTTGACCCTATAATGCAAGTCTGTGCCATTCCGTTTTACCTAACCTAAATAAAATAACTTCTGCTTACCTAATGAAGGGTTATCAAAGTTGGCATTTCTATTGTTCCCTAAACACTCAATATAAAGAAATTCCTCATCAAATGTGTAATTCGTTATTATATATTACTAATATACTCAGTCAACAAAAATGATTAAACTATTTCTGAACTATAATAAATATAAATAATATATATATATAAGTATTACAATACATTTTAACATGCTGATTAACTTTTTAACAAGCCGATTTCGGGTGATTAATTTAACAATCGTTTTAACAATGTGTTAAGGCTAACAATTTTCGAGGAAACCTAGTTTTCACTAACTAGTTGTTAAATATAATTAACAATACGTTAAATTCTTAACAAATGTTGGTGAAACCGGCTGATAATATATTGTTTACTATTTGAAACTATAAATACACACAATATTAGTAATCAAACGTCGATTCCAATATTTTACTCTCTGTCTGTTCCTACACTGTATAGTGGTCTACGTCTCATGTTTTGTTGTTACTTGTTTTCCAAGGTGTACGATATAGGATTTATACTATACTCAAAAAACATATTTTTCAAATGATATCCAACTAGTGTATAAGTTATACTATAATTTTGTGTTTTGTAAAAACCACATTCTTGTGATTTCGTATAAGAAGTAAAATGAAACAACAGCTATTGCCGAAGGTTAAATTAATGTGTTTTTTAAAAATATATGCATAATAAATTTAAAAAAAAATAATAATGAAATATCACATTGATACACGGTAATAACTTCATAACAAAACACCTACTTTAGCAACAACTTTTGGTACTAAGAATAATTAAGTACACTGGTATATGGGTAACCCATCGAACGAACCTTGGCGTGTACCTATACTTATTTGTGTGCTCATAATGATAATAACACTACATAAAGGAACATCCTAAAAGAACGTGTGCCGCGCACAATAAAAAATGCAACTCTATGCTATACTCCCACGCATTATGCTGTTGACTAAAAAACGTTTACATACTTAACAACCGTAATCTGTTGAAACGCGCTGACTCGTGTGATCTAGTGGGGCCATGTGTTTCATAAAAATAAAAAAAAACCATAGACATCTAAATAAAAATAATTTTTTTGTCAAATTGCATACCGTTGTTTGTGCTGCAATGACCGGCTATCGTTTTTTTCATAATTTGTCGACAAGGGTTGAGATTTTCAGTGCACCTGTCTACCCGTCTGATAGATACACTCTTTGAAATTAAATCTAAATAAAAAACGGTTAAAATGTCACTTACAGAGTTTACATTGGGTCAAAGTCCTTGTAACGGTATTCGATCTCAAAGCACTTAGGTCCATTTAAATCGTTATAAGTGTTTTATGGGATTTCCTAGTGCTGCATAATATTTCTTTTGTGAATGTCTTAAAAAAATGTGAAAAATAATTCATCAGGTCAAATCATAATAGGTTTATAATTTTCAAGCCGTTTTTACAGTTCATATAGTTTTATTGCTTTAAACATATCAACCTAGTATTTTTCTCTAGCATTTACAGTTAGCAAAATAACATAACGCATAGGTCATATTTATAGACCATAATTATTTTTTTGAAATAAAAAAACATGGTCTTAACTTAAACGAAACAAAAGATTTATAAAGAGGACTTTTTACAAAATCTTAATGCAAAGGTTAAACTGTGATGTGTAATTATTAGTTGAGTAATAATTAGGACTTTATTTTTTTTTTTGGTGTTAATTTATTTTTTTGGACTGTCAGCATCGTTGACAGCAATTAAAGATTTTTTTTCATCTTAAGACAATGCGTTTTACTTGACCCATAGTAGTTTTAGAGCCAAAACATATTTGATAAAATCGAAAGATAACAATATTTTGGAGACAATGTCCTATACGATTTTGAAAACAATGTCGTGAAAAAAAGTTAAAGATCCAACGTAAACCTTACAGCTGATATCTTATTCAAATGTCTCTTATCAGGACAGTCATTATCAGCTGATCTTTATCACTATTATCTTATCGGCAGCTGTTATCATATATATAAGTACATATCTTCTATCTTATCACTGATCTAATAGGACCTGGCTCCACAAATATATATTTATATATAATAAACTAGATTGCTAATTGTAAGCGTATGTGCCGCCATTAAGATAATTGAAGTTACCATTTTCGCCATCTTTGCGGGAATTAGAACCTTATCACATATCAATAACTGTTATCACTTTTTATAACAATTACAAGTTAAGTTGGTAGATTATTTTATACACACATAAACCCCACAAAAATCGCTTACGTCGACTTCAATTCTTATCACTAGTTAGCAATATAGTTTATTATATATATATATATCTGTGTTTTTAAGATACTGTTATCACTGATTTCTTATCACTAGTATTTACTGAACGGTATTTTTATTTCTTCCAACTGGGCAAAACCGACTTTAGTCATTGTGTTTGCGTCGCATGGAAAACGCTGGAAAATCGGGTAACATTGTTTAATCACACCCGTTCCAATGGGTAATGTATTATAATATTTCAAGCTATTGAAAACGACGAGGGTCCGGACATCGCGTCCAAACGGCTCGCCGTTTATCGGTGAAATTTGACTCGGATTTTGTCTGTCAAACGTTTACGGATTGCACGCCATTGTTCGCACAACACACGGCCGTGCAAATTAATGGTTGTATTCAGTTAGCACAAAACAGCAATGGAACAGAAGAAGAAAGAGACGGCGACTTAGTGGAGAACGCTGTTAAGGCGCGCGCTGTTTGTTATTCCGCGGCAGCTCGTCCGAAAAGCACACATGTCAAATAAATTACACTGAAAACTATATATAAATATATATACATAAATATATATCTCCAAGTACACGCACGACCGTGAATTTGACGGTTACACTCGAATGAGGCGCGTGCATTTCATCCTAGGCCAATAATAATTAACCTATGCAAACCAGAAACACGAAACTGTAACACGACAGCTTGCCCCGAACTTCGATAATGATGCTATATCACAACCATAAGCGAATGCTTAGTGAAATCTTGTTCTTTTGGGTTTTTTTTTATAAATAAACTTGGACATTTTATTCACATTCCATCGACGCCGAAATTAGCCAAATCTATACAAAAGTAATAAGAGACTGCTGATAAGAGACGACTGATAAGAGATTAATGAAACTAGAGATTAACTGAAGGTACAATTTTCCGCCATCTTTGTGACATTTAGATTCTTATCAGATATTGTTAACTGTTATCACTACTTATTAACAATTATGCAGTTTTTGATCTAATGATTGGTTTGCAGAAATTGTCGATGCTTTTGTATTGTTGGCCTTTCTCTTAATCCTGGTTATTAATTGCTTTCCTGATCTCCCATTAAATTGCAATCGTGGCCTTCCACTGCGATTTCTGCATTCTAACTAATATCAATCAAGATTACTACTAGCCCACCCTGTCTGAGAATATTCCCTAAATCATTAACTCAATTTTGGAAAATTCCGGCAAGAGATTTTCGCATCACAAATATAAAACTAATGAAGACGTACGTGGTGTAAGAAGTTTTATATTGCTTAGCGCGAATCAAAGTAAATATAAGTGGTAATAACACGGGTTTTTAGAATGTAGCACATAAATCGTAGTCACGACTTCGGTTTATATCCTATTGGATATTGTGTCATTCCAAAATGTAATTGAGTTCACTAGCCATACCTTAGAGGTAAACAACAATTCCCTTGCTGCCTGAACATCACACTGAAGGTGTGTGAAATAACTTTTGAGAACCCTCCAATTCACGGTTCAGTAGGCTACAGGGCAATCATATCATATATAAACAAGCTAAATGGCTTGTAGTAAATTTGTATTACAGCAGTGATGAGTCATAGTTCTTATTTATTATTTTTATTCATCTGGTTTTTGTGAAAATAAATTAATTCGCCGTTTGATTCTCATTCGATAGTACGGTATCGAGTAAATCGGGTTGTCCGATCAAGTTAGCAAACATTTTCCATCGGTATTATTGGCTCCATTCCAATGTGCAGTGCCACTACGTTTTTATGACATTATTTTTACACAAAATTGCAAAATTATTAATTACTCTTGGTAAATATTACAAACGATAATTGGAATTTATTATTATTATTTTTTTCATTAATCCCTAAAACCAAACTATTAGTTAGACAGTATTTTAATTGCGATCGATTCTGGGTTTTAAACTTGTTTACATTCAATTAAAACAAACTCTCATTGATTAAAATATCACATTATTTTCGCACAAAATATGCACTTGTTTAGTATTGTGCTGATGTCTTAAAACTTTTTACAGATACTTCTCAAGACCTCGGAAACCAGCGTAGCTATTGTGCTGGAGATACTCTCTAATATGTTAAACATAATTAAATGACATTTAACCCGGCTCCGCTATTTTAATGTCCATTTCGCTGTTTTGTTGCAACTAATACTTAATACAGATGACCGGTTTTTAGTTGTCCAGTAAAGATAGGCAGCTGTTATAAGGCCGTTGATCCTTCGAATATTCCTGTCAGCTCGCGAAATTTTACTAACCCGTTCACCGGAATACCTGTCAAGTGTATTGATTTATTGTTATTTCGTTATTAATAAAATCAAGGATGTTTGGATTGGGAATAAATCTAACCAAGCAAACTTAACGGCGAACAAGATACTTGCCGCCGTGTCGTTAAGAAAAAGATTTATGATTATTATTATCAAAGCTACACACGTTGTGGTGAAAATTACAAATTTATTTAATCTGGCAAGCTCGAAAACAACAACGAGGATAGCTAATGAACGATCGTTTGCATATGTTGTAGTTGAGATAATTAAGTGAAATTATGGGCTATACGTTGATATTATAATATTATATTTTAACTACCAAATAAAAAAATGATTTAGAGGACTTTTTGGTTGTTACATTGAATAATAATCGTAAGCATGCATATTATACTGTGTGTTGTATATAACACTAATGAGCGGTATTATAAGTAACATAATACCGTTACAAATAGTAAATGATACGTAGCAAAACGGTATTCGTGTCCCTAGTTATATAATTTAACAAGGTTAGATATTAACGCTGAACACATTAATAAGCCTCGAGTTCAGTTTAATACAATTTAAATGTCTAACATAATTAGTTATGTTATTGTATTAGCTTATTCATTTTCCATTTAACTGCTCTATAATAAAAATCAAACAAGTCTTTTTTTTATTTTTTGTAAAATTATCTCAATTTTAGTTTGACCATAATTGTTCAAAAAGTAACTTAATAATAAATTATTATTTTACGCATGGCCGTTCTCACTAGTTAAGTTTAAAATTAAGTATATAATACTAAACTATAGAATAAACTACATTTAATTAGCGAAGACAGCAGCCATTGGATGTTTAAACCAGTCATGTAATTTAATATAATAATTTTCTTTTGAAATTTAAATAATATTAACTCAAAAGTATTGAAGTAATTGAAGGAGTAAAACAACTTCACACCAGTTTTTCTATAATTCGTTTGTAGTTTGGTTTTGTAATAAACATCTATCACCAGTATGGTGCCAATGAATAAACTGCTTGTACTAAACACTTCTTATATATGATCATTAATTTACATGTTGCTGGAGATCTTTTAAATTTCTGTTTCAAGTTTTATGCTGTCAAGTGTTTTTACCGCTAGATCCTTCAACCATGTTCGCTCTACTAATAACTAGCTAAATTTACTAGGCTTTGACAAACTGTATGATAAATTTAAATGATTGTTTGTCTAGGATTTAGCTGCACCCGGTGGTCTTTGCGGTTACCATGCAGTTGACCGCAGATTTCCTTGTACTTGGCAACTGCTCTTAAGCCGGCGTGATGGCGAGGACTTACGTGACCACAGTGTGGATCGTGGCGTGGACTTTGTCGTTGACGATGTGCAGCGTTGACGACAAAGTAACCAAATGCTGTCCAAGAGATATGATACTAAGAGCCGACTTGGCCACGTGTACGGGATACGATACTGAAGCGCAGAGTGCAAGAGAATCGTATGAATGGTCATCGGACACAGACAGCGGCATGACCACCGGAAGTCCGGAAGAAGAGCTGTCACTGTCCATACTGAACAACACCGTGCCGTGGTAAGTAGTGAACCAATTACTAAGATCTACTAAATCGAACAGCAGACTTGAGACTAAATCGAAATGGGATGTTTCAAAATAGATGGTGTCTCAAAAAAGAATGCTGGGGTTTCAAACGGCTGTAGGTTGTGAAGTATTGGACCCACAGCGCTCTGGTAGGGCTTGAATGAAAGAAGGAGTTGTCAAGTTTCGAATGACGCCAACTTAACAAACTGAACAATGAAGGCTGGCGACACAAACGGGAACACGGAGAGACATCTAGTGGCAGTCATTTGAAACTTGACAACTCCTCCTTTCATTCAAGCCCTACCAGAGAGCTGTAGGTCCAATACTTCACAACCTAGGAACCCCACCATTTTTTTTTTTGAGACACTCTGTATTTATGTTGAATTTCCAACGTTTGGTTCACAGGTGGATCCCAGGCAACATGGATTTTTTAAAAGCCGACAACTTTTCCCAAGTCGTGATTCCGGATTCCGGGCTGTTCGATTCGGAAGGCCGATTGCCTTGCGATATAAATGATCGAGAAGTGAGGCCTTTGGACAATGACGTCTCGCTGCTGGACAACGGACAGCTGGTAGTATTCTGGCAGGGCAACAAGATAGTATTCGCATCGTCCGAGTACTGCGTCGACCGTGTGTCTTTGATGGATAACTTTACCCTTCCCCCGACCACTGGCAACGGTGACAAGAAGAAGAAACCGGTCAGGAGGGCTGCGACTATCTCCGGATGGGCGCTTTACAGTTACGTTGCGCTGTTGTGTCAGACGTGTTCCAAGACAATGTGCGTGCCGAAATGCTGTGGCAAAGGATTGGTACTTGAATACAAAAAGCACGCTATTTCGGGATGCCGGAGAACCAACACTACCGCGACGGTGCACTTAAAAGACGTCAACGGTTCCGTATTGAATAGTGAGTTGGAATCACAGAGTAGAAATCACTGTACTCAAATACAAGAATGCTATAATGGATGAGTGGAGTGACTAGGGAGGATAGAATAAGAAATTAATACACAAGAGGCAGTCTAGGTGTTGCATCAATTGTGGGGAAAATGAGAGAGAATAGGTTGAGATGGTTCGGTCATATCAGGTGAAGAGATGAGGCAGAAGCAGTGAGAGATGTTATGAAGATGAACGTAGAGGGTAAAAGAGGAAAAGAAACACCAATATTATCACAGATTAGATAAAACCAGATAGTGCACTATGTAATGTAATTGCTAAAAAAGTAAATAAACCAATACCCAACTCAACTCAGAGTAGCCACTGGCAGGGGAAAAATGATTCTGAGAACTTATGTATGTGGTCACACTGATCTCAAGAGGCATCGAGCTGTCGTTAAATGTTGAAGTGTACCACCTGGTTTTTATCAAATCTGTTTAGCTAATCCGAATTTTTAGTTTTACCTTTTAAATTATAAGTTTTACCGAAAAATTTTTCCTAAAAAAGTTGTTAGTTTTGATAAGAAAATTTGTTTGGTTAACAAAAAATACATGGTTTCTATTTTAAAAAAAACATGTTTTTTAACGTAAGTCGGCCATTTTTAATTTTGGACCAAATTTTTTTTTAACGTCCCTCTTTGTATACTAAAAGTCTCTAATAAACATTTTTGTATTGGATTAGTATATTTGGAGAAAAATCGATTAGTACTTTAAAACGGGACAGCCTGTACAATATAAGTTATATTTTCTTTTAACATTCTTTGTTTTCCCTCACCTCCTTACCACCTGCCAGGCTTTGACCAACAAAAGGCTCGTGTTATTTAACTTGCTCTCTTCTCTTAAAATTCAGCATCCCTTTACCGTTAATTTAACACCCGTTTCGTTCCTATAATTTTTGCAATTCTTTCCTTTCCAAAAGAGCTCTGGCTTCTCGATTTAATTGAAGTTTTAAGTTTATACCAATGTCAACGCACTCTCTGATTGTTTTTGTTTGTTTTTTCGTATTTTATATTGTCGCTTAAAATCATATTATTACTAATAACATTTACATTTTACTTATTATCACTGTCTAATATTGTTGAGCCAATGTTTTTTTTATTGATAAAGGCTATTTAGAAGAAAAAAAACATTCTTTGTTCGCAGGTTCAGATTTTTACTTTTCACCGATGAGGCCACCCGATTGTGAAAACAGAGGATCTTATTTACTGAACAACCCGGACAATTCGAAGCATACCGACTACCGTGTACTGCCGGACGGCCGGGTGCAGGTGCAGAACGGCCTCGAGTACATCGAACGGGACGAGTATTGCGTGGACGTGGTCATGGTGGACGGCAAGCCGTTCTCGGAGAGCATTCTGGCCTGCCGGTTGCAGGGAGGCGCCAGTGCGTCCGGTGCCGCCGCGCCGCTGGAGTTCCGCGAAATCTTGTACGGCACGTATTTCGTGGTCGGCGCCATGTTCCTGGCCGCCACGCTTCTCATCTACGCCGTGCTGCCCGAGCTCCGGGTCACCGTCCACTCGGGCAACCTGATAGCGCACACTGTCTGCCTGTTCGTGTCGTACACCACGTTGGCCGCGACCACGCTGACCACTCAACTGTTCAACAAATACGCCTGCGTGATTGCCGGTAAGGTTGGGTTTTATTTATCATTTTTGGTTAGGTTAGGTTAGGTTTGGTATTTATCATTTTTGGTTAGGTTAGGTTAGGTGGTTTATTTATCATTTTTGGTTAGGTTAGGTTAAATTATGTTTTTTGCCATGGATATATCTTATGGCTGGGAGTGATTCTAAAAATGTCGTCATGTTAAGTGTCAAAGTGTTGAATTCATTATCATTACGTCATGGAGGAGAATTATGGGCGGTCGTTCTGGAAATAAAGTTTACAGTATCCACACTGCATGCAGATACATCTAGTTGCAGGATATATAAGGATATGAGGATGTATAAGAATATATTAGGATATAAGGATATAAGGATATATTAGGATATATGCAGAGTGATCCACTTATCGTGAACCACTCAATATCTCATTGGGTTTAATAAGAAATTAAAATATTCTTTTCATATTGTTGTTACATAAGGTGATCTCAATTTTTCACAACATTTTCTATTTTTATCTACCTCCCACTTGAATTTTAAATGGTAACGTATATATTTTGTTAATTTTTTTAATTGAGAATAATGTACTAACAATTTTGACTGGTCGATAACCAGTTTCGGATTACTACTTTTGAAGTCAATGAAGTTTTAAGTTTAGGGCAGGAAGAAAGGTGGAATGTATTTTTATTTTTATCTGCGCGCATTTCCCAACCGCACTTACCCTGCCATCCTCTAACTTAAAACCTCTTAAGTTTTAAAAGTTGCTATCAAAAAACTAAGTTGGGAGGGGGGCAAAAGCAAAAAAAATTGTGAAAAGTTGAGATTACATTGTATAAAAACAACATAAAAAAAAAATTGTATTTCTTATTAAATCCTATGAGATATTGAGTGGTTCACGATAAGTGGATCACTCTGTATATATAAGATTCGATTAAATATAAATAGATTATGATTAGGATTATGGAGGGTCATTCTGAAAACATAGTTAAGAGCATTCACACTTCGTGCAGATACATCAAGTTTCAGGATATAACGACATATGTAAGGATAGCCAAATGAATTTGCTAGGTAGGCACTTACATACTGGCGAACCACGGAAATTGATTTATGAGAAATATTGATAAATGTTTTGCCAGTAAGTCGATTAAGGCCAGATATTATAAAACCTATAAAAACGTTTGGCCAGAACATATAATTAAGACTATACTATTATCATTTATCGCAAGAAGATTATATTTTATCGGAAATAATCACAAAATTATCAGGATACATCCGTGTATTGATGTATGTGTATAGAGTGTGAATACTTTTTCTAATAACTAATAGCATCAAACCATCTAGAAAAATCCTTCATCATGCATGCTAATTATAAACGGATAAAGAATTCTCGAAAAGCGCACTGTATTTACTTACTTTAAAGATACTCTGATGAATAATATTATAATAAAGATGTCGACCGTTCAGTGTATTGATTTAAATTCAATTTGGTACCATACGGAAAAGCCATCAGTGTTTATTAATCGAAACACGAATAAACTTATTTAGAGCTTGTAATACTTCTTAGTTGTACGTTTTAAATTCAGAAAGAGCCATCAAAACTTTTTAATGGATGATTTTTTTTTTTCTTCGGGTTTATGAAGCTTAGTGTTTACATTTAACTTACTAAAGTAATTTACATAAAAGTGTCAGCGGGGTAAAATATTCTGCATAATATTATTATTGTTGTAGACCAGTCGAAATATCTTGATTTCCTTTTCAATTAAAAGTTGTAATTTTCAAATATAAAAGATAATCGTGTTTTAAATGTGATTTGCATAAACTAATGGAATTGGGGGAAAAAAATCAGAATTTATAAATCTAAATATCTCTAGGAAATATTACTACGACTCGTGGGACACCCCGTACCTGATTTCTATAAATGATTACCTATGTAAAGAAAGAATAAATATACAACAATGGGAATAATACTTTACATTTACAATTAAAATTAAACGTTCTATATAGTATACTATTAGTCATTACATATGATTACATGTTGTGGTATGAGCGAGTTTGCTTCACGTGAAATCGCCGCAGTTGATCAGATATTGAAATACTATTATTAACAATCAATAGGTGTTATTATACCTATGTGCATTGGTTCGAGACGCCAATAACCGTCGGTCGATAGCAGTTGTATAAAATTAACTATTTGTAATAATTTAGCCGTTCATTACGGGTTGTCCTTGGACGGCAAAAAGAAGCAACACAAAAACAATAGGCCGTTTTAAATATATAATAATAGTGATAGTATAAAAAAGAGGCCTTAGTGTTTCAAATGACGGTCAATTATTGTAAAACGTGAGTTTGGCATTTTTTTATTTTTTTTATATATTTTATTATATCATTTAAAATAGTTTGTTTTACAATATGTTTTATTGAGTTTGGTCTTATGGCAGTGTCGTGGGGGCCAACGGTTAGGTTTGCCATCGCTGCAAAACACTGTATCATAGACAATCTGCTCCTGTAATTAATACTTTGACATTATTTACAATGCAGTAGTGCAATTAAATGGCACAACTCCACGAATTTCTCAATCTTATTTCTATCTCTCGGTGCAAACCGGTTGGGTATCTCGACGAAGGACAACGCCTTGAACGCCGTTCACTGGGTGATATATGCAAAATATATATTATAATCGGCTTTGGATATCATTTGAAAAACAATCATATCGAGATCACAAAGCTTAGGTACTTCAAATATGCCACTACGCTAATATCGAGTTCTAACATAAAGAATATTCTTCGAAGCCTATCTACAATACATATTTTCAATAACGTTCGAACTCTAAGTTTTCGAAATTAAGTTATAGCTTAACAGCGTTGTATCCAATTTTGGCATCTTAAATCACTCCACGTGGTCGCTATGTTAGTGTTGGCTCTGGTCGTCCAAAACGATTAACGACTATTTAGACTTGGAAGCTGTTTGACGTCTCTAATTACTTTGTTTTCTATGAAGTTTATAATTAAAACCACGACGGATAACCTCGAGTTCGTTTTGGCTTTTCGTGCCAAATTTAGGTGACATTTGTTTCAAAAATGTATATTAATAATAATAATAATAATATATTGTTATTACGGTTTAATCTTTTTGACAGAATGCGTTTTAAACAGAAACAAATAAATCATAATCAACAACAATTAATAGAACACTGTGATAAAAATTATAATCATATAAATCTGCCAACAAAGCACAAGGTGTCAGCACACTAAATTGATATATTAACCATAGACTTTTTTTGAAATAATTTGGCTCGAAAGAACGACTGGAAATCTCAAAATAACATGTTTGACTTTTCTTATAGCTACTAAATTAGTGTTTTGGTAGAGCGCATCTCTATTGTACGTTAACCAGGAAAAAAATAATTAAATAATGTTAACTGGCTCATAAAAAAATATTAAATTGCTTTTGTCTTTTTTAGCTTTCGTCATTCAATTTTCATTTTTGGCCGCATTCTTTTGGCTTAACGTCATGTGCGCGGACATTGCTTGGACATTCAGGTTTGTTATTTTATTGTTATTATTATCATCGTCGTATCAAGTATATTCATATCCATTGATTGACAACGTTACAAAGCTAATATTTACATTATTTTTTAATAACCACAAAAATTGTTGATATAAATTATTGATAGTAGGTACGGTGTTCAAACTGGGTTTGGACTTGTAAAAACAAAACGCAATCAAAACATTTTAAAGATAACTTACCTTAGGGGAAGCCAGTCTGCCAAGTTAGAAGAAATAAATACCATTCAATATATATTACAGGCTAAAAACAACTAGATAGTGCACTCTAAAACAAATTAAAATATTGAAAACAAAATTTAATAACCTCAGTTCAGTGTGAACAAAAAATGAAACATATAATCCTTCTCTTCCACAGTTTGGTCAAAGAAACGGTATCAAACATCTGCAATGTTATCACCTACAACCTTCGTTATCACTTGTTATCAGTATTTTTTATCAGTTTACTTTATTATTGTAAGCAGTGTGTACAATATTTTCGGCACCATAATTTGGTCATTTTGCAATAAGTTTAAACCAATGAAAAACCGTTATTTGAATTTGTATTGTTTTATTTAATCTGTGTTGATAAGATATCGGTGATAACAATATCTTGATAAAAACAACAATATTTTATGATAAGGGTTAAAAACCTATTTTATGATTTACAGTGCTATAACCGCTTAACATCGAAGACTTTTTTTATTCTTTTGTGCGGACATAACGGTTTTAGCCCTTTTGTTTACTTCAGTATTGCACGCAAGCTAGTATCTTATGTATATAGCTTTTATTTGTACAAGTTCAAACCCAGTTAAGCTGGTTTGTTTTCGCTATAACAAACAGTGTGTGTACATTTTCGCTCGGTAACGTTTTCAATCACTGTTTATAATATAAAATTTACCTATAATATGTGTTCGGTTTTCTAGCGGGTTCAGACTGTTGTCTTACTCCAACAAGATCGAGAACGAGAAAAAGAAGTACATGATTTATTCTGTGTACGCTTGGGGTAGTAGCATTATCATATCAGTCTTGACCGCTGTGGCCGAGTTTACCGACTTCCTTGTCAGCCCAGAGTACAAACCGAATTTCGGTCAAAGAGACTGTTGGTTCGCCAGTAAGTACAATAACTCATCTTTAGAAACACTGTGTGACGGTACATTGAATTTTATTTTATTATCTATTGAAATACTACACTTTTTCAAAACAATTCACAAACCGTACAATGCACAACTATACCTACCAAACGCCAGTTAAAATTTTATGGACACTTATAACTACTTTATATCATTCATTGCAGCTATCCAAATATTTACCGTATACTCTTTTTCGATTTCTATCTAAATCAGTCACTTCAAACACAAGTTATGTTTTTTATTATATATTCAATTTATTCATATCCGTCACGATTCCAATTATTGTTTGCACACACATGGACAAAAATACAAATTATGTTAAATAACAATCAGTCACTTGTGGTTTCAGATAAACTGTCGGTCGGCTTGTTCTTCTATGCTCCTATTGGAATTCTCCTGTTGACCAATTTCATATTGTTCATGTTCACTGCGTTGAGAATAGTTTTCATCCGCAGGGTCACATCAAAAGTGTTGAATCGACAAACCAACCAAAACAATACTAGGTAAACTGTTTATAATAATTTTAGTATATTTACATTTTATTATTTTAGGGCAGGCGAGTAAACGATTATTTAATAATAAACATTTTTAATTTTCTATTGCGATACAAGATAACAAAGGAATATACCGTAGATACAAGGTCATATAAAAGCAAATAAATTGTGGAAAAGTCCGTAACCACACTATACAAATAAAATGATACGGTTATATGTATATTATATTAGAAACGCTTGCACGAAATAGATATCAGCGAACCCGCGATTTACAGTGTTGTACGTTTATTTGCCCATCCGAACGCCTTAAGTAGACACAATGGTTCAATAATATTCGTAAGTCCGTTTCCCACTAAACCATGCCACAAGCAAGTGTCAACATATTTTTGAAGTACAAATAAAACTAATTTTTGAAGTTGTAATATAACCTAACGGCCACATTTCCGGGGACTATCGCCATGTTTACAAAGATGCACGTTTGCTTACATTATATCCCAATGCTGTGAACATCTGTCGTTGTTCAATAATGTGGCAACTTCGATCCTCAATCGACTCGGCTTACTTGATAATAATGAGTTGACTTATTATGATTTGAACATATTTTTTTTGGAAAAAACTATCATAAACCTTAGGTACAAAAAAAATCTTAAATGTATTGCATTAATACGAGCTACAGCGGTACAAAAAAAAGTTAAGTATCCACGCTTCATGCAGATACATCAATATTTATATATGCCCTGTAATCTAGTATTTTAAATATCTTATCTCTGATCTATTATCTCTAATCCACTATCACAATTAATTCACCTCCATAATCCTCCATAATTTCTTAATACTCATCCATAATCCTCTTCCATGAGATTCCTCTACACTCCTCCTCCATAATGCCTCCAATATTCTTCTCTATAATCCTCCATCGTCACTCCATGATCCTCCTCCGAAATTCCTTAATACTCCTCCATGATCCATAATGACGTTAGCACTGTGACACTTACATGTCGCTCGAAACGGACAAATTTTCAGAATGACCCCCAGCCATAAGACATATCCATGTCTTCACATCCTTGTCAATGAAATAATATTATGTGAAATAATAATTTAAAATGTATTTTGTCGTCAGGTTGGCACTATACGCGAAGCTGTTCTGCTTGATGGGCGTCACGTTCGTGTTCGAGGTGATCTCGTGGGCCGTGCAGGGCCCGGCCTACTATTGGTACGTGACAGACGCGCTGAACTCGCTCCGCGGCGTGTTCGTGTTCTTCATATTCTGTTGGAAACGTTCGGTGCTCGACCTGCTGTTGGCCCGCGTCCCCGACCGTGTTCGCACCCGCCTGGTCCGCCTGTTCGGCATTCGCGATTCGCGGCGGCATCCGAGCTTCTCGTCCGTGTACCAGTTTCCGGCGGCCACCAGGACCCGCAGCAGTTCGGCGTCCGCCCAGCAGATCACTTCGGGAAGCTCGTTCCAGCTGTCGCAGTTCGGCAGCTCCGCCTCGATGGCCAGGAAGGCCAATTCCCGGCACAAACCGTAGGCCCGAACCGGGCGGCACAGCCTGTCTCCCGTTTGCCTGGGTTAACAATCCTATCTCTCATAGTATGAACATACAAAGTAGAATCTGTCGATTTTACTTGAATATTTGATCGGGTAGAGTGCAAAAAAAAAAAGGACAAACATATTTTCGTGTAAAAAAAACACTTATAATGTTAAAATTAAAATGTATTAGCTTATCGAGTGTTTTATGTGAAATTATAAATGAGGTGCCTAGAACTCGAGAGGTGCAATAGATGGCATTTCATTGATTTCAAAAAAATCAAGCACAGAGTTTATATTTGCTACCAGATCGCAGCAAATGATAAATAGTTAATCTTTTTACAATTTGTAGTTAACCTGTGCACTGAACTCAGATTTTGTAAAAATGTCACTCTTGTGTTCTAGGCGCCTCAAACAAAAGAAGCTAAAAACGTGGCTATTCCTATAGAGGTAATACTATTGTAAATATATTTTCACCACAATAAATTTCAAACAACTCAGTTAATTTGGTGATAATATTTTAAACAATATTAATTAACGATTAAATATCTCAACGGAAAACCCTATAAGGTGTAATGTTTCTATGTTATATATTTTTGCCTAGCTTGTATCCAATTGAAGAACCGAGCCAGTTGCCCTGATATTAGGTTGCTTTATCTTAATATTGTTACAGATAATTACAATAATAGCGATCTCAACCGACTGCCGACACTGCTATAGTACTAAAAATATTATTTATATTTATACATAAAAACAGTTACTATATTTTATGTTGCTTAATATGAGAAGAAACCAAAAATTGTTGTCTCAATAAGTTTTACAGTTAATCGTTCAAACGAAATAAATGTAAATTAGATTTTAAATAATATATTTAACGATTTAGTCTCACCAATAGACCAATGTCAGCTTTATAGAAACTATAATTACGTGGTTTGTACAAATTATTAAGTAGCTACCTAATTAGAAATCAAGAAAGATACTTTTTTTTATTACAAATAAGTTGAAGGCTTGAATAGATTACACTATATGTACAATTGCTATCAAACAAACATGCACTGTATGATATGTACACATATATTTTGCCTGTAAATTATATAAGATTATATTACAATATAAATAATTATTTATTAATTAAGACTGTAGATATACTAAGTTGTTCCAGTACTATTATATTAATAGTATATGTATGTATCACTTAAAACACTGTAATTTTTTTTTTTAAATAACAATTACTCTTGTGTAATGTATATTTACAAAACACGAGACTTGTATGTTGCCTTTGGATTTCAGTTTAATGCTTCTGTATAGCTACCGTGTCGAGCAAGACGACCACAAGCCATTGTAAGCTTTAAAATTATAGCCTATATTTTATATATCTATATAAAAATCTATTTATATTAGTATGTTAGTATGACAAATAGTAATTACCATTTAAGTATATTCGAATTATATGTGTAGTCAACACATTTCGATGTTGTAAATTATGAAAATTTCAATAACCTATATCGTTTACCAACTATATGTATATTTATATTATATTTTGACTGAATTACAAAAATTGATTAGCTTTTGCTTTAAGACAATTTCTGTCCTAAATTTATCTCTGACAATTATTCGGTGCAATGATTTGACTTAAACATCTATGCTTTGGTACTAAGTGTCACAGTGCTGACGTCATTATGGATTATGGAGGTGGAGTATGGAGCAGTATTATGGAGGAATTATGGCAGAGTATTAAGGAATTATGGAGTAGGATTATGGAGGGATTATGGAAGATTATGAAGGAGTATTTAAGAATTACGGAGGAGTATGGTAAAGGATTATGTAGGTGAATTAATAGAGATAGTGGACAAGTGTAAATAGATTAGAGATACTAGATTGCAGGAAATATCTATGTATTGACGTATCTGCATGAAGTGTGGATACTCATAACCTTTTTTACCGCTGGAGCTCGTATGAATGCAATAAATTTAAGATATGTTTTGTACTTAAGCTACTTGTCTTAAAGTCGGCCAACTTTTAAACTTCTATCAAATTATCGCCCATAACCTAACCAGAGTTCAGAATTTAACTGACTAGCCTAATATCTTTGTTTATATTGTAATTTATAAGCGACATCGAAATATTTTGGGTGTATGAAAATTACGTACATCACTGTAAATCACGTGTTTACTAAAATCTTTTTCGTGCAAGCATTTCTAATCAATATATAAAATATAAAAAGAGATTGTGTGTTTGGTAAACGCTCACTTTTCTCCAAAATCACTCACCCCCGCGTCTTTTTTAATCTAGAGCAACTATTAGTGAACCGTTACATAGGAAGTAATGGAGTCATTAATCCCATCGCACCCTGTCAACAGTTTTCGATAATCCGTAGTTTATAGGGGTTTTAATATAGAACAACTAATCTTGCACTGTCACATAGAACTCGATGAAGACTACCTACCAACCCAGAAATGTTATGTCATCGCATTCGCAATCTGACCTTTGGGAAACGGTATCTTATAAAACAACTGCGTAACTACCAATTTGGAAGGCAGCAGAGAGAGACTCGATAATAAACTATAGGCCAATTTCTAAAATTAGTGCGATTCCTAAATTATTCGGTAATTGAATGGAAACTAAATCATCAAATAAGTTAAAATGTGATTTTGATGACAACCAACACGGTTTTCGCAAGTCCAAGTCTTTAAATACTAATCTGAATGTTTATTTTCCCCATTTAGTAGAGTCAGTATCTCATGGTTATCAAGTTGATGCAATCTACACAGACATTAGGAAAGCGTTCGATAGATCGGTAGAGCTCGGTAGATCATAGTATGTTAATAAATACGTTTTAGATTAGGTTTTAGAGGTACCTTGATCCATGATTTTCGTCTTATCTTGCCGGCCGTACTCGATATGTTAAAATCCGAAATACTATTTCCAACCCCATAACGATAACCACACGTTTTGTCCAAGGAGGTCACTTATCAACTATTTAATTTTTGATTTTTATTAACGATGTTAAAAATACTTTTACCGATTGCAAATGTTTGCTATTTGCAAATGATTTAAAGATTTATTTGACCATAAAAAGGGTTGAAGACTGCTATAAATTGCAGCAGGATCTTGATAGGTTTACCCTTTGGTGCTTAGAAAATGGTCTACCAATAAATACATCTAAATGTTCACAAATAACTTTTCATCGTAAAAATACGCCTATAAAATTCCAATAAAGTCTGGGAAATTCAAACGTTGCAGTTGTAAATAATATTCGTGATCTAGGAATTACTTTATCTTTAGATTTAACTTTCAAGCAGCATATCGAAGGTATTTGTGGTAAAGCATTAAGGAACTTAGGTTTTATTAACCGGAATTGTTCCAATATGTCCCCGTTATATTTAAAAGTCCTACATTGTTCGTTATTACGATCATCGTTAGAGTTTGGCTCAGTAATATGGAATATTGTACAAACAGGCTTGATGAACAAACTAGAAAAAGTTCAAAGACGATTCTTACGAATGGTGGCCTTTAAATTTAATATGTCCGATCAGCCAATAAATGAAGTCGAAAAGCATTGCAACCTGACTTCTTTAAAGCCCAGGCGAGCATATTTTTATATTTTATAATGAACACTAAATAATAAATAGCGTCACAGCCCAAAACCCCACTCCCACCACCAATTTTAAAAAAATTCGTAGCTCCTAGATGATTTAACACAGAGAAACCATTCTTTCACTGTTAGATAGGACTCGATAAGGACTACCAAACCCCATATCAACCCCACTAATTTGAAAGAATGAGTGTTCGCAATAAGAGTAAGACTATCAGTAAGAATTTCGTACTTGAAATACGAAAATTGCAATAATAATCAATAGCAACCCGAATTTGTTTCTGGTTGCTATTCGTGACACGGGATAATGTTCAAGCTGTTTACTCGGCTGATAAAAATGGGGAACCAGATTATTATTATCACTTTTACCTATTTATTCACACGGGCAACGCCCGGGTCAGGACAGCTGGTATAATATATAACCGTATTATTTTATTTGGATAGTAAGGTTACGGGGTTTTCTACAATTTATTGGATTTTATCTTGTGGCATTGTATGCAAGGAATATTCCTATTTCATCATATAATGTTATCGTTTACTTGCCTTCCCTAAAATATAATATTCTAGAAATACTTTAAGTTTTGTTTATCGATAGCAAACTTAAATGCACGAGCTTTTGTAAGAAACAAAATACTTAAATGTTCGTTTTTCAAATGGATTTCTTTTAAAAACCCAATCCGTAAAGTTACCGCTTTAGATTTAGTGTACTTTTATAACTTACCTAGTATTGTTTTGGTTGGTTTGTCGATTTAACATTTTTGACGTGTCCTTGCGAATAAAAACTATTCTTAACGCGGCGAACATGAACAATATGAGATAGGTCAACATGAGACTTCCAATAGGAGCAAAGAAGAACAAGCCTTTCGACATATTATCTGCAACCACAAGTGATTGATTATTTAATATATTTTTTATTATGTGTACGTGAACAACCGTATGAACCGTGATGGATATGAATAAATTTAACAAATAAAAACTTATGTTTGAAGTGACTGAGTTAGATAGAAATTGAAAAATAGTATACGGTAAATACTTGGAGAGCTAAACTAGTATAAGTAGTCATGAGTGTCCATAATTAATTAAACAGATGGACTAAAACTGATAACAAGTAGTTAATTGTTGGTGATAACATTACGGATGTTTATTACCGTGTGGTCAAACACTGTAGAAAAGAAGGATTATATTTTTAATCTTTTGGTCACACTGAACTGAGATAATTTAATTTTTTTTACATTTTTCAATTTTTTTAGAGTGCACTGTCTAGTTTTATTTAATCCGTGATACATTGAACGGTATATTTTTCTAATATTAGTCGTTATGTATTTATTATAATAATAATAAAATAACAAACCTGAATGTCCAAGCAATGTCCGCGCACATGACGTTAAGCCAAAAGAATGAGGCCAAAATTGAAAATTGAATGACGAAATCTAAAAAAAGACAAATGCAATTTGATATTTTTTTATTAGCCAGTCACGTTCAAATCGGTACTCGAACATTAATCAATTATTGTTTTCTCGGTTAACGTAAAATAGAGATGCGCTGAACCAAAACACAAATTTAGTGGCCGTAAGAAAAGTCAAACATGTTATTTTGAAATTTCCAGCGGTTCTTTATGGGATTGTTCACATACCATAACCTTCACAAATCATTTAAATTATTTTTGTTAACCATAAGTTTTTTAGTAGTTTTTTAATATTTAGCCATAATCGATTTATTGGCAAAACTCACTTGGTTAGTTATTTTGAATCAATTTTACCAGTTATTCAAGTTCTCGGCAGAGAAATTAAATTACAATTAGTTTGATCGACATACGCGGACCAAACGGAGCAGAACTAATCGATTTTATGAGTTCCCATCTCGGCCTCCGACTACAAACCCCATCCCAATCCCCATATCAATAACATATCTCTAATATCTTATCTCTGTCACAGTTGAATTCATCATTGTTCGCACACCCCGACTAAACACTCGAAGAAAGTTGTCTAGGTTAATTTACGCGCTTCCAAATGTGAGTTGTCACAGTTCTAAGTTTAAATATAGTTCGAGAACCCTATTGAATTTCAACACTATTTCGGTTTCACCGAAAACGACAAAAATATATTTTGCTCGTTAGTTATTAGAAAAAGTATCAACACTTCATGCAGATACATTAATACATGGATATGTCATGATAATTATATGATTATTTCCGATCTATAGTCTCCTTGCGATATAATATGACGGTAGTATAGTCTTAATTATATGTTCTGGCCACATGTTTTTTAGTAGTCTTGTAAAATCCGGCCTTAATCGATTTACTGGCAACATTTATCAATATTTAATATTTCTCAAAAATCAAGTTCACCAGTAACTGCCTACATAAACAAATTCATTTGACTATCGTTATACATTCTGTAACTTGATGTATCTGCATCAAGTGTGGATACTCATAACTTTATTTTCAGCCATAAGACATATCCATGTCAAAAAACCTAACCTAGCCTAACCTAACTCCATAATCCATTTTTTTTTTAATCTGATTATATATATATCCTGCAACTAGATGTACCTGCATGCAGTGTGGATGGTACTCTAAACTTTATTTTCTAAATGACTCTCCATAATCCTACTCCATAATCTATATATATTTAATCTAATCTTATATATATATCCTTATATACCCTACCATATCCTTATATATTCTGCAACTAGATGTATCTGCATGAAGTGTAAATGCTCTAAACTTTGTTTTCAGAATAAACCTCCATAATCCTCCTCCATGACGTAACGATAATGAATTCAACACTTTGACACTTAACATGACAACATTTTTAGAATGACCCTCAGCCGTAAGACATTTCCATGGCGAAAAACCTAATTTAACCTAACCTAACCAAAAATGATAAATAAAACCCAACCTTACCGGCAATCACGCAGGCGTATTTGTTGGACAGTTGAGTGGTAATCGGTATAATACACGGTAATCGGTACGCTTCGAATTGTCCGGGTTGTTCAGTAAATAAGATCCTCTGTTTTCACAATCGGGTGGCCTCATCGGTGAAAAGTAAAAATCTGAACCTGCGAACAAAGAATGTTTTTTTTCTAAATAGCCTTTATCAATACAAATTATTTGGCTCAACAATATTAGACAGTGATAATAAGTAAAATGTAAATGTTATTAGTAATAATATGATTTTAAGCGACAATATAAAATACGAAAAAACAAAACAAAAACAATCAGAGAGTGCGTTGACATTGGTATAAACTTAAAACTTCAATTAAATCGAGTAGCCAGAGCTCTTTTAGAAAGGAAATAATTGCAAAAATTATAGGAACGAAACGGGTGTGTATTAAATTAACGGTAAAAGGAGGCTAAATGTTAAGAGAAGCGAGCAAGTTAAATAAAAAAAGCCTTTTGTTGGTCAAAGTCAGATAGGTGGTAAGGAGGTGAGGGAAAACAAAGAATGTTAAATGAAAATATAATTTATATTATACAGGGTGTCTCATTTTAAAAATTTTCTCCAAAAATACTAATCCAATCAAAAAGTTGTTTGTTAGAGACTTTTAGTATACAAAGGGGGTCGTTAAAAAAAAATTTGGTCTAAAATTAAAAATGCCCGACTTAAGTTAAAAAAAATGTATTTTTTTAAATAGAAACCATGTGTTTTTTGTTAACCAAACAAATTTCCTTATTAAAACTAACAACTTTTTTAGGAAAAATTTTTCGGTAAAACTCATAATTTAAATGGTAAAACCAAAAATTTGTAAATTAAGTCACTTTAGCTATTTTTAGTTTTGTTATTTTATATTGATGCATATGGTAACCGTGTCATATGTAGTAACCTTGGTATGTGTGGTTATCTTTATCTTTTTTTTTTTGGTTTTTGTCTTTGTCTTTAACATTATCATTAGTACTACCATTATATTATCATTATCTTAATCGTTATCCTTTTTTGTGTGTATCACAAAGACAAAAACCATGGTTACCACACATACCACGGTAACCTCAACAGCGATAAATAAAAAACTAAACCTATGAATAAAGAATTATTTTACAACTTTTTTTTTTTATATTCTACATAATATTCACAGAACCTATAAAAAATAGTTTGAACAATTGTAACTATGTTTTAAGTATAAGACTTAAGTATTTTTTCTGTGTAACATTAATGCTACATATGCGTGACATAATCAGTTACATGTATTTAGTTACAACAAATATTTATGAAAATTTAATGAACACAAATAGGGCATTATTTAGTATGGAAAATTTATATAACAGGGTTAGTTTTTATTTAAACACATATACGTTATGCATTTGCTGCAGTTCACATATTAAGTGAAACCTTTGCAATTTTGAAAACGACACCTCTGTCTACTTTTACACCGAACTGGCCAATGTTTTTTACTTAAAGCAGTTGCTTATTTCGGTAAAAATTTAACTTATATTTTGTCGTTTTGGCATAGCTTCCTACCTAGCAAATATACAGCACACGTATATAGGGGCATAGTAGGATAACTATAGCAGGAAAAAAAATTCAACTGCAAGATCTCCAGCAACATTATCCAGCGAAATTATTATACTCAATTACATGACTGGTTTAAACATCCAATGGGTTGTCTGCTGGGAACATTGGCGTGATTAAAATATAAGCATTCGGTTTGGCATATCACCAAATGGTTATGATAATTCACACAAAAAAGTCATTCCAAAATGTTTGTGCTTTTGTTAACCCGTCCTTTAGCCTTTGTACAAAATGTTAAATCGAATTTTAAATACATAATATACGAATTTTCGTTACTTACTTTTTAAATACATTTCCCATTTTCAAATTAGCAATTTACGAAAATCACCACCTTTAACTTGTGTCTTTTTGAGCGCACTGGTTATTAAAATTTAAGAAATAAAACATTCGTTGGCAGTATTCTCGAAGCAGCCATACTGTCTGACCATTTGTGTACACAGATTGTTTAGCATTTTTTTTTCGACTGCTAAATTATTTTTGTATTCACATATATATATATATATATATATATATATATATATATATATATATATGTATCAATTTTAATAAGAAAACATTTTACCGACTACAGACAATAGCTGTGTTATGTCTACCTCGTATATTATTTGAACACGTTGTCTTTTTAAAAATGTAATATCTGTTTTATCATTCTGCCTATACTCTACTGTACTAGTCCTCTCGGATACAATTACTTTCAAATTAACGCATTGATGACAGCACTTAAATTTAATACTTTCAAACTTTGCCGGTATACACTGTGCTTGGTTTGGACTGTACTGGCTGGAAAATACTGTGTTGCATCGAGGCGTTTTTGACATTTTCATGTCCTAGCTCTGGCACATAACCGAAAAAAGCGTTATCAAAAAAAAAATGGGGTTGAAGATGAGGTTGGGGGTGGGAATTAGCCGGTATATAACCGAAAAAGTTTTTCAGCCGAGTCTGCAATCACGAAAGAGCATTTTCATGTCTCGTTGAAGTACCGAATAAATTGAGAGTAGTGGTGGAATTATAGATAAAATGATATAGTATATTAATAAGCGGTAACAAGCTAGTATATTACAACGTCAAGTTTCTGGCTAAAATTGTAGTGTTTATTATGCGGCCAAAAGTAACTTAACAATTTAGAGAATTAAACTAATTTGAATTTATTATTTAGTTCTAATTTGAACGTTGAACGTACAACATATCTTATCTTATCTCATATCAGATAACAGCGTAACGCTTTTTTTGGTAACACTTTTTTGCGGTTATGTACCGGCTAATTCTCACCCCTATCTCCCACCCCCAACGTCATCTTCACCCCCATATCTTTTTTTGGTAACGCTATTTTGATAACGCTTTTTAGGTAACGCTTTTATGGTAACGCTTTTTTCGGTTATTTGCCAGGGTTATGTGCCAGAGCTAAGACATGAAAATGTCAAAAAAGTGTTACCAAAAAAAGCGTTACGCTGTTATCTGATATGAGATAAGAGATAGGGGTGAGTGATAGGGGGTAAGTAATAGGGTATAGGGGTGAGTGATAGGGACGGGAGATAGTGGGTAGGTGATAGGGGTAAGATATAGAAGATAAGAGATAAGAGATATGTTGTACGTTCAACGTTCAAATTAGAACTAAATAATAAATTCAAAATAGTTTAATTCTCTTTGTTAAGTTACTTTTGGCCAGATAATAAACACTAAAATTTTAGCCAGAAACTTGATTGTACATAATTTTTTAATCTCCTTAGCTTATGCAGTAACTGGAAGCTCCATGTAATTTTTTTTATTTTTTATTATAATTCCACAACTAATCTAAATTTATTCGGTTCTTCAACGAGACATGGAAATGCTCTTTGGTGGTTGCAGACACGGCTGAAAAACTTTATTTAAAGTGATTTTATCACTTTCAGATTTAAAAATTCCTGTAAACCTGTGACTCCTTGTCACCACTAAGCCCTGACCCCACTGTACTGACTATTTAAAAATTGTTTAAAAATAATAAAAGCCCGATTGAAACATATATAATTGCGCGCCGTTGCATAATTTTACTAAATACAACTGCTATTTATTCGAATTTAGTGTATTCAGTATGTAGATGCATTTTTGTATTCAAATAAAATATAGTATTAAAGTAGGTACATATTGTTTAGGCAACATCTGTTTGGAATTTATGAATAAGTCTCCGCATGATTAATGGTAAATATTGAGATGAGTGTCAAATTAATTTTAGATTGGTTGGCCAGTATAACATGATTTATAAATTGTCAATCAAAATTGGTATTACTCTAAAGAAAATGCCCGAAATTGATTGCATGCAAAATTATAAAGCCATAGTTACCACAAGACACATGGTTAAATATGTTAAAAGTGTGTGTTATTCAGTTATAAGATGCTAAGGTAGTTAAACTCGTTCGTTCATTGTTTTATGACTATATACATTGATTAACGACTTTTATGATAATGTTCTCGGATTATCTATTAAGATTATATTAAATAACATAATATCACTTCCGGCACATCTAATGTAATAATGTAGTTTGTCATTCATAACAGAAAAATATCAACTAAAGTAATAAGTGATTTAGTTGTATCGTAAATTTAATTCATATTTTTATGAACTATTACTCTATTAAATTATGTAAAATCGTTTTACTATTGGATTGTGTAAGCTATATCTATCCCGTTAAATTGACAGGCACTAGACAGTGTGTCATTTGAAAACTTGGTGTGATTTGTCATACAAATGCACAATATCTTATTGAATACAGTTATCACAATATTTACCTAGCGTTATTATGTTAAGACTCAAATCTGTTTGTAAAAGCGTTTTATGGATTTTAAGCATATGGGTTCATACGCTATTGTGTTATTTCTGCAACAGTGTATTTAATAATTGTCTAGACATAACAGCTATTCTTTGTATTTGGTACAACGTTTTCTTATTAAAATTATAATATAAATATATATGTTTTATATTTTTTATAAACGCCAAAATAATTTAGCAGTCGAAAAAAAAATGCTTAACAATCTGTGTACACAAATGCATAGATATTATGTCTGCTTCGAGAATACTGCGTACTAATGATTTATTTCTTAAGTTTTAATAATATGTGCGCCCAAAAGACAAAATTTATAGATTTATATAAATTTTGGAAACTAACAAAAATACTTAGTGTAATACTATTTAAAAAAAAAAAGTGTTTTATACTAAATTAATCACCCAACAAGCAACTAAGTTTTCGTACAATTACGACACAATTGAAACTAAGAAGATATTATGTATACCATTTTTTATATGTTTTTCAGATGTTTTTTTTAACAAGTCTATAGATCAACAATTGTATATAAAAGGTACTTTATTAAGCCAAAAATATAAAAAAAAATAAAAAACTCGAGCCTTTCTTTTTTTTAATTTTTGAAAAAACACCAAAATAATTAAAAGTTAATGCGCCCTACATCATTTTTTTGACCATCCCTAGACGGAGCTCTATGGCTTAACGTTTACAGTTAAAAATAAAAATATCATAAACCCTTTCCACTTAAAGGAAAACCTTATTTTTTTTATTAATGAAAATGGATATTTGTATCAAGGCGTTTAGTTTATTCACCACTTGAAATTGTTCATCCGTCCCCACTAGGCCCCGACTGCCCTTTACTGGCTTTATTTTTGGCCAAATAGTCTGAAAAATGCCTCAAGGTAGACTTTCAAAAATAGAATAAGTAATTGTGTAACGGTTAATCATTGTTCTGTCTTTGACACCAAACGTTAGGTTTGGGAAATATGCACTGTGTATCCAGACAGCAAATAAAATACACTTTATTGGTGAAACAACACTTTTTCAGTTCCACATCAGCCATCAAAGCTATAAATATCATTCGAGGTTTTCGCCATTTTAATTGGATAAGGGCATATTTAATGAATAACGAATATCCAAACATGTTTTCTCTTTATTCGAATAAGCCAAATTATACCACGCCAACGTCTAAACTAAATAACCCATGATAGGTTTTCGTCGTCGTGAAACATATTATTTTCTTAAAAATATATTATTTGATTAAAACTCAGTTCGGTATTTCATTACAATGCCCTTTAATTATTTTAAACGTTTAATTTAATAATTTAACAATATTTTTACTACGTTATAATATAATGATTCTTAATCTCCTATTATTTAAAATTGACAAATGACATATTTGATTCAGTGTAAAATAGTTTGCATAACCTTTTGCTACTTGCAATATTTATGGTAATTTAAATCGTGATAAAACACATGAAGCACTCACAAAGAGCAATGAAATGTAGAAAGATATAATAATCTAATGGCTAATGAATGTCATACGTTACATGATTTAATGTTCTACACAGTTGGCCAAAAAACTGGTAAAAGAAATCGGTAAAAAAAACTCTACAATATTATTAAATTTAACACTTTGTAGTAGTAAAAAGTGTACATAATCGTTTAACATGTTAATTTTAGCGTTTCCTACGATTTTTCAAGTACTATTACTGCATGACAATTGGAGCATAGTATTTTTGTTCAATGTCTCTCTTTGGAATGCGTCACGTTTCATAAAAGATTTAGCAATAAATCCTCTCAAAATCATAGTTATACTAACAAATGTTTTTTAATTATTGGTATGTTTTTAAATTAAAATATAATATTTAATTATAATGGACATGACTGTGCTCGAAAACAAAATATTTATTATCATCGAATAGAAGATTGCAAGTATAAAATATTTTTCATACCTTGCTCGTTGATGTATTACGACTATTTTTCTGACATACTTAATATGTATATTTATGTATTAGGAATTAAAATACACATTATTGATGAAACAACACTTATTCAGTTCCGCATCAGCCATCAAAGCTATAAATATCATTCGGGGTTCGCGCCCTTTTAATTGGATAAGGGCAAACTTAATGTAATATAACGAATGTCCAAAAATGTTTTCTCTTTATTCGAATTTGCAAAACTACACCATGCCATTGTATTGTTTTCTCAAACTATATTATTTTATTAAAACACTCAGTACGGTATTTCATTACATTTTGTAATATTGTTAATGTTTTTTAGACTATGTTCTAAATAAGGTATTATATTAAAAGACTTGGCTGTCAAAAACATAAATGTTCTTTAGGACTAAGAGGGCTACACGTTTAAACATGGAATAAGTAATGACAATGGTCAGGCTTTGCTCTGTCATTAAAATCTAGTTTAGGACATCCAGGGGCTTCCAATATTAGGTCGCTTACCTGAACACCAACTCCTAGGTCTACTGGAAGTAGGAGGGTTCGCCTGCGCAAAACCAGAGAGCTATGAGGTGAAAAGTGTGTCTAGTGTGTAAATGTGTATTGTGTGTAATTCTTAAAACTTTAAAATAAATAAAAATTCAAGCTGCAGTTATCACAGTTA